GCGTGTTCAGTGTATCGAGATGACCCGGGTACAGAATCTAGATTAACGTTTCTTTTGTCTTGGAAGCTTATGAGAATTGACGAGGATACAGTAGGTTTGAGGTCGGGCCATTCAAAGGAAAGAAGATTAATAATTCCATTCAAAAGCTGCAGAACATGCAGTTCAAACGGTTCCCCATTCAGAGCCCATGAGATGTCTTAATCATAATGATGTACAAAAATGTTGACAGCTCAATTTACAGAAATCTCTCTCTCTCTCTTGAAACAGAAATGCTAGTAAATTAAAATCTGGATGTTTCTATTAAAATAAATAAATCATTCTTTGCAGAGGGAATTTGTGTATGTAGTTTTGAGTCTTTCACATCTTCATGAACTCAGAATATTTTAGTATTCTGAAATGGGCCATTCAAATAATATACAGTAGTACCTCGAGTTACAAATGCCCCAGGTTACAAATGCTTCAGGTTACAAACTCCGCTAACCTGGAAGAGTTACCTCGAGTTGAGAACTTTGCCCCAGGATGAGAATGGAAATCGTATGTCGGTGGCGCAGTGGCAGCAAGAGGCCCCATTAGCGAAAGCGCGCCTCAGGTTAAGAACAGTTTCAAGTTAAGAACGGACCTCCAGAACAAATTAAGTTCGTAACTAGAGGTACCACTGTACAAATTTGTTGTTGTTGTTTAAAAAACACTAAAAACATATAATCCCTTCTTGATGTTTCATGTACTCAAAAATATAGGAAGTCAGATTTGCTTGTGTTGAAAAAGCTCATTTTATATTTTTTAAATATAGACATACAGTTTCTGACAGGAGGGAAATCTGTTTTATAACCATAGAAACCGATCATTATTGTGAATTTCTGGAGAAACCGTTAAGCAAAACTCTAAGGGGATCTATATTGGTATGGAATTGCATAATTGTATGTGCATGCTCTGAGCTTCTTTTCTTTCCCCCTCTTAGCTGTTATGTTGACAGCAGCAGTTTTGACAACAATAATTGTATCAAGTACATACTTTATCCCAGTGGTGCAGTTAGATATTTTCAGATACTTTATGGTCTCGCATTGCACTTTAGATGGTAAAGTGTATTACTTCACCTCAATATGTGGTGAGCCAGCCCTATTGTGTTTGAGGGCCCTCTAACAGCTGAGTGGGTCCTTGGACTTATGCCCCAATCTCTTGCCTTTACAGCTCCATGACCCTGTTCCTTCTTTATACAAATCTTCTAAGTATATTTGTGTACACTGGTTGAAGATTCATGCTTCCCTGCTTTGCTCTCATGTATGTGCCTGACTATTCCCCCAAAACTGGTCAGTTTCTCATGCTTTTCAATAAGGTCCCCCACCCCCCCACCCTGAAGTCTCACTGAACCTCAAACTGCTACTTCAGAAAAAGAAACCCCCTCCTTTTTTTTTAACATTGGCATTTATTTCTCTTCTTTTGCTTTCTGCAAGTTACCTTGTGTCTTCACAGTGTCTCCAGATAATTAATCTCTTTGACAAGTTCCACAAGGATTTGCAACTCACATGTTGCAGTCAAGTAATTCTGTGTAAATTTAGCCCAAAGACAGCTTTCACCTTCAAGTGTTACAAATTAACTGCGATTGATTGAAGAAGATATCATATGCCATTTTGTTCTGTGGGAGGCGAAACGGTTCCTTATGATTGAAAACAGATATCTTTCTCTTAGGTATTTATGCTATTTGCTGTATGATTGTCTCATATTATATGTGGTGGGTCCCTGCATACTTACAACAGCTTCTCTGTATGAACAAGCCTGCTCTATGAATCCCTCTCATTGGAGGTGGGGAAAGACAGAGGTCCCCCCCTCCAATCTTCCAGATCTTCTTAGAGAACAGTTGCATATAGTAAAGCCTAACTGAAGCATCCTCTCTCCATCTTAAGACCATAACTTAGGGCTCATCCAGACTTCCTTTTATGCTGAGTTTCTAGGAACAGGTCCATGCTTTAAAGCTCTGTATCTGAGTGCTTTTATTTATTATTATTTTTTGCCCCAGCACTTTCCCCACAAAAACCCATTCTTTACTGCTGAATCGGATCAAGGGGCAATTTGTAGGGAACTCAAATTGCCATTTGCTCTGATTCAACGTTAAAGAGTGGGTTGGGGGGGGGGCACATGGAACTTTAACGTGCAGGCCTGTGCCTAGAAATTGTGAGGCAAAAAGTAAGTGTGGATTAGCCCTAAATGTTTCAACACTAAGCATATGTTTTCCCTGCCCTTTCTGCTTTGCTAAACAGCAGCCCTGATGGAGTTATGGAGTACTCAAAACATATTTACTATTTCGTAATGTTTCAGTTTCTCCTTTTAAAAGTGGGTAGCTTTGTTTTTGAAATGAATAAATTAACACCTGCATAGCATCATAGGATGTGGCATTACTGTTTTATTAAACCATGGCTGAGTGATTACACCAAAGCTTAGTATTAAGTGTGAGCCTTGCCCAGTGCCTTAACTATGACTTGTTTACTACCAACAAACCAGTCTGAAGCTGTGTTTTGTTGTTGGTGTATGAGCCATGGTTTAACTATGGTTTGGCATTACCGGCAAATCAATCCTCTTTCCCTGACTATGGTTTGTTTGAGCATCCTCACTAAATTAAAAACGCATGAGGCAAGAGCAGATGGAGAACAAACCAAACTTTGGCAAAAGAAACTGTGGTTAGTCTGATGCTCTGTGAGACAACTTATTAACTTGTTGTTGTTTTGTGCAAACAAGGCCAGTATCTAACCTAGCAGTATTCTTCTGCAAATACTTTGAAATGATAATTAGCATCTCTGTGTTGTGGAGGGAGTGGAATTGGGTAAATGCCACATAGTGGAGTACTCAGATGACCACTGCAAGTTCTGGATGCCACATTATGCGCAGCTGTTTGAATCGAAAGATCTGCTTTGCAATGCATGGTCGATGTTAATGGATTTCCTGACTCTCTCTGGTAAGAGATTGCCCAAGACTCCAATTTAATATGATATTGAAGTATGGAGCCAGCTTTAATCATGCAGTCTTTTAAAGTGCTATTGTTCTTAGTCTTCAGAATAAGAATCCATATAGAGCTAATTGCCCTTTTAAAATGTGGTTTTTTGGGGGGGAGGGGGTTATTGGGTTCTTGTTTTTATTTTGATTATATATTTTGTGGCTTTATATTTTGATTTTGTTCTGTGAACCACCCTGAGACCTCTGGGTATAGGGCGGCATAGAAATTCTAATAATAATGATAATAATAATAATAATAATAATAATAATAATAATAGCAGCAGCAGCAACAACAATAAATAATGCATTGCTCAGTATAATAACTGAAGTGGGCTTGACATTTTAAACTGTTTTTCTTTTCTTTCTTTTCTTTCTTTAAAAAGATGTTGCATTATGCTTCACAGATGTTGGTGCCCTATCATTTAAAAATAGAAACATGTCTTTTAAATCAGAGTCAACTTTTAGCATGATGTTCTTTAAGTGACTATCAAAGAGCGAGAAATTAAGCAGTGGTGGAACAAAGTAGTATTTCATATACCCTTCATTCGGTTATAAATAGGACCTAGACAGACAAAAAGTTTTCTGAGAGTCCCCCCGCCCCCCGCAACAATACATTTTGGAGATTTAAAATCAAGTTGGCTGATGGATGAAGACGTTAGGCCAGCTTGCAAATGGTGGGGAAGGGAGCTATGTTCTTAAAAACCCATGACAGGATATCATATTAAAGGTCCATTGCTCTCCCTACCCTTCACACCTGAATTGATGCTGATCGGACAGCAGATATGGAATTGTACCTGGGAGTTTTGGTACACCTGACATGGACTCATTGTGTAACTTTGACCAACCGTCACAATTTTTCAGCTTCTCTTCCCCATCTGTAAGAGATGTATATTATCTGTGACCCATTTTACAGGATCAGTGTATGAAAAAAGGATTGTGAGCATTGTGGAGCTTGCTACAGTTCACAACTGCCATGTTTACCTAGCATTTCCATAGCAGTTAATAGCATTTAATTCCATAGCAGTTAAAGTCACAAGGCACGAGTCCTGAGCACTGAAGCACCTTAGGGAAGGAGGATAGTTTACCAAACCACATCAACACTAAGGCTCTGGCAGCTTTGTGCACCATTGATCAAGTCAGTGCTAGCCCTACCATTAGACAGAATAAGTCAATTGCCTTAGCTAACAAATACTGTGGGTGGGTGGGGGAACAGTAGCAGTCCCTTCAAACCATTTTTCCATGAGCCGCCAGCCATTCCCAAACTTTGAGCAGAGCTGTGTGTATCTAAGGATGGTTGAACCTGTCAATCCTGGTTACTCTGTTTCCGTTTCCCAATTTTAAGCTCAGTTCTCCACATTTGCATATGAGCTTGTGGTTTTTAAAAAAGTCCTTGTTAAAGTTCATCAGCATTTTAGAACACCTTTCTTACAATATGCACTTTTTGTACGCAGTTTTGCCCGAAATACACATTTTTGTAAAGCACTTCCCTCCTAATACAATGCATTTTTGTATGATGCTGTCACGAATAGATGTATTTTGATGCACATTTTGCCCCAGCAGATGTGCTTTGGGGCTGGAGAGCTGCATTGCAATATTCAGGATCAGATTATCAGAAAAGACAACTATTTCTTTTCTTGCACTGCTAGTACAAATGAACTAAGTTTGCCTTTAAAGGCAAACTGAATCAAATTTCTCCCCCATCTCTCTTTCTGCCACAGGGTTGTCATACACCCATTAAACTGTCCCCTCAGGTTCACTGGATGCTATTTTGTTGCCAGTATTGAAGGAGGACTCAACTGCCAGTGCTGTCAGGCTTAGTACATGGACTGGAGAACTGCCATCTTTTCCTTCATGTCAAGCAGCAGAGCGTTACCTTGGGCTGGCCCTGGGCTGAGTCCTTAAAGAAAACACTTTCTTTTTAAGTGTTTTGGAATTGTCTACTCTTTAACCACACTCTGTTTGACATGGTCCATGGAGCAGTTTTATTACCAGGAAAAACCACTGTGACAAAGCTTTGTGGAAAATATTTTTTTATTATAAAACATACAGTATACTGATCTTAATATTTATATAAAACACAGTAGAAGTATCAGAGTCTTGTAAAGACCAATAATTTATACACTGAGACACAGGTCACTGTATTCTTCCAGTCTCATAGTCCGAAACAAACACCATACAAAATACAGAAGGACTGAAGTCAGCTAGGGATTCCCTTGCTGTGAGGCATTTGCATTGTTACAGTAATTATTGCTGTGCTGTGATGGAAAAAAATCAGGGTTGTTGCTAAGTGAAGAGTTGATCCCAGAGAGCTGATAGAAGAATGGTTAGAGAGTAAGTTAGTAATCATATTCTATAAAGGCTTGGCTATGTCAAAAGTATTGCAGGGGATTATGGAAATAATTTTGTGTCCAACAAAAATAATAATGAAATAACTTCTCTTGCATCAGCTCTTTTGTTATATTTAATACTACTTTGGTACGCTTTAAGGTGCATGTTGCATAAAGGAACAGATTTGCACTATCAGTGGTCATAGTACTTTATATCATAGGCAGAACCAAAATTGATTGGGGTAAGGAGAATTAGCAACATGTTTCTCTCAGTTTGAGCTATCTTGCAAAAGATGCACATTTATGTTCCTATTTTCTCCCTCAAAATAAAGCCATGGGGCATGGAAAGGGAACATGTGGCCCTTTAGGTGTTGCTGGACTACAACTCCCATTAACCTGACTATTGGCCATGCTGCCCAGGGCTGATGGGAGTTGGAGTCCAACGATTGACAGGCCAGAGGTTTCCCATTCCTGCCACTGGAGTTTTTAGATAGCACAAGGTTTGAAAATATTAATTTGTCAAGCTAATGCTATACTTAGGACAGAATTACTTGTTACATGCCCTACAAGACTGCTTCTGTGAATAGCATTTCTGGATCAAGTATTCTCCTCTTCCCCAATACCAGTAGGAAACTCACAATAGGGTAAGTGTTCTGAGAAGTTATCCAGGAGAGAAGAACTTAACAGGGGGATTCAGTGGTCAGGGATGATGGGAGTTATACTCCAGCAACATGTGGAGGGTTACAGGTTGCCCACCTGCTCTGTGGCCCCCTAGATGTTCTTGAGTTACACCTCTCATCATTTCCGACTGTGTTGGCTGGGGCCAATGAGCAATGTTGAGTCCAACAGTGGGGTTCCCCATTCCTGACCTTAAGGTTGTGCTACACAATCCAACCACTTATTAGGTTCCACTGATCACAGTGGCTAACTCTTCCACTGAAATCAATGAGTCCTGAAAGTACTTAACTTTGGCTGAATTGTACTATATACCCTAGATAGGTATATGGCAGGATTAAAGCACACTCCTCTAAATCAAATGAAAAACTGAAAAATGCTTGAAGTTCACCACATTGAGATGAAAGATTGTGGGCTATTAAATCTGCAGCCCCCAAGGTCTAGTCTCAGATTTCAAGACAGGTGGCAAGAAGCCTTCTTACATCACAGAGAGCGTGTAGACGGCTTCTCATATCTGCTACCTGTCTGAATAGTATTTTGGAATTTCATGAAGGGTAAAGCTGTGATCCACCATTTCTGGCACAACCCTGTTCTTCTCTCAGTACAACTGTTTTCATTTAGCAACTGTATTTTCCTAGCTGTGCTCACTTGGCAGGGACTTTAGATATTTTTGTGTATTCAAAGGCATTTTTAAAAAACTTTAGAATATGTGTATGTAGGTTGCTTTTGAATCACTGCCTAGTATATTTTTAGCAGTGCATTTATAGAAGCCTGCATCCTTTTGTGTAGCCTGCTGGATGATTAATGAGCCCTGAGGGTGAAGGAATTTGTTTCCATACAGACGGGATTGAGCTCCCGTTGTCAGATGTGATTTGTCTGGGAGATCCCACGTTATTTCTGCTTTAGGGATCCCAATGGCCATGCAGTTCAGCTTCACTGTATTGCCTGGCCTTGCGTAAATGATGGGAGCCGGTTCGCTTGTGATCCGGGGTGGGTAGGCTATCACAATCACTGGGACATTCATAAGGGAAGAGCCATACTCGGTTGTGACTTTGCACAGGTAAGTACCTCTGTCAAACACGGATGCTTCACGCACTGTGAGAGAGCCATTCTCTAACAGGGAAAATCGCCCAACAGCCTGGGGACCATCTAACACCATCCCATTGGGTAGAGTCCAGGTTATGCGAGCTTGCTGGCTGGGCTGGGTGATGCAGTGAAGCTGCAGGGTCTCCCCATTGATGATGCTCACTAAGTTGTTATACTGATTGCTGATTTCTGGTTTCAACCCCACTTTGAGGAAGACCACCCTTTCTGCATAACCACCTGGGTTCCTGGCTGTGCAGCGGTAAGTCCCAGCATCTGCTGCAGACAAGGCACTGATGTGTAATATTCCATCCTTCTTGTGGTAGAATCGGTGCAAATGGCTGCTCTTCTGTAGCTCGGTGCCATTGGGAAGGATCCAGGCTGTGCTAGGTTGAGGAGTCCCATACACTGAGCAGTTCAGATTGATACTGTGTCCTGCTGCCGCAGTGATCCTTTCAGTGACTGGATCCCGAAAGGCTGGCTTTTCTATGTGGTCCATGACCTGCAGCTGCACAATCAGCCTGCCCTCTCCTCCTTCATTCCTGCCAATGCACACCAACTGCACTGAGTCTGTCTGTCTCACTCCTCGGATGTCTAGTGTGCCATTGCGGTGCACAGTAATTCTGTTCCCATAATAGGGAGCAGGCAGGATCACTCCTTCTGGGAAAGCCCACATGACCCGTGGAGTTGGGATGCCTTCAGCTTTACAGTCAATGAGCTTCCGGCTGTCTCTCAGGGCCATTTCTCTCACCGAGGTGATGGCACTGGGGTGCCCATTTATTTTTGGAGGTTGAACATTGACATGGAGCCAGACAACTTTCCGGTCTTCCCCAGCGGTATTCCGGGCTACACATGTGTAGTTGCCACTGTCAGATCTTTGGGCCTTCTGTATGAGAAGCGTCCCATCCCTGTACACCTGATATTTATCTGACAAAAGTGGGATAGGTCTGTTGCTTGGAGACAACCACATCACTTTGGGTGTGGGCTCTCCTTTTGCTTCACATCCTACAGATACCACATCTCCATATGGGATGTTGAGAACCAAGTAGGTTTTATTCCTAATTGTAGCAGGTTCGGCCACTACTTTGACCCGCACTTTCATCTCATCTTTACCAATCTGGTTTTCGGCGTAGCAGGTGTAGTCCCCCTCTTCTCTCAGCCCTACATCATTGAAGTACAGTGTCCCATTGTTGAATACGACATATCTCTTTGTTCGGCTCCCACTGTCATCTGCTAGCATGAGGGTATTGATCATGCTGCCATCTGGAAGGCCCCAGGAGATCTCAGGGTTAGGCAGACCTGTAGCTACACAGTCAACTTTCAGGTCCCCTCCATACATCACCTTGCGATTATTCTCATTCTTGTGTTCGATTTTGGCAGGTTTCATCATCACATTCACTTTAAGAACCACGTAATCATCTCCAATCTTGTTGCGGGCCACACACAGATAGTCCCCTGCATCCCTTTCAGTGATGGAATGAACAACCAAAGTTCCGTTGCCAAATACCTTGATTCTGCTGTCCAAACTAATTTAGAAAAAAGAAAGAAAACAAAACATGTGTTTTAAGTTTATGTTCATAAACCATCATATTTTGAGCCAGAAAACAAACAAGAACAATTATCTTCATTTGCAATCAAACAATTCCACCCTGCAACTGGAAGGATGTTTTTACATCATTATGCTTCTTCTGAAGATCCAGATTTTATTTACAGTATTCTATGCTGCATTTAGACATGGAAATACAAAGGAGGTGGGGGAATCTCCTGTATATATACACACCACAGATAAATCCCATGTAAGCTTATATGCATGGATACATATGTTTATAAAGTGAACAGGATATTGACAATATACTCCATATGGCAAGATATACATACATTTATTCCATAGAGAGCCACATTGCTTTGGTATGAAACAGACCAGAAAATTTATTAGCTATTATATAGATATTATATAGATATATTACCTATTATATTGTACATATGAGTGCCCACCTTCAGAATGCAGTCCTATGCACATTTACCTGGAAGTCAACAACACAGAACTTAATGGGGCTTACTGCTGAGTAGACATGCATAGGATTGTGCTGCCAATTCCCAAATAGTTACCATGGGGCCTCTGGTAGCGGAAGATAATGGTTGTTTGGGTCTCACTAACACGATACAAAATATTTACATGGAGCAATCTAAAAAGTTTATAAAGCCTAACTACTTAATGCATAAGGGCATTTATCCTCTCTGCAACAGTAAAATGTATGATCAATCTATTTTAAATGGTTATAAACATCCAGTGACACTAAAAATAAGACGTTTGCCTGGGATGCTGCTTTGCAGGAATACCTAGTCTTTCTAGCTATGACCAATTCTTTTCTCTTTGAGTTACTTCAGCGATTACTGTGTGTAGTGCTTTCTGCATTCACTGAACAAAGGAGCTTCAGGCAGAGTTCAAAGGAAAACTTGTGTGGTGTATCTAAATCCCATGCATGCTCCACTTCAAATGTTAAAACCAGCACTGCCAATCAGATGCAAACCACTCTCAAAACTATCTTAAACTAAGGGATCTTTTTCATTCCTGCTACCAAGGAGCCTAAAAGTGGAAGAAGATGTTATGGAAGGTCTAGGGCTGCTGCTGCAAAAAACAAAATAAAAAATGAGACCCCTATACCTTGTTATCTACTGTTAGGAAAGACTAATAAGATTCAGTGCATGGTGTGATACAATCATACTGTGACATTCTTCACTCTCACTAGTGAGAGTGGCAGCCCATGATGTAGAGCACAAGTTGGGGGAATTCGCAGTATGATGACCTATTGTGACTTCCTTACATGTTACAGGGAATGGGGGAGAAATAGGGGGATGATCCCATGTCTTCTGTAATATCTAATTCCACAGTACATTTATAGTAAAGTCCTATAGAATCCATCTAAAAAACCAGGAGCCTCAAGAGTTCTACACTTTTGAATGTTAAAGTTTGCCATACTCATCCTACTATAGTTCCATGACCTCAGATATAATTAATGCATTTTATATGATGGGTGAATAAACGTCCTTTATAAAACTCACATTCCTGAACAAATTACCTTACAGTCATAAATGCTTAATGCCCTTCTCTTAAGGCTAACAGTTTTTACATAACTTTTTGTAAGGCAGGGTCAGTGTGAAAAATATACACACACAACTATGTATTTTAAAACAACATTGCAATCGCAAACCAATGTGAAGTAGCATTAGTATAAATATAAATCAAGCCCAAGCATTTCTCCATACCTGAACCTCTTGGAAAACATAAATGATTGTATTTATGTTTAATATAAATGTCAATGCTGAATTTTGCTAGATGTACACAAGCATGAACAGTGAAATCAAATCTCATATTGCTGTTCTAGCAAACATGGCCACAATCCGGTCAAAATGAAATACATTTAAGCCCTGCTGGTTTATGTGAGGAGTTCACCACACAATTATCTCTCCTCAAGCCAATGCACTGAAGAATGCTTCACTCTGGATACACTACAGCCTTTTTTTTCCCCCCCAGATGGAGGAAAGTTGGACAAATAATGTGGACAGCTATGCAGGCCAATTTTAGCTTCACTACCCTCTTCATTAGAACTATTTCAAGGCATTCTATCTTAATTTAACCCATCCATATCCAGAGGAATTTCTTTGTGACCTATACTGGTCTAAATGAAAATTTCTGCCTTTAAGGTACCTTTTCCACAGTGCTTTGCCTACTACAGAATCCTGCATGATGTGAACTGCAAGACATTCAAAAGCATAATCTAGCTGCATAGTGTGGCACTTTGAATTTCACTGCTGATATGCATAAACAAGAAGAGTGTACCCGAGAACACAGCAAACACCCTACCGCTCCTTTGCAAGGCAAGGGAAGATTGACGGTCGGGGCCACCTGCCTTTAAGGGATACTTTCCCATTGAGGAAACTCTGATAAGACTGCAAGGAACCTTAAAGTTAAAGGTACCCCTGACCTAGATCCAGTTGCGGACAACTCTGGGGTTGCGCGCTCATCTCGCTCTATAGGCCAAGGGAGCCGGCATTTGTCCGCAGCAGCTTCTGGGTCCTGTGGCCAGCATGACTAAGCCACTTCTGGCGAACCAGAGCAGCACATGGAAACGCCATTTACCTTCCCGCCGGAGCGGTACCTATTTATCTACTTGCACTTTGATGTGCTTTCAAACTGCTAGGTGGGCAGGAGCTGGGACTGAACAATGGTTCACAGGGATTCAAACTGCCGACCTTCCAATCGACAAGCCTTAGGCTCTGTGGTTTAGACCACAGCACCACCTTAGGATTCTTTATAAAACAGGTATTCTAAACAAATGGTCTTAGGTTGGAATCCTATACATCCTTCATAGGAAGTGTTATTGAACTCGGTGCAATTTGTTTCTGAGTGGCCATGGTGTATGATCAAGCACTTAAGTCCAACATGTCATTACAGTGCCAACTGTTATGGATGCTTTAGTTGAGATTCCTGCATTGCAGAGGATTGGACTAGATGGCACTCAGGGTCCCATGCAACTCTACTATTTTAGGGTTCTATGCATGCAAGAGAATTGAAATGCTGTGAAAGGTATAACACTATTGCTGGTGGTTTACATTCTGAAACCATGTGCAATATAAATATGTGCTAAACTGCACTCTACTCAGAAGTAGCCCAGAGAGAGCTATTCCCATGTAAATGTGTATAGGATTGCAGCCTAAAGGAAGTAACATTGAAATGACTATAGCTATAGTGCTAATTTGAAGAGTTGTTATATTTAAACTAATCAAAGACAACAATTAGATACATATATCTATGGTCATTTTATTTTTTTTACCTTTGTAGAGAATCCACCATCCTTTTTGAAGGCAGCCTCCAGAGTATCCGTGGCCAGGGGTCCCCAGAGGCGCTGCAGTCCAGTCTCAGGGTGCTGCCATAGGTCACATCTGTTCTCTGAGGAGAGCTCCCAGTAATCTTGGCATTTGTGGACTGCTTTCTGACATGCAACCATACGGTTCTCCTGGCAGCCCCAACCATGTTGGCTGCAATGCATTCGTAGCTCCCACTGTCTTTGGGAGAGACATTACGTATGTAAAGAGTTCCATTTGGAAAAACAAACAGATTGCCGCGTACAAACTGGGAAGTGCGGATCTGGGTTCCATCAAAAAGCACCCAGCGGATGCCAGGCAGAGGAGCTGCTTTGGCACTACAGTGAATGTTAATGTTCTGCCCTACGCTGAGGGTAATGTTTTCCTGTTTCTCCTGCTGGATAATAGGTGGCAAGGCAGCGATGTGAAGCCTCACGGCAAGGCTGTCAGTTCCTGCAGCGTTGCTGGCTATACACTTATATACTCCACGATCTGAGAAGTTAGTGTCCTTGAGGGACAAGGTTCGGTTTTCATACAGCATCACTCTTCCCTCTGTAGTGCTCACAGTTTGTAATATTTTCCTGTCGGGAAAAATCCAAGAAATATGGGGACTTGGAATACCATTGGCTTGGCACTCCATGATCACTTTTTCTCCAAAATAAACAGTCATATCTCTGAAGCGGGAACCCAGCATTTTGGGCTGCTGAGCTAAGACGGTCATCGAGACTATCATTTTATCAACACCATGCAGGTTCTGAGCAGTGCACAAATACTGTCCACGGTCCTGAAGCTGAACATTGCGAACGAGGAACGTACCATTTTGCAAGACTTCAAATCGTTGTATCCTTGTATTGGCTGTCATGACAGCTCCTGAAAGGAAAAGCAGGAAGGAAAAAGAAGAAAAGCATTTTTGGGGATACCTTTTTTTCTGAAAAGGAACATAGAAACTGTAGTAAACTACAATATTCAAAATTATTATTATTTTATTATGCATTAGTATTATATCTTGTATATTTGATAAAATTTAAATAAATAAATTTCTAATTTAAATAAATTAGAAAAGGCCAAGACACATCACTTTATTCCTTTTTTGCTGCACAATAGTACTCTGGTAGGACCTTATAAGAAGCAGAGGTATGAAGATCCAATCTAGTCAGTCATGTCAGAACACCCAATGGTCCCAGATGCAGTTTTATGTCCTTATTTGCATCATAAGAATTTTCTGGCACTACCAACAGACATTCATCACAGTGCAGATGAGAATGGGCAGCCAGACACACAGAGGGTATAACCGGATGGGTGCAACAGTTGTGCCAAAACAGGTACCGTCAAACCCTATTATTAGGTAAAAAAACGAATCAGCGCACACCTAAATTAATGGGGAAATGGACACTCTACCCTCCAAATAGGTTCCTAAACAGAATGAAAATGTATGTTTATTGTACATAAAACATACTGTTCATTGGGGGGGGGGGGTGATATAGAGAATGCCTTACTGAAGAGGTTGCCAACCTGGCACCTGTGGGCATCAGCCCCAAACTCTGAATTTGCATTTAAAAAGTAAGTCTCTAGCCCTCCTACAAAGAAAGGTAAGAAGCAAAATATGCAGGTACTCTTCTATGTGATTTCTCTGAGATGAGCAAGCCTGGCTTCTTCTTCCTGTCAATGTTTTTTAGCCAATGACTGACATCAAAGCTGCAGTGGATAAGTGAGTTGTTTGGAATCCCTGGGATCCTGAATAACTAACGCCCCTCTCCCCATTAATGCACTTTTCCTGTTTCCGTCTAATCTTCTAGGCTGATATTCAATAGGATACATCTTTTTCCCCACTGTTGTACTTTTCACCATGTACCTTTGCTCATTTTGTGTTCTGCCACACCCTCATGACAATCATATTGTGAGTGGCACCCCCAGCTCTCAAAATTAAAAATGGTTGGTGGCCTCTGCCTTATTGTGACTGGATCAAAATTGAATGCTTTAATACAAGCTGTGGGAAAATGGCCTCTAAAAATTATCTGCTCTATTTAAGGGCAGAGAAACTGGGGTGTGTGTGTGGGGGGGGGACTGAATTTCTCCAGAGGGGAAGATAAATTCTTCACCAATTTCTCAGGGGCAGGACTCACCATTAGGGGTGGGAGTAGGGCAACTTTTATGTTCCTTATTTATTTCTTTTTGTTTCTATAACAAGTGGCGGCAGCAGTAACTACTGTGCAGCCTGGTCACCATTTTGCATCCTCCACAATTCTCTGGTTCTAGCATCATTCCAAGAGAAAGGGTAGTAGCAGCAGTGCTTTTTTCTGGGGGGAACACAGGGATACACAGACCCCTAAACATTTTGTGAATCTAAGTTTGGCCTCAATGAGGGGCAGTATTTCAATATGAGTAGGAAAATGAGAGTAGCCCTAAACACATTTTTAGGGGGGAAAAGTAGCAGCCTCAAAAAAGTTAAACAACAGTTCATAATATTTAAAGAAAATTCTATAAACGTGCCTTTTCTAAGGGCAGGGGAAGAAGAAAAACATCAGGGTTGTTGTTTTTTTAAGAAAGAAAAGTATTCTGAGTAAATCTAACTAGTTTAAATATCTTACCGGTGGATACTTTTGTCCAAGAAAGGAGAGGCTTGGGTTCTCCCGTGGCATCACATGGGATAACAACATCTGATTCAGCAAGGATGGATAGACTGTTAGGTCCTTTTGTTATAATCTTAGGCCTCTCTCCTTGTATCTTGAAATGTGTTGAAGGCTGGATTATGCTGGAATTAAGTGCCTTCACTCCTCCAATTTTAGGCACAAATAGCACATTAGGATTATTGTAGTGGATGTTTCTGGAGGACTGCAATGTGGAAGTCCCTTGTGGCTTAATACTAGGAGTAGTACTCTCAGATGGCAGTGTAGTATCAAGGGGCACAGGAGGCACTGGGGTAGCAGCAGCCCTTAGAGGAGTGCTTTGTGTGATCACCCTGGTTGGAGAGACAAATTTCTCCTCTGTTGTGCTAACTGGGTAAAGCGGATTAGGCACTATAGGTTTAGAGTTTACTCCCAATTGTTGGAATACCCTAGTTCTGTTCAAGAGGAATGGTATTCTGGAATTGGGGAGGTAGGGTACAGCTTGATTTATTGTTCTTCCAGGCTTGTCTCTGGTGTCAGGAAGGTAGTTATTGGCAAAAACTCTGGAGTGACTGTTGAGTCTGTTTTCTCCCTGGTTGCCAAATCTGCTGGGGGTCTGCAACTTAGGTCTGTATAATGGAGCAACAGTTGTGGTGGGAAAGGTCTCTGTATGAGCAGAAGAGGTTCTTTTGTCCTGTGTGGTATGTGCTGCGTAAGCTGTAATTTCTGGCTTATTGGTATAGTGAAGGGGGGCCTGGTGAGTTACAAAATGGTGATACAGACCTGGTGCAATGAGATATGGAGGCCTCATGGTCCCTCTTGCAGGGATCTGTTTTGGAGGCGCAAAAGCAGGTGCCTGATTAAAAATGGGTATAATTCCAATTGGCTGGTTGGGAATATTTGGATTCAGTGTATTGTATCTCCTACCACCATATGGTTCTTTCGGTTGCTTTTGTTGTGAGGTTATTCTGTTGTAGTTTGAATGGGAAGTGGAAAATTCATTCTGTCGTGGGCTGAGACTGAATCTTTCGATGTCTGGAACTGCTACTTGACCAGATGTGTAATTTTCTTTTGTAGACAAATTAAGAGTGCTAGGCTTTGATGGAGGAAGAGTAGTGGCTAATGGTGCAGATGGAATGGGTAATACTGGGGGATAGTTTTTTTCAGTTCTATAAGCATTAGTCTGATCATGTAACTGAGTAATACTTTCCTTTGTGTGCCTTGAAGATGGTGGTATAAGTGTTTTATTATGCCAAAGACTGATCACTTGTTTAGTTTTTGCAGGTGTGAAAATGTGATCACCCAATGTACCATGGTGAGATGAAGTCAGTATTTCTCTTTGATGAGATGTTGCCACTGTACTTATCTTTAGATAGTCTGGAAATTTCTCCTGTTCATCTACAGTTGGAGGATCCTTAAAGCGTTCCCCCATGCCATCAGCAGTACTTAAACGCTGTACCTGGGAAGGTCTTGACTGAGCTACCCTTAAGTCAACTTCATTCCTTGAAGCTGATGAGCCAGTAAGAAAAGCTTCTTCTTTGAATTCTGGGATCTTTGAGAAACTAAGCTCAGAAAGTGACACTGGTCTAGTGATACTTTCTATAGATACTGAAATGCTTGTTGTATGAGTGTTTCTAACTCGGTTATTTGCTGAAACACCTTCCAAGACTTTGATGAATTCATTGCCTGCAGATGTTGTAAGCATATGTCCTGAGCTGTGAGACAAATGTGGTTGTCTACCAGGGGCTGTAGTTAGAGAATCCAGTGTTGCTGTTGTCACCATGTGACTTTTCCAGTCCTTGGCAGCATTGGAAAGAGTTACAGGTATTTCAGGTGGCAAAGTAGAAAGATGAAGAAATGAAGCTTCTTCTGTGTCTTGGGCCCCAGTAGACTTCCTTAAGGCAGCAGTACTTGTAGCTAGTGGAGAACTTACTTCAGGAGGCTTATATTCATTTCCATGTTGTGTTTCAGCATCAGATTTATGATGACCTTTAAAAATGGAACCCTGCAAACTTTGGGTAGCAGCTTCCGATTTAGATATTTTTCTAATAAAAGGTGTCTCTTCTATGGTGAAGATAGTAGGAGGGATAAGTTTTGGTCTTCTGAACCTATTTGGCCTTAATCTCCTTCTCCCATATGGTCGTCTTCTGGGATGATGGATGACCTGTGAGTTAGAGGTAGTTGTTTTGCTTGTAATCATGGTAACTGTGGTCAATTTGTTACTGGCAGCAGCAGTCATTGTTTGGGTTTTCTTGTTAAGTGGAGCAGTGGTACTTTCTACAATAAAAGTGGCTTTCGGGTTTTGAGCATCTGTTTTTTCAAGTATTATACCTTCAGAACCCCTGAAAAGGTCAGAAGAAATTCTTCCTTGCTGGTGCTCTATACTACCACTCTCTGTAGCTACAGAAGCAAAAATAGTAGTAGAGGCTATTAAATTAATATAATTTTCAGTTTGAGAATGTGTGGGATGTTTTACAGCATGATGTAGCTTATTCATACTTTTCTGCTGTAAATTTGTTCCTGAACCTTCAGTTTTTGCAGGGACAGGTGCTTTAGGTGATAGTTCCACAGATGATAATGGATAAGGCAAGCTGCTTGTTACTTCTTCATTTGAAGGGTCTTGGGTGAAGCTATCTATGCCTTTTCGTGCCCCTGATGGATCATCTTTCCTCAAATCACTATGATCCCACACCTGTGTCTGTACAGTTGGAGAAATCAGAGCATCTCCTCCAGTAGGTGTTTCTCCCCTGTTTGACAATCCATTTGCTATGGAAGACTCAGTACTCATTGGTGTAGACGGTGTGTGGTCTTGGTTATTATTCTGAGCGTTGACAGTGGGAAGAATTGTGACTGAGAACATTTCTCCCTCACCCAGCTGCAATGAATCTGCAGAAGACTCCTCTCCATTGACTTCCACAGCAGTGTTTGGTGGAGGGCTGATAATGGGAGGAGCGTTGGTGGTTTGGTGCATGGACGGCGTCTCTGTTGTAGTCCTGAAGGAAGTGCCTGGTACCATTGTTGTTCTAGGGAAATTTTTCCCACGGACTTTTGCCAAAATGTTGGCCCAGTGCTGCGGATTAATTTGTTTGTTGGCCATATTTATTCTCCTTCGGGATTCAAATACCCTACGGCCCTCTGCAACATTGATCTCTTCAGTCCTGTCCATGCCTTTCCATAATTTCATTTTGTGCCTTCCTTTTTTGTTCTTCTTAACCTGAACCTGAGGAACATTGTCATTCTTTTCTTTAAGGGGCACTTCACGGTCCTTCAGGTGGAATTTTTTGCTCCGAGTATCATCAGCTTCTTCAGCACCTGATCCTTCATCATCTTCTATGACCCGCCCCTTTGCTTTTACAGAGGTTCTTGAACCAAGGCGTTTTTTTAGTTTCACCCTTTTTGAGGATCTGTCAGAGACCATTTTATTTACTGTGACTTTAATAGCAAATTGATCTGATCCTTGCTGGTTTATAGCCACACACCTGTAGTACCCACTGTCACTGACATGGCTGCGTGGAATTAAGAGGGTGCCATTGTCTAACAGGTACTGGTTGGATGAGTTTGATAAATCATGAAGGACATGGCTGCTTGGGAGTACCCAGCTTATGTGCGCTTCTGGTACAGCCACTGCACTGCAGGGCAGAAGTATGGAATCCCCTACATTTTTTTCAATTTTCATTGTCTCAGAGTCAGCTGGCTGGATGACTGCGGGTTGTACCAGAAGTCTGTAGGCCATTGTGTCTGCATCACTCCTCACTTGAGCAACACAGTGGTACACACCAGAATCAGCATAGGCCACAGATTTGATGACTAACTGACCACTGCTGAGGACAGAAAACCTGCTGTCTTCCATTCTGAATGGAGCTTTTAGTTTAGTTCCATCTGGAAGCATCCACACGATGGAGGGACTTTCTGATGCTTTCACATTGCAACTTAGCTGAGCATCCGAACCTTCCACTACACTCTGAGCTGCCTTTGTGTGCTGGTCTTGCTCTATCATAACCCAGCTGCTTCTCTGCTGTCTGTTTTCTTGAATCTGAAGTGTTTGAGAAATTTGGGTAGAAAAAGAGAGCACTACTTTATTCCCTGTGCTCTGGCGCCTGTTCAGTTGGATATGTATCAGTGGCTGCATCACCCAGGAAGGCTCAGCAAGGATTCTCCCTTTGACACCTGTGTAGTAAAGAGCATCATAATCAGAACCTTGCTTGTAATGATAGCTTAATTTGGGTTCATGGCTGAGCACATGCTCCCTTTCTAACTTGACAGGCACTTCACTATAATAAGCAATAAGCTTCCACAATTTTTCATAGTTTTCTCGGTTCATGGGGCATTCCAGATCCAAGGAAATGGTTGCATTGATTTCAATTTCTTGAGGCGAGTTCTGGCTCCACTGAATTTGGGTGGTGTTTGTTGGCTTCTTGATTTCACACTTCAGATTCACTATGTTGCCATGCTCATCTGTCAGGTTCAGAGTAATGTTCCATGGAGACAGCTGAAATTCTTCCCTGGGAAGCTCAGAGACATCATCTTCCTCTACCTCCTCCACCTCCTCGAGGCCAATGCTCTGTTTCAGTGGAGACTGTATGATAGGCTTTGTGCAGGAAACATTTTTCACATTTTGAATGTCTTGTTTCTGGAATTGCTTAGGGAAGGTGCATTTAGGGCAAAGCTGGCCTTCTTCATAGGCTTTGTCTTTTTTACACTTTAAAACAGCTGGAAGACAAAAAATAATAATAATCTAAATGTCAGATGGAATTTTGACAGAGAAATATTTTATCTGAAAGTTTTGCCTACACAACACTCTATCAATTGGCCTGTACAGCCTATTGATATTTCCGCCCCCCCCCCCCCCAGATGCCTTGGTTTAGAGGCTAGAACTAGGAACAGAATTCTAACTGAAGGTATCATCACATGGAATAAGAAATGCAAGAACTTTCCTTCTGACTATTCATATCCTTCTGCCCTATCATACTACTGTCTTCCAGAAATTCGGCCCAACAGCAATAGCTATTGGTTTCACAAGCATTAATTCTGCAGCTTTGGGAGCTTGATACATGCTATTTAAAACATTTAAATGAGGAATAGGGAGCCTCCAGTTTATGGGTCAAACCTGGCCTACCAGGCACCTCCATTTGATCCAAGATGCCATTTTTCTCATGCTGTGGCCACTTTCCCCACATCTGACATCATATGTAATATATGGTATGGGACAGGTAGAGATATGGCTGCTCCGAGGAGGGTTGAACTCCCTGAGCACCTGAAATGGTACAGTCCCTCTGCCATTTCTGAACTGGGCCACCACATTCTGAAACATGTGTATGCCTGACTGCTATCATTGTCCCAAAGAGAAGAGATAGAAAATACCCTTTTCTTTAGAATGGAAAGTTCCCCAATTAAGTTGGTTCTGTTGAGCTAACTGCTCTACAACATCAGAAATACATGAAAGAATCAGCCTCCCCACACCCAAACCATGCCTTTAAGGCCCAGTATGTAGCCTGCAGCTGTGTCTTCAATTTTGGCACTTTCCCCCCCTAAGCCTTGTAACTATGTGGTTTGTCTAGACTGCATCTGGGGAGGGGAGGGATACCAGCAGAACTGGGACCCACAGAAGGGAAGACAGAACGGCATGCTATGTATTTAGCATAATGTGTAGTTTGGCCCTTATAGTGTACTTTGCTATTCAAATAGTGCCCAATTGGCTTGGAGAAATATCTCAGGACCAGTTCAGGTGTATTCACTTATATATTTTTAACACTTTCCATTGGTTTGGTTGGTTGGTCAGGTCCTAGACTATGTGTGCCATTGGCATGAAATTGCAGGGTCTTCTTATGTTCTTATGAATTATGGAAAGGCAGTTTTTAAGGTTTAGAAATAAATAAATAAATAAATAAATAAATAACCCAGCCCCTGAGTATAGGCCAACAAAGGAAGGCAATATTTCTGTGATAATTTCTGCCGGAGTCTATTTCTAATGTAGTAAAGCAACAACTATGATCTTCCCTTACCTGCAAACTTCTGATTCCATTCAAGGAACCATTTCAACCTGCAGTCACAAGACCAGGGATTCCCATGAAGATAAACATTCTCTAGGAGTGGCATTTTTTGAAAAATGCCCATAGGCAGTGTTCTAATGGCATTTTCAGACAAGTAGAGGTGCTTTATTGTCGACAGCCTGAAATAATCAAGGACCAAAAATGTAGAAAACGTGTTGGGGTGAAGCTGTTGGAGCAAGTTTCCTTCCAAATGGAGAAGTCTGAGGGAAGTTAATCCATTAAAAGCATTTGGGTGGATGAATTCAATTCGGTTGTGGTCCATGTGCAATCTCATAAGGCTGGAAAGCCCTTGGAGGGTTTGACCAGTTATAACCTGCAGCTTGTTGTAGCTTATTTTGAATACCTAAATGGCCAGGTAAAATGAATAGGTTAATACTTTTTAGTAGTAACATGGCACTGCAGAATAGGCACACATAAAGCAATACAGGAGAATATAGTGGCCCAGACTAGACAAATGTAGCCACACTTCAGTCCCTTCAAAATAAGCAGGATTAACTTAAGATACAGCAAAATGGATTTCAATAGGATGTACATACAGTATGATTGACCTTATGTGGATTAGAGCCACAGAACTGTAAGTCTGATTCAGGAACTCCTACATACGTGAGGAATGAAAGTGACTGCTCTACTGTGTGCTACTGTATGTGTGTATGTGTGTGTGTACCCACTAACAAACATGGTTCAATAATACAGACTAAAGATGTGGGTGGTGGGTATTTGTGGGTGTATGCAGGAGCTTCTGATCATGTATCTTATATAGCTTTCTCCAATGCCACCAACCACCAGGCAGTCATTGTTTATACTAATTCCATAGAAGCATACAAAGCTGCCTTTGGACCATCAGTTAACCCAGCTCAGTATTGCCAGTCAGCAGCTCTCTAGGGTTTCAGCCAATGGACACCCCCAGCCCTGTGTGAAGATGTCACAGATTGAACCCATGGGTCTTCTGCATGCAACACAGATGCTCTACTCCTTCCCCATGTATGCACATCTGGGCTTTGTGGGAACACAGCTAATAGACTGAAACTTGTTATTTTAAGAAGAAACATTTTGACTCAACCTGTAGTGATGTCAGATCTTTTAAGGCTCCGTTAGGTATGTTTTGGATGTCATTCCCATGAAGCATGAGCAGTTCCAGTTTTGCAAGGCCTGCAAACGAGTTTCCAGATATTGCCTGTATGCTGTTAAACCTGGAGGGGGGGTGGGGAGAACCACATTTAAGTGTTGAATCATCATTTTGCATTGAGTAAACCAGACATTTTTAGGCACCTTTGGGTTATTCATAAATCATACACTTAACCTGACAAAGTTAATGAAGCATTTTAACAAGACCTGGTGTTTCATGTGTTAAAAGTCAATGCTTCTTTGACTATACACACACACACACACACACACACTTCAGTTGCAGCTTAAATTAATGGAATTATCAATTAATTAGAAAAGGCTTTTCTGGACAGTGTTCTCCATGTGCTGGATATATTAGTCAGTGGCAGGGATCCAACCTATGATGATATGGAGACTGGCAACCAGTAGGCGTGCAAGGATGCCAACAGAACATGTAACAATAAATGAATAACGTTTTGTGCAGAGGACATTTAAACATGGATGCCTGCCAAGCAGTTTCTGGAACCAGAAAAGTACAGCTACTAGCTAAACTGCTAGATTTGCACATATAGCATGTAATTAGGTATTTAACTGTTAAGATAAATATGTGGTTTTGAAATTGCAAAACTGTGAATCTAGAAACTCAGGCTGCAAACTGATTAAAAAATGCTTAGTTGATTAATCGCTTGCCCTTTGACAGGCCAATCAATTAACTCTCAGTACATTTGCATTTTACTAAAGTTTCACTGCAGTTGTCTCAGCTACTGAAGGGAGCATATAAAATAAAGAAAGCCATGGTTCATTATTAGAAGGCCATCTTTTAACCTCTGTCCCAATCACAGTAGCACAGCAGAACAACTAATGAAGAGAAACATGAAAATGCTCTCATGACTTCTATGGCTCCTCTTCTTGAATGCTACACAGCAGCCACTGTGGAGGGTTGTGGTTATTCTCTTGGTTTTTGTAGGCTACCATTACAATATGGCATCATTTAGGGAAGCAGCATCAGAGACAGTAGTACAGCAATTATTTCTGTACATTTTGAGTCTTGTAGGCAAAATGGGATGCTGCTTGTCTAAGTGGTCTGTGCACACATTTAGCAATTGATTTGGGGAGAACCCCAATGTAGGCAGGAGGAGAGTCACAACCCAGGTAAACAGAGGAAGAAGAAAGGATGAAAGCAATAGCAATGGTGGTAGTAAGAGCAGATGCTCTAGAGTCTAGAGGAAGTAGGAAATTCTGGAGCAAAGCAAGGGAAGGAAATTGCTGGGACATGGACACAGAGAGAGTACAGCTTATCAAATAGTCCATGACCAAGACAGGTGTGGTAAATATAAAATTAGCTGGGTAAGGTCTTTGTTTAAGAGCTTAGAAGAAACAAGACTCGTAGGGTTGGCACATAAGAAGTGAGCAAGAAAGCAAGTTCAACTGAAACTGGAGATCTATTTTCCAAAAAGGATAAGAAGTGATTATTAGTGCTACAACAATTGTTATCTGCCTTCTGAAAATGAAGTGATCATGATGTGGGCAGGAGAAAGGTTTGTAGCAAGACAGCAAATGCTAATGCACATTCACCATTGGCTCATTGTGTTGGTCATATACTGTAGACAAATCAGTAGGATTTATCTGGGTCTCGCAAAAATGTTAAATATAAATGTAGGTAGATCACAGTAGTTTTAGATCAATTCCCATAAATGCTCCTCTTTATGAAAGGCTTTTAATCTGTACAGTAATGGTATCACATTGCAGCTCATGTGATGCACAATGCTTCAAACTAGTGGGATGAACTCTCAAAGAATGTAAAATGCCGCAGTAAAATTGCAATACAAACCCCAAATTGATTCGTTCCACATGTTTAGAGATTCTCGTTGGCACAGCTACTAAGGACCGAAATGTGCAGTGAACTTCAGTGGGAACATAACAGGCGCATGGATGAGGACATGCAAGTGTAGTTTCCGGAAGCCCGAGAGAGAGAATCAGCACCACGGATAGTGCCCCCAAATATGTTTGCTTTAGCATCTTCACCAATTTATTCATCTCACTATACCTGTTTAATTCAAAAGAGAGAGAACTAGTTTAATTTTTAAATAGATGTCAAACATGACTATTTAGATACTCTGCATTGCATGTGGCCAGTTTGATGACCTCACTACTTCCTTAAGTGTTTGGAATCCCTTAATGGAGTAACATGTGAAGGCGGCTAAGGAAGAACCCAGATCCATCACACTTAAAACACTGCTACCAAATTGACCCCAACGTGGAAGAAACCACCCACAAGCACTCTTTTCATTAACATACACAAAGGAAGTAACAAGTGGGAGCAGAACACACCCATATACTTAAGACTTAACACAAGTTCACACCCATTAAATAACCAAAAGGCAGATCTTAAACATTTAGAGCCAATGAATGAGGTTTAGATAAAGTACTGCAAGCATTTACTTGCTCTGCTGTAGCTGAAGCATGGCTGTATGGATGGGTAACTCCTAATACTACCCGTGGCTGGTGCAAAGTATGAAAAAGACCGATGACATGTCAACCAAGGAAGGGGATCTTCCCCATTCTCCTTGAACTTCCTTAGAATAATCTGACCTATTTCCTCAAACAATAAGCCAACGGCTTTGCTTACTCTGAGCCAATCTGAGTTAAATCAGAGCTCAACCCCCTATGTGCCTCTCAAATTCCTTCTATTCACAACTTAGCCCCACCCGTTCTTCGGATGTAAGCTCACCCCAGGCCATTTTGATCTAATTCTCCATGACTCTTGCCTGTTTCTGTTTACTTGTTCCCTTCCTGTTTGCCCTTCCCTTGATTCTGCTATGCCATCCATGACCTGGTTTGTTTTCCGTCAACAGACATCCTTACATGGCTGTGTGTGAGTCAAGGAGTAGCACAAGAGCGGCTTTGCCATAAGCTTGTTTGAAGCTCTGGAGCAACTGGCGAGTTACAGTCTCACATCCATGCTGGAATTCTCATTCCTGATCCCTACAAGCTGCTTCCTCAGAAAAATGGCTCATGGGATTGAGCCATTAGCCTCTACAAAGCTATTTCTTTGTGTATACTCCGAAGTTCTTAGATCTGCAAGCAATAAGGCTGTCATTCCTTTCCTATCAGCATCATATGCAAGCCATTATGACTCTAAAGCAGCGGTTCAAGAGGCTGAAGGGGCTTCTCAAATGTCTGTGGTCAGGTTAACACAATAGTTGCCCCTTCTTTAAAAAATAACTCCATGGCACGTCAAAGAACTTTGTACTTAACACAGTGTTTCTTTAATGCATATCAATATTTTACATATTTTCTTTTCTTTAGAGGACTAATAAACATCTACTTCTATTCATCTAATTCCTGCTTAGAGTCAGACAGAAGTTACAACATCAAAAGATGACTTCCTACTCAAAATCCTGGGCTCAGGCCTCTAAGTGGAAAATGATGTACCGCAAGGTTTCTTTCTTCCTTTTAAATAAGAAGATCCATAACAATGGAAAATGCATTATGCCGTCACAATGCCTTCCACCCCTACAGATGGAAGACCCTAGGGAAAAACTGTAGCTCTGTGGCAGAGCACATGCTTTGTATGCAAAAATATCCCAGGTTCAGTCCCTGGAATCTTCAGACTCCTGTCTGAACCCGTGAAGAGCAGCTGCCAAACAGTACAGACACGACTAAGCTAGATGGACCAATAGTCTGACTTGGTATTAGGCAGGTTCCTTTGCTTCCTACATTTGGCACAATGGCAAACACGTACTGACTAGAAATAATGGCTTTTTAAAGTTCGCAAGTTCTTATTACACAGAAATGAACATTTAAATTATGAATGATGGAGAAGCTATATATGAAGAGCAGCAATTGTAGCAGGATATCAACTACTCATTTAACCAGAGAGCTCTGTGTGAATCACACCGGGACTACATATAGGTATTTCTGTTTCTCAATTGGTGCTTTCTCTTAATATTCTTTGTAATATGCTGCTTATCTATGTCTTTTCCTCGAAAAGATGTGTGATAAAAAAAAGAAGCAACTTATTCAAACATTCCAAATCACAATTACCGGTGGACAGAACAATCCAAATCCCAGGTGGGCAGCAGGGACATCATCACCTCTGCACCCCTGTTGCTTTCACCAGTCAGGGTGGAAGGTGGAATTGCTGTGCCAACCTGGAGCTTGCACAGTGATCAGGCTCAATGCTGATGAGTGACAGCAGTGAAGCCAGTTCACTCCTTCCCCTCATTTGGGGACTTTCTGCAGGTGAGGATCCCACAGGTGGTACTTTCTTCTGACTGCATATTTGGGAATCGGAATGGGGAGCTCCATGCCGGAAGAGTGGTACTCCAGTCTCTGATGGCAGAGATTGGCATGGAGGGACACATATGCTCAAGTTGGGGTCTGGTAGTAGTGGTGGTGAGGGATGCACACACAATGCCTGGCCCCAATGTCCAGGTGAGTTCTGATGCACCTGCTCATTCCCTGATCCTTCCCTTTGTTGAGCAGGAGAGGGCTGAAGGTGTTTCTTTTACTCATATTTGCTTGAGCTATCAGGGATCCTGATGAAGCAGGGTGCCCAATCACACAGAGGTTTCTACTCGCTTTCAAGCAAACTCTAGTTCAAGTCTCATTCAGATGGCTCAACAGGACAAGGTTGGGGACTGAGCAGGAGGGGATGTGCATGTTAGGTGTAGGGTTAGCAGAGACAACACTGTGCCTCCTAAACATACCTTGATGATGGATATGAATAGTCCACTGGAAGTTGGGTCAAAGCCAATAATGGACATGTAAATGCTTCAAATGAGCCAAATGACAGGACACTTCCATACAGCAGTTTATTGAGGATTTGGTGATGCTCATGCATGGAAGACTTTGCAGGGTCCTCATCAAAAAGCCATCTCAGCTTCCCCACCCCATTTAATGTGAATTTACTAGTTTAGTGGTTTTTTTGTTTAGTTTGTGGTTTTTTTTAACTTCATTGAGTTTTCTGTGGAAAATCTGATTTAAATGGAAAAATAAATGTAGGGTGGAATTTGAGGAGGACAATGCCAAGTGAACATTGCACAAAACATGCATTCATGAGCACTACCAGGTCCACAATAAACAGCAGCACTTGGTATCATTTGCTACGGGAATCTGCTACTCAAAGGAAGCACAGCAAAACCTGCTTCATCGATGCGAGTGACCAGTGAGGCTGCTATTGAGTTTCTAGTAAGATTGAAGGTGAATTTGCACTTTTTAATAATCACAGGGGAGAAAGAATGTACCGGCACTGTGTCCTGTCCTGTACCTGCACTGTGCTTGACAGGAAAAAACACTTCTTCTAAATTTCTCTAGCTTGTAATGGATATAAACAGCATTGAAAGGGCCAAGGACCTTGTTTTATTAGCCGTTTGGTGGTTGGTGACTGCTAGGGTGCTTAACCCTCATACAGAAGAAGGAATTTCAGCAAAGGCAGCATGTCATGCTATTATGTTACATGAGTAAGAAAAGGAGCCCCTGCCAAAATCTGCAAGCTTATGTAGCATTTAGAGCAGAGATTTCCATAATGTGTGCCGTGACATGTTAGTGTGTCGGCTATAGTGTGTAGGTATGTCACGCGAATACTCCCCACACTCCTCCCAGGGCTGGAAAGGGGTTAGCTTAGCCTCCGGTTTGATAGTAAAGCTGGATAACTGTATAGCGAAATGAGGCATGTCCAAAAAATGTGTCACCAACATGAAAAATTTGGAAAGCTCCGTTTTAAGAGTTACAGGAGCCCGTTTCCCCTTTGTTTCTAGCCAACCTGATGATGACTTTGAAAAGTGGTGACCAGTAGAAGGAAGCCAAGTAGCATGCTAGATAGAGTCAAGTCTAGGAATCTGGGCTTGGTGCACAGGAGAGCAAAAAACAGAGGATGTGTAAAGAGAGGTCGTGGGTTGAAGAGCAGCAGACCGCATTATGACACAAGCAGAGATCCAGTCTACATCAGAGGGGGTGTTGTGGTTAGAAGGGCACAAACAAGTAGTAAAATACAATCAACAGTGAATAACCACCGTTCTAGTTAGAAAGCTTTAAATTCGTACCTTGGAAGTCGAATGGAATCCATTCTGGAAGTCCGTTTGACTTCCAAAACATTCAAAAACCAAATTGCAGCTTCTGATTGGCTGCAGGAAGCTCTTGCAGCCAATCAGAAACTGTGGAATCCCCGCTGGACATTCAGGTTCCAAAAGAACGTTTGCAAACCGGAACAAACACTTCTATGTTTGTGGTGTTCGGAAGCCGAAAAGTCTGAGTTCCATGGCATTCAGGATCCAAGGTACGACTGTACATTTGCCTCCAACCTATAAAGATTAATTAGTGGGCAAGTCACTGTAACTCAGAGGCTCAGGGATGCCGGCTCCTGGGAGCTGAGCTGTTTTGTCCCCCCTAATATCTTTTGGGAGGGGATCAGGGCTGCCCAGTGATGAGCTGAGTGTGGCACAGCTCCAGTGGCAAACTCTTCCTCCTCCTGCCATGGAAGAGAAGGAGGTTGGAAGCAGCCTTCTGTCGGTGGTGGAGCCAGGAGGAGGTGGAGTGACTGGCCACTGAAGCCTCATAGCAGCCACATTTGGCTCTGCTCCCAGCTCCTCCCGACGTCACATGTGTTACATCAGGATGTTGCATCACATGTGATGTCACCCTCATCATGTTGGACCCCCCAATCGCCCTCGCAAGCTGGTGATCTATATACATTACTCTGAGCTCATCAGCAGAAGCATGGGATGCAACTGTAATAAAGGAAATAACTGAAATATTAATTTAAGCTCTGTGGAGGTAGGCTCTGTGGAGAGGGAAAGTGGTTTGAACTAGATGATTTTTGATCTCTTCCAAGCCTGTAACTCTATAAAACCAGTGAAGCAATGAACAAGCAATTCCAAGGGTACCAAAGTAACAGAATGAATATAATACTTGGATCTAATTACCAAAGCTCTCCTATTGAAAAGTGGCCTATAAGTGATGGTGATGTGCAAAGGCACTAACATGTGACAGGGATAAAGAGTTCTTGGCTTAAATTGGGGCGACCCTCCATTTTCAGCTTGAGGGCCACACTGACAGCCACCCCTCTGAGGGCCACATGTAAACACTGCCCTAGATGTGTGCCCCTGAGGATAGAAAACTTTGGCAAACTGGTACAAACTGGTGGGTGATGTGCTTGAATTGGATTATTAGAAGCATCCCTGCATCTGCAGGGGACATTCTGCAACTCCAAACATCTTCCTTGCTCTCTAGAACAGAGAAGTTGGGGGAAAGGGTGAGAAAAAGAGGAAACGTAAGACAGGACGGGAAATTACTGCTTTGAAATTGCTTTGAAATCCTGCTTGCCCCATTCCATCTCAGCATTCATACTGTTTCCCACCGCCCCCTAGGGATTGTTTAGAGTTATTACCTAGGCAGAGACCTTAAGGGTCAAGAAAGCAGGATTATTGAGATAATGTATGAGGTGCTAGGAAGGCTCTGAATACTCTAAAGGGCTATATATAAACACAGTGCTGATGATGAAGAGGAAGACACATTGGGCGACCAGACAGGGTGAAGTCAGAGAGAGCTTAACTTCTGGATGGGCAAAGGACCGTCTTGTGTCGATCCCTCTGCAGATGATTTCATGACATGACACTCCATCCCGCATGTGCCTTTTGTCTGGGCAGGGGCTGTGGTGGGATCAAGTCCAATGATTTATCCCTCAAGGTGGCCTCAGGTTTCCTCCTGGAGGCGGGAGAATGAGTAGGTGGTGAAGGAAGGAAGGCTGATTATTTCCCCAGCCCTTCTCAGGGCAGCTGAAGGTGATGTGCCTGAGAGCTACACTGTTTAAGGGATACCTGAGCTGGATGTGCTTTCCACTCCTAGCTTCATTTGGAGGGCACATGCTTCTCATTAGAGAAGAATGTCCTTAATTCACTGAGTCATTACAGCGATAATTCTTTCCCTTGGGGAAAGAAAGAAAGAAAGAAAGAAAGAGGAAATAAAAAGAAAGAAAAACAGAGGGGGAAGGGAGAAAGCACCACTTCCATCTCTAGAAAGTGAGTTTCTATTCCACATTTCATCCCGACCTTTCAAACACAACAACAACAAAGGGGCGGATTGTGAAATTCAAACTAAGCCAGACAAAGTTCCAATCCTTTCTAATCGTTCCAAAGCAACAACTGCAAGTCCACTAGCTTGTGCAATTTAGTCTCTCTCTTTCAAACAAAATATAATGACAAAAGCAGTTGAGGCTGTTTGACTACGGGGCAGGAGGAGTCTCCTTCAGCAAGATTGCCTTCGGGAGGCGCAGCAAGCCATGCAAGAGGCGGAGAGCGCGCGATAGATTACCTACTGTTGGCCAAGAGTGTCAGACACTGTTGCTTGCAGGATCCATCCTGTCGACGAATAGCAAAGAACAGCTAGTGCCACGGGCGGGCGCTTCGCCTGCCTGCCCGAGCAACACCCCACCCCCGCCGACGCCCCCGCCTCGAGCGCCTTTCTGGGTCTTCTCTTCCGTGGACTCCAGAGCTGCGCGCAAACGTAGTTCACACCCCACCCCGAAGGTGCGCGCTTTGAGCCGAGCTCAGCAGTCTTCCTTCCTGGTTCTGCAACTCCCAGTTCTGAGATGCATCAATCCGGGGAAAGTGGGGATGTGAGGAGAAGAAGGGGCGGGAAATAGATACACATTTTAAGATTAAAAAAAATAATGGGGAGGGAAACAAAACAAAACGGGAGCTCAGGAATCCTTCCCAAGATCTATTCTCTGTTTTCCTCACCCCTGTTAGGCAGTAAATCCAGGAACTCTTATTGAAGAGCCAAGTGAAAAGCGAAGAAATGGAAAGCAGGGTAACAGAACAGGGAACTTGGAGCGCTTCTGTCCTTTCGGCGCTTCTCTCTTTGAACACTTCGAAACAAGAGGCACCAGCACCAGCGAGCTTGGGGCTTTCTTTCTTTCTTTCTTTCCCCCCCTACTTTCCCACCGAGGCGTTTCTGCAGCCAAACTCTTGCCCCGGGGACGGACTCTGCCCCTCCGGCTCCCTCCGCAGCTGCTGCGTCTCGGGACGAACAAGAGGAGCGCGCCCCGCGCCAAGCATGCCCCGCGCTGGCTCTCTGCCTCCTGCGTCTTGCGCGGCGCGTTTGCAAGCAGGCGCGAGCGGCGGCTCTCCTTTGCCTGATGGGCGGCTCTGGGAGGCGGAGGGGAGCGCGCGGCGGACTGAGCTTCGCGGGAGGAGACGTCGAAGGGGCGCCCCTCGGTTGCCCATTGGCTGAGCGCGCGAGCGGCGTGGGGAGATCCCCTTTCGCGCAAAAGCGCAACTTAACTTGCCGTCCCTTTTCCAGCGCGCCCGCCTTTCTGCGATTCATGCGCCCACGTGGGCCACGCCGCCTGCAAGGGGCATAGAATCGCAGAATGGTACAGCTGGAAGGGAACCGTGGGGGTCATCTAGTCCAACCCCCCTGCCATGTGCCACCAGAACTCGTCTTGGTGCTCCTGGCTGCCCGCCACCATTCCCCCTCTCCACAGAAGCCCCTGCCAAAGCAACTCTGTATCATTGCACCAGATAGTCTAAGGGTGTTCACAAATACGATTTCCCCCCATGGTTTATTGTCATAGATCATGATAGAGCAGTTGGCATAACACCCAACTGTTGATCAGCTAAGAAGGGGGAGCAATGATCAGATAAGAAGGACCTACACATGTTTCCCCTAGCATGTGGTTTTCAACATAAGGAGCACAGGATGAAGTCATTGAAATGTAGAAGCTGAGCTACAGAAACTTATGAAGGGGAGTCTCATTGATTCAGGAAATGTCACGACAAAGAGTAGCCAATCTTAATTTTAAAATTATTATGTGAATAAATCCTATTAAAATGTCTGGAAGATAATAATAGGGGTGCCTCATATTTGCAATTCAAGTTGTGAGTTGTCCTTCTGAATGCTGGATGGTATCCACATTTTGAGGCTCCTGTCTGCTCCCAAAATGCTCCCCCCCCCGGTTTCCTGCAGGAGCGTCACTTGATCTGCAACTATATTTTCAGGTTGGTGCTTGGCTACTTTATCGTACTGATCTGGAGGACAGGATTAAAATAACTATTCTGCACATGCACATGCCATCACCATTGGCAAAGGAGGGTTTTTCCCCCCCTTGCAAGTGAAAATCTGTTCCAAATGGACCTCCATTTGTGACGGATCTGGTTATTTTTATGCGGGCAGATTGTTGCAAGGGTTTCCCCTCCCCAAAAATTATGATAGGCAGCTTCCAGTTAAGGGATCCAGTTGCTTGGAGAGTGTCTTTACTGCCAATAACTTGCCTCAGTCCAGCTTGGGGTGGGGGCAGGAAGAGAAAGAAGAGAAGAGCTTTAGTTTCTCAAAGCCAGAACTTAAGAAAAGCTTGTGAACTATCCTTAGAATGCAAAGAGGTAGATTTGCAAGCATGCAATCTAGCATGTGGGGATGATTTTAGTGAGAAGTTCCAGAAAATAGCCTTTTAAAAACCAATAAAGGAAAATGTAAAAACATATGGAATTTTACTAGAGAATAAGAAAGGGAGGGGGGAAAGGAAGGAAATGGAAAGGCATCAAAATTGCACTTGCATAGACTTGCAAATGAGAAACAAAGCTCAGTTTAAATTAGCAACTTACAATTTCCTTGCTTAAGCAGAGTCTTGGATTTCAGAGCATGTACAGAGGTCCTGACAGATGGGATGTTCTGAAAGACAGCAACTTTGGAGTCCTGATTAGATAAGGTGTGGTCCTCTCTTTATATCACGAAGGTATACTACAGTGATGCTTCACATTTACATGAGGATCTGAGACAGGTAAAAGCTGCCCCCTCTGTTACACCACTATCCAAATTCCTGGAAGACTTCATGCCACCCACACTTCTAATATTTTACTCAAAGAGGCTGGCAAATCAGGTACTATGGTTGTCACAAACCATTTAGATTACATATGAAAGGTTGAGAGGCAACACTCAACACCAACACATTTTGCAGGCAATTGTCTTTGTTTGATCCTACCAAAGGAATTACACAGCTTCCTATAGTGCCAACTCTACAAGCTTCAATTTGCTTGTAAAAAAATAAAAAATAAAATCCATTTTTTCCTTACGATCAATTTTATAGCATTCCCAAGCAATGGGTACTGTTGGATTTAAGAAGCTGGGGGCAGGGGAGGAGAAACAAAGCGTAAAAGTATTGAATATGTTGATCCTGGACCTTATTGAATTAACTTAAATCACGATGAAATTGTATTTTTGTCTTTCAAAAAAAATATTTCCGAGTCAGATTTCAGTGCAGCAAAAGAGATCTGTGCATGGAAACTAGCTTCTGCTTATGGGCCACTGTTCTAAATTAGATCCATGCACGCAAAGGGGTACACATTGGACACTTTTGCACACCATACACATTGCCAAACAAATGGTTGGCAGTATTAGGGACAGTGGCTTGGATCCAGAATTCCTGTGAGTGAAGCTAAACTCATGGGGCGCTCTCGCTAGGAAAGAAGGAAGGGGCTGATATTGATTCCTATATCCTCCTTGCAGTCCCATGAAAATATGCTCTGGAGAATTGCATGATGCTGCAGGCAGGAGGGGGAATCTGCAAGAATTGCCTCTACAGGATTTCAATCCATTCCATGAATCCAATGTGTCCATCCATTTTTGGAAATGCAACTCTGGATCTAATCCAGTGCCAATGATACAGGAATGAGGAAATGTTTCCCTTTCTCTCCTTCTTCTCCAACACATGATCAGCATTTTCTCTCTAGCACCAAAGTTGTGCTTAGATCTGTGCATGCAGCCTGATCCTGAGGCAGGGAGTCTCAAAGTCTAGAAAACTCATATTATTCATAATGTTGATTTTTCACTTCTCTTCTACCTTCATGCCTTTCTTTCAAGTTGTTTCCCTCTGGAGAAATGTAATGTTGCCTCTGCTATTTCCTGAATTAACACATTATTATTAACGTCACAGACTTCTATGGAACAACTTGTTCTTACTTTTACACACTCACTACAGAAATGATGTTGGAATTAAATTCTAAATGTGTCACTTCATCAATTAAAAGGGACACAGTGGGCAAAAAAACCAAGTTGTGGTTCAGAGCTTGAACATGTGCTTCCCTGAATTTTCAAACAGCTGTTAGCATTTTCATCTGTCTTCATGACTGGCTGGTGTGAATTCAGCTTCACTAGCTAAATGCATTCTCTGAATACAGTGGTACCTCGGGTTACATACTCTTTAGGTTACATACACTTCAGGTTACAGACTCTGCTAACCAGAAATTGTACCTCGGGTTAAGAACTTTGCTTCAGGATGAGAACAGAAATCGTGCTCCGGAGGCGCGGCGGCAGCTGGAGGCCCTATTAGCTAAAGTGGTGCTTCAGGTTAAGAACAGTTTCAGGTTAAGAACGGACCTCCGGAACAAATTAAGTACTTAACCCGAGGTACCACTGTAGATAGAAATCGATGGCTGGTTCTTAAGGTTGCCACCTTGCAGCCTGGATAGGTTAAACCCTTCCATGTTGTGCATGGAAGAGCAACATATTGCAAGCTTGTTAAGTATCTTTGCTACCATGAACATTTTTAAAAGCTGTCTAAAAAGTATTAATGCAAGTAAATAAAAACTAGAGGGCTCCAAAAAGTGGGTTGATTCTTCTCAGACCCATACGGAGGACTGTAGCTACACATTGGGTCTGAATCAGAATCTCACTTGTCTCCCCATTAACTATTAGAGGAAATCAGCACATAGTTATGGACTTTTTGCTTTGTGGCAAAACTGACTGAAATTTGCAGGCTTAATATCCCCTTCCAAGTGGATGATGCATGTCAAATGTCAGACAAATAGGTGCAGAGGGGGTTGTTTGCGTATGTGCAAGTAGCCCTTGATTTTTGTAGTTTTTTTTGTTAAGGTAAATGCCATTATAAATATTTTGTCATAATTTGATGAATTTTGTAGGCACAGTAGCCTTTTACATGTAGAGGGATACTGTCAAATTTCAGATGGATAGGTGCAAAAGGTGTTGTGCTAGATGCCTTTGAATTGGATTGTGGGTTACGAAAACCAGATCTGTCTCATTTCTGTTTAATAGATCACAATACTATCTATTTGGAAACTGAGTGAGCCAAACCTTTTTGGAGGTGGTATAGTCTTGTTATAGAACTGTTCTGTCTTCGTTTACATTTGAAGAATTTGAAAGCAGACTTGTGTGAAAATTCAGTTTAACACTTTCAGGTTAAACTGTCAAGTTATCAAGTTGTAGGGTTTCTCAGGCATTTTAAAGCCTTTATTGATTTTAAAAGGCAGAATTCTGTAGTAACTCTAGAACTCTCCTGACGACTCCCTCCAAGCCTGGTTAGGAGTGAAGAAAGTTAAAAAGATTTATTTTGTAACTGATCTTCAGATTATGAGTCATTTTAATTGGCTGCATTTTAAGCAAAGGTCCCATCATGCTTCTGATGTTACAGGCAGTGCAATGTGACCTAGGGACCTCTGCATTTCACATTGTTCTCAGTGGCCCCTGAATGCTGTTGTGTACTTGCAGTTTCACAGAGATCCTACAGAAGTACCTTTTGCTAGCCTTTACCACTAAATAAATGTCAAAGGAAGAGGATAGTCAGGATGATGAGGGCTCGTGGTAGGAGCTGGGCATTTTGGGGTCCATTCAGACTCACGTCCAAATTTCAGAGGATCACAATTTGAAACAGGCTTGAGAGAGAGAGAGAGATTTGTGACATTTAGGATACAAATGCTTGAATGAAATTCAGTGCCATTACTTGTTGTTGTTTACTTGTTTAGTCGTGTCCGACTCTTCGTGACCCCATGGACCAGAGCACGCCAGGCACTCCTGTCTTCCACTGCCTTCCGCATTTTGGTCAAACTCATGTTGGTAGCTTCGAGAACACTATCCAACCATCTTGTCCTCTGTTGTCCCCTTCTCCTTGTGCCCTCCATCTTTCCCAACACCAGGGTCTTTTCCAGGGAGTCTTCTCTTCTCAGGAGGTGGCCAAAGTATTGGAGCCTCAGCTTCACAATCTGTCCTTCCAGTGAGCACTCAGGGCTGATTTCCTTAAGAATGGATAGGTTTGATCTTGCAGTCCATGGGACTCTCAAGAGTCTCCTCCAGCACCATAATTCAAAAGCATCAATTCTTTGGCGATCGGCCTTCTTTATGGTCCAGCTCTCACTTCCATACATCACTACTGGCAGTGCCATTACTACCGGGAGCTAAAACTTTGCAGCAGAATATAAAGACAAGGACACTGTGTGTGATGATGGCTTTTGTTATACATACCTTGGAATCAAGTGACTTGGGATAGCACACCATTACTATTAATCTACAATTTGATCCCACAGCCATAAGAAAGTAATCTACAACTGGCTGTAACTGGAGATTTTTCGACAGCAGCAGTAATTGGAGCTGACATGTATATTTTCTGTTTTAGAAAAAGATGGCAAAAGAAATGCAGAGAGGGTAAACAAAGAAAAATAAAACAGTCTGATATATTTGGAATTGACAACTACTAGTAAGCTGAGAAACCCACTTCCTGGATTTATTTCACGACTTGGAAGAATCAGCATCAGTAAGCCAATTCTTATAGTCCCCCCCCCAAAGGCCAGATCCTGTCTCCCCAACTCCCACCTTACAAATTTGTTTTCCTACTTTTCAAACCATTTAACACCTGGGAATTTATAGTACAAGAAAACAATGTTCCACCTGTATTTTAACTTGTCAATCTGTATTTTGCTTACCTTTAAGTGAATAGACACAGATCTTATTTTAATAATTGCTTGCATATTAATTTCCATTTATACTCAATTATGGCAAGGCAATGCATGCCAACAGAATAAAAATTAAAATGAAGTCATTAGAATATTTCAAAGTAATACAACATACGTTTAATCTTAAACCATCCAGCATTGTATATCTAGGCAACTGATTCAGGATCAATTAAGCATGTAAAAATGATGTAATGGGCATCTTCATTGAAGACTAAAAATTAAGGTGCAGTAAAGGTAAAACTGCAGGGCTTACAGTAGCTTCTTTCTATGATTGAGGGTTGTGGTGCACAGAGGCTATATCACGAAGAACGTTTATTTGGCTTGTTTTTGTTAGCACACATTCATCATGGAAGTTATTGGTATCTTTCTGTGCTGTAGCCTAACAAACCTCTATAAGATGGGAGCTTACTGTTCACATTGGATGTATTTTACATGTAGGTAATTGAGTCTGAGAGAGAACAACTTGTTCAAAGTCACTTGGGCTGAACCTGGCTGTAAATAACAGACCACTGAAGTAGTTCCATCATGCTTCTATTCCAGCAAAACAGTTTCATGGATTGTCTTCAAGACTGCTCCATTAGATAAGTCAGGAGCACAGATCCTTGGAGCAGGGGCAGACTTTGGCACCCTGTGTGGCACAAAAATCCAGAGTTTCCTGCCTCTCGCCTTCCATTGTTCATCATTGTTGTGGCACCTCCTGCAGCACCTCCTCTCAGCTTGGCCTAGTGTAGGCAAACCTGTCACACTACCCTAAAACCATCTCTGCTTTTAGGATGGTTTATAGTGGCATGGTGAAAAAGTAAGGCCAGCCATCTGGCACTGAGGAAGGTATTAAACACAGCAACCAAGCCCACAGGGCAGATGTTAGAATGAAAATATATAAATGCTAGTAACCCCAGGACATGTGTAGCTATCATAGGATAACAAGACCCTAAGGAATTATGAAATACAAGGAAAGAGACAGGAGATATATATACACAAATCCAGTAATCATATTTACCTTACTTTTCATGCCAGCAATGATCTCATAGACTGTAAGGTTGTTAACTGTACAACACTAGATCCTATTTAAATGAATGTGGACTTCTTCGCCTGTAAATTTCAGTACTCCTAGATCAACTCATAAGAGGTGAAGACAAATAAAACAGGGGAAAGAATTAGATGTTCTGTATTTAACATTACTGTAGAAACTATCTTTGTATGTGTAAACTAAAGGATTGCTCAAGATCCTTGATTGCTCAAGATCCTGCTTGGCAGGGGGTTGGACTCGATGACCCTTGTGGTCTCTTCCAACTCTATGATTCTATGATTCTAAGAAGGACCATATTTATTTTCTCTCTCCCTTTATTGCCACCCTTTGGGTTCCTGGGGAGGAAAGAGAGATCCTGTCCCCATCAGGATATCCCATTTTTTACATGCTCTCGTGTGAGAACATTGTTGCTGAATCGAAGTGGATTTTATCACTAGAATCCCCTGATTACTCCATTTCCCCATTTTTGTTTGTTAAGCTATTTGGATTATGATGGCGATTTCAACATAACATTAAGGATTTTAATACGCGAAATCCTGTACAAATATTAGATTGTCCATATCCTGTGGAAAACAAACATTTATTTGGCAAACTGCCCCCCCGAACCATGTAGAATGGCATTCCTTTTATACCTCTGTTGACAGATTTCTGAATTAATTGTGCTGTTGAATGAGTAGGAGTGACTTGTTTGCCCCTATTAAATATTGACATTAGGCTTGTGGTTCACCTGCAATATCTTCTATTCATGCCCATGGTGCTATGGCACAGCCTCAATTTTGTTCATTTAGTTCCTCAAAGAAATTCCTGCCTTATTTGTACTCTCCCATTTCTAAAAAATAATAATAAAATAAAATTAAAAGCCACTGGGCAGGAACGAGAGAGAGAAAGGCAGTTATTCAAAGCCAAGGGGGCTTTGGGTTTCTGTGTCTTAAACATCACCTCCAGCCCCAAAAAACCAACCTCATACCACCTTTGAAAATGAGGGGACTTTGAAAAGCAGTTTGTGGCATGGCAGCCAGGGAAGTCAGCTGTTCAAAGGCAGAGACCCAAAAATCCCAGTGGGTATACCCAACCAATAGGCATGTTGATTCCAACCACTGCTACAATTTTGAAATAATGAAACAACTATTGAACAATGTTTCACAAAAGAAAGGGGTCTACTAGAAACTCATTTTTTAAAAAAATGTAATATGGATTCAGCCCAAACACATTTCTCGTTTAAACTTACCCACTAAAGAGCCATCAGAAAATGCAGTCATTGTTTTATATGTGCTCCCTGGTTCAAACAGAAAAGTTCTAGCTGAGTTGTCAACAGTAAAGATAGCCAGTGCTGAATCTCCAGAAGAAGTGAAATGAATGGATATCAGATAAAAATCACAAATGTTGGCAATGGCAGCTGAGTCAATTATACCATGAATAATGAAATCAATACATAGAACTGGTGTGCATGTAGCACTTAGCCACACCATAGCTTAGAACAAACAGATCAGCATGAGGGTTCCTGAAAAGGCTCATGGAGTCTCCATTCTTTATGTAATTCTTCCTCTTCTGTGCTAAGCCATGGTTTGGCTTTGTATGTCAACCTGGACTTTTGGTTTGTGCACCTTACTTAACTGGAGAACTGCACGGCAAAATTCAGATTTGATAGATACCATTTTTCGTTCACTTATTGTTTCGCAAAGTGCGAATTAAGTGGGTTTCCTTTAAAATGCCAACTGAATCATCCTTAGCTGTGTGACTTGGGAGTGTCCATGGACAGGAACTTGCCAGCAGTTCCCGGGAGCATAACATCTCAAAGTGCTGCTATCAACATGGAATGTTTCCTCCTGACTATTACAGTTCTATAACTGGAGAGCACAGGTCACAAATTAAGTCTTCTGCACAACTGCTTGCAGGCAAGACTGAGAGACAGCTTTGACAGCATCACGGGAAATAAGTTGTGATTTGATGAGTTGGCTCAAGTCCCATTTTCTTGTCAATATTTTCAACAAACAAGCTTTATTTAGCTTCCTACTCCCCAAGCTAGCCGGCCACACACACCTTCTTAAGATGTACTTAAAACACTCTTTTCCTCTAGTTGACATCACTTCTTAAAGATGCTTTGATTTCCATTACAGCAGGAATGGCGAACCCCTGGCCATTCAGATATTACTGAAATTTTTCCATGCATCCATGTATTCAATAGGTTTTGCACCTCTTCTGAAACATTAAGTGCTCACCGCTTTAAAAAACAAAAACTCATAAAATCTGAATTCACTACAAATCTGACCTCTCTTTCTTCTGCTACAATATTGCATCATAGTTGTTCTATTTATCTAGGCTATTTCCTCAGCTGTCCTCCTTTATTCGAGAGGAGATTATGGAAATCAGGAAATTAACTTGAGCAGCCTTTCCCCTCCTTTCTTTTCAAAAGTGATCTAATTAATCAAATTAAAAACTGTTGTTTTGGAACCCATCTGTCAGTTTGGTACCTTTCCAAACTATCTGAGTAGATCAGTTGGTTTAACAGAATCTCTGGAATTCAAACTTACTCTTTTATGCTGTTGCCACATGTTCATTTGGTTAAAAAACACGTCAGGAAAAAAAATCCCAAAAGGCAATGAGCTAGCTGTCTGTACCTTTCATGCATAGTCATAGTAATTTATTCAGAGAACTGGGGAACAATGTTTCTTAGCTCTGTGGAGATATGGAAAGGAGGAAGAAAAACTGCCTTCCTTGAAAATATATATACATCTTACATCTCACAGCATGTTCCCCATTAACAACTACTGTGTGTCTCCTCCCATTTCATAGCGTTGAACTTCGGCATGTTCTTTTATTCTCTGTTGCTTCCCTGGATAAAATGTGTTTCCTGTAAATAAGAACATTTTTTTGGTTGACTAATATGTTGGAGGAGCCACATCTGTGTATATCATTTCAGGCCATAGGAACAGCAGTTGGCCTGCTGGATATCAAGACTTGAAACAATACGCTTAAAGGCTGTCATTGAAATAGCAATGATTTGAAAAACATTCTCCATTCCTCTAGAAACTGCTTAATTATACATGCTTTCAGGGGAGGCCCTTTCTGTTATATGACAGTAAGACAGCTAGAGAAAGACAGCCAGGAGCAGCCCAGGTCAAGCCATTTTGTTTTCTGAGGTGGACAAGATGGCACTCCACACCTTCCACTCCACATACTAGACAGGCCGTTGAATCTTAGGCCCCATCTGCCCTATACATTGAAGGTGGTGTCATGCATGACTTCCCCCAAAGAATCATGGGAGTTTTAGTTTGTAAAGGGTGCTGAGAGTTATGAGGAGACCTCTATTCCATCCACAGAGCCACAGAGTTTTTTAGAGTTCCTTAGCAAGACAGATTGAATGTTAAACAGATTGAATGAGTATTGAACTGCCTTGGGGAGAAGGAGGAATATAAATATGACAAGAAGAAGAAGAAGAAGAAGAAGAAGAAGAAGAAGAAGAAGAAGAAGAAGAAGACGAAGAAGAAGAATGAGCTTTCTGAGGGGAATAGGGGTCACATAGCAATTCTCTATGAGTCTCTCAACCCTTAACAAACTGCAGTTCCAGGATTGTTCGGGAGAAGCCATGGCTATTTAAAGTGTTCCCATTCCATTTCAAATGTATGGCGTAGATGGGGCCTTACTTCAGTGCTGGCTAGAGGACATTGTTCCTCACTGCACCTACAGACAGCAGTTTGTCTTAAGAGGGGCAGGTCAGGCTATGTGGCACACACAGCTCTGTTCTCTACCAGTTCTTGACCCCCGCCCCCTGGCATCTGTCATGGGAGGAGACTTAGTAACAGTATGGCTGGCCCTGGAGATAGTCGTAATGGGTGGGATGTGCGGTAGGTTTTATAGATGAAATTGGAAACAATTGTAAATGCTGTCCTAAGTGTTTCACTTGATGTTGTTGTTTAGTCGTTTAGTCTTGTCCGACTCTTCGTGACCCCATGGACCAGAGCACACCAGGCACTTCTGTTAGTGTTTCACTAACCTTTACTAAATGATGATGCCTGAAGTTAGCCTCAATATGTAGCACTGTCTGTTCGGTCAAAGAAATTGGCATAAGTGAACACAATGAGTAAAAAGGTGGAGATGTTGTAGGAGAGTCTCTTATATCAATGTTACTGGGGAAATATGATGAATTGCTGAGATGTCCATTCCAGCAGGTTATTACTGTAGACTATTAAGTCTCCACTTGTTCTAGAGCAAGGTGCAAGCTTCAAGACTTTCCCCAAGTATGGTTTGAAATTCTTTTTATCCCCTGAATCTGCTCTTCTTCCTTTCTTTTCCAACCTTTTCCAGACTGTCCCTAGTCTATTCCCCACTTTTTCTGGTTGTCGATCACATTTTCTTTTGACTTTATGCTTCCTCATGATCACCACATCCATTGTTCTCACCATCGACTGTAGCACAGATACTGATTCATGTTGCTTCACTCCTGTTCCTGTTGCAACCAGCTGAACAGTCTACTCTGTATATCTTTCTTCTTCTGGGACCTGAGGTGATGGGGTCTGAGCCAGGAAAACACTTTCCTGTGCCTTTCCTTTCAGATGCAACTTAATCACGAGGGAACATTTTAATGAATTCTGCTCCATGAGCCATTTGCAACTACAGAATCTGCACATGCTGGTCTTCCATATTGACCTAGGCACTGTTGCTTGCAGTGCTGTTGCAACATTCCTGTGGGGCAGAACATCATGCCTTGTGGCATTGCATTGGCACAGATGTTGGTTCACCCATCCAGGTCTTTTCTTTTCTGGGGCAGCAAGTCTTGGCAAACATTGTGAGAAATGGTTCCTGTACTTACAACAAGCACAGGCCTGCTTGGAAGAAAAGCTTAACAATGCCTATAGACAATGTAGGATTTTCTGAAAAGCTATCCTCTGTTTCAGGGATGTAGAAATTGTGGCCCTGCAGATTTTCCAGTACTGAGTGAGAATATCTGAGAAGGGATTCCTCACCCACTCAGAGGAATATGCTTAGCATCTTCACCGTGGCCAGGAACCCTGCATTACCAGGGTTCATAGTCATGGGAAGTCTTCTAAGTCAATGCAGCTGTATCTGCTTGGAATCCCTCTTCAGATCTTTCCATTCAGTGAAGGAAGGTCAGGTGGAGTAGAAGAGGACATTAGGGACAGCACCTGTACTATCCAGTGCCCCTTTATGTTCTGTGTACCTTCACACATTTGTTAAGTGCCTGAACAGGTTCGTGACTCCAGAAGTTGTCTCACCAAAGTGGGACAGTTACATAACTTAGCAGTGAATCCCCCCTAACAAAAAGTGTGAATGTTGCATGTTAACTGATGCAAAACAGGCTTCCCAATGAATCATGTTTAAATGGAGCAAGTCACTGCTTGGCGGTAGTAAACTTTATGGCTCCTTCAATGGGAATAGACGTTGCCTCAAGACAAATCTGGCTCCTGGTGAGTAAGAAGCAAAGAAGCAGTAGCCAGTCAAGGAAAATAAATGTGTGTGTATTTTTCCAGTCTGGTACATTTCACTAGCTCAGTCAATGAATATGGTATTGGGGTAAGCTAAGGTAATGAATCTGCTGGAGAAAAGTTTTTAAAAAATAAAAATCATAATAATCTTTACTTGCAAAGAAAAACACTGATCTGTCACCTTCACTGATGTGTGCTGAGTGTAGGGCATCTAATCTCTATTCCCTCCCCCACCTCAGCCACCAGAAAATAGATTATTTTGATCACTATTTCTCCATGTCTCTTTACTACAACACAAAAGCACAGTAGTTGTAATGGACAATGATTTATTTATTTATTTTCTATAATTTTCATATATTTTATTATTGATTGATTGATTGATTGATTGAACTTATATACCACCCTATACCCGCAGGTCTCAGGGAGGTTCACAGAATAAAATCAGAATATAAAACCACAAAATACATAACGTATTGGCTCATATATAAGCCGCACTCCCCCCCCGCCAATTCCAACTGTGGAAAGTTAAAGTGAGGCTTATATTCATGACCTTACGCCGCCGGTAAAGTGGCATGGCTCCCACTCCCCAGGAAGCAGCCTGGGAGCATGGGGCAATGGCACCCAGCCTGACTGCCACTCCCAAGCCTCCCCTGAGCCATTGGAATGAGGGGGGAGGCTGCCAGCAAAGTGGCGCAGCTCCCCCCCCCCGAGAGCAGCCCGGGAGCATTGGGCAACGACGCACAGCCCACCTGCCGCTCCCAAGCCTCCCCAGAGCTGCCAAAAAGAAGGGGGAAGGCTGCCAACAAAGCGTCATAGTCCCCCCCCTCAGGAAGCAGCCTGGGAGCATGGGGGGAATGGTACCCGTACTTGGCTATTGTCTCCCCCCCCCATGAATTTTAAAGGTGCGGCTTATTTGCAGGTGCGGCTTATATTCGGGCCAAAATAAATAATCAAAATAATAATAATCAAAATAAAACAACAACCCAATAACCCCTTCCATAACACATTTTTTAAAAGCCTTGCCCCTTTCATTATAGTTTACTCAAGAACAGTGCTTAAGACTGCAGTTCTATACACACATACCTGGAGCAAGTCCCATTGAATTCAGTCAGGTTTATTTCCAATCAGACACACATTGGATTGTAAAGCAAGCAGTTTGTTTCTGTGACCAAACCATCAAGCGACTGGTAGAGCTGGATTCTGTCTTTTTTTGCAGGACTCCACAGGTTCACGATATCTGCCATCTGTAAGAAATGGTTCTTAATAGGAACATTATATTAAAAGTCAATATTATATTGTACTCTAAAGAGCCACTTCAGTGTTTTTGAGAACCAGTGCAATCTCTCAGGCAGCAGACTCAGGTTTCCATCTTCATTATTCTGGCATTCTGGCCAAACCGCAGCGAAGCCTTGCTATGTCAACTATTGCATAAAAGCAGGTACTTAACTGTATTCTTCCAGAAATCAGTTAGACTGAATATTAAAAATAATCTTGGGAACATTTCAGCTAACGCTGCCAATAATTTGGAAAGCACAGCAATGGCAGTCAGGTAGTTCCTGTTTCAACCTTCTGGAAATTCTACCAGGAAACAGGAATGACTGAAGCAGGAATGCAAACATGGAAAATTTTTTACTGTCAGATATTGATTGCTGAAGCTACTTGAGCCATGTGAGGTTTGGAATGCTGCTGATCTTTTCTTCAACTTTAAATCAAACAGGAGCAGTGCAAACCTATAGACCAAGAAAAGGGAAACCCAGGCCTGGGGCCCAAATATTGATCTCCTGCCCTCTCTATGTGTCCCTCAGAATGTGGTCCCAGGCCACACACCCTCCTTCACCGTGCCCCTTCTTTCCAGACCACACCCCTCACTAGTCCTGCTTTTCACACTCCTTGTGTGTTTTTGCATAGAATATGCCATTGAACTGTGACAATACTTCTTCATTGCCTGGATGAAGGAAAAAGAGGGACGTGTGAGCAAATTAACATTTGTTTCTCCACTCACTTTTGCTTCTGGCATGGTGGTTGCCTAAAGGTTGCCTGGAAGAGAATGCAGCCCTCAGGTTGAAAAACATGCTACATACAGAAGTAAGGAAGAGGAATCTCTCAGCCAGGAAGACCAGGGTGGAGCAGCAGTTTGACTGCTGCATCTGAAGGCCTACCTGTTCGCAACACACAGGGCAAAGGGGAGGACCATTTCTATCATTTTTGCTGCTCTAACTCCAAGTTCTAGCCTTCTAAGGCAGGCTTCCTCAACCTCAGCCCTCAAGATGTTTTTGGCCTACAACTCCCATGATCCCTAGCTAGCAGGACCAGTGGTCAGAGATGATGGGAATTGTAGTCTCAAAACATCTGGAGGGCCAAGTTTGAGGAAGCCTGTTCTAAGGGGAATGGATTAGTTTAGGATCCAGCAGATTCATGGCTGACTCTGCTCTACCCCAGCCCCATAACACCCTATTTTGGGGACCTATACTGGTTACTGTCAGTGGAGATACCACCAGTGGTATAATTTCATCCACACCCTCAACAGTGGAGCCTGGTGCCTAGGCATGACACCTGCTATATTCTAACTCAGAAGCACTGATCAGGAGGGTTAGGACTGCACTCTTAGCCTGCCTGTGAAAGAAGCATAGATAATCTTGCATTCACTGTGCAATAAAGATAATTTTAAGATCACCAGCATACAGTAGTCAAGCAAGATAGTAAATACATTTCTGCGCTGCCAAGAATGTTTTTGAAAGAGAGAGATTACAAAGGCGTGTCATTCCCTGTACTATGATGATTTAAGCAGATGTCCTCATTTACATTTGAATAACTGAACAGCCAGTTCAGTAGCAAGTTGCCCTAGTGGACTACTTCAGAGTAAGAGACTCTTGATTTGGCTCATGGTGGTGCTGTGGGTTAAACCACAGAGCCTAGGGCTTGCCGATCAGAAGGTCAGTGGTTTGAATCCCCACAACGGGGTGAGTTCCCATTGCTCGGTCCCTGCTCCTGCCAACCTAGCAGTTCGAAAGCACATAAAAGTGCAAGTAGATAAATAGGTACCGCTCCGGTGGGAAGGTAAACGGCATTTCCGTGCACTGCTCTGGTTTCACCAGAAGCGGCTTAGTCATGCTGGCCACATGACCTGGAAGCTATACGCCGGCTTCCTCGGCCAGTAAAGCAAGATGAGCACCGCAACCCCAGAGTCGTCCACGACTGGACCTAATGGTCAGGGGTCCCTTTACCTTTACCAATGTCTTGATTTGCTAGATCCTGCAATTATTATTATTATTATTAAAGAACTTTCCAGGACTCTTCCATGTGTTTATTTCAATGGAGTTAGTAGAATCTGGTTTCATATCAGGCTAGCAGCAAAGAGTACCAAAATGCAGTAATAAAGTACATTACACATTATGTGTAATGTACATCTTTTTCATGATGTATAAGCTTCAAGTGTGAACATACATTTCCATTTACATGGCACATGAGATCCCGCGAGTTCCAGCTGGAAAAAAAAAGCCCTGCTAATGTGATATCAATTAGGATAAGACCAATGTGAGATCAATTATGGGAAATCAAAACAAATATCTGGATTGCATAATCTAAATAACTGAAGAATGCATTTGGATGGATTTTTTAAGCCCTAACAGTAAAAATAAAGTTCTGGTTTCCAGGGAGACTGAGACTCAGTCCACTTGGAAACAGAGGTCTGGGGCAACCCAGCCAGATGGTCAGGGTGTGTGTGTATATATATATACAAACACACAGTGGTATCTTGGTTCTTAAATTTAATCCATTCCAGGAGTCCGTTCAACTCCCGAAACCATTCGAAAACCAAGGCTGACTTCTGATTGGCTTCAGGAGCTTCCTGCACTCAATCAGAAGCTGTGGAAGCCATGTTGGAAGTTTGGCTTCCAAAAAACGTCAGCAAACCGGATGGGTTTGCAGCATTCGGGAGCTGATTTGTTAGGGAACCAAGCTCTTCAAGTACCAAGGTACCACTGTATATATAAAGGTGTTGTTGTTGTTGTTCCTGCTGCTGCTGGGAGTAGTGGTGAGGAATGGGCATGTCAAGGGCTTACCAGGGTAGACTCCGAAAGTCTACCCTCCTCATCAACTCAAAGAAAAATGTGGAACAAAAGATTAAAGGGAGGGAAATCACCCTAACCCAGAAACTCCAGAACAAACCTTGTTTATGAACAAACACTGGTTACAGCTCATTGTTAGTTCAAGGAGAGTGAAACCCAAGCTTGAACGTAATGCTAAGGTCTTAGGTCCTGGCAGTACAGAAGAAGCAGAGGTGAAAGCAAAACAGCTGCAATTTTAGCCCCATGCAACAGCACTCTGAATGTTCATATTTAAACTCTGTGGTCAGACTGTAATCTCCAGGTGGGACTGGGAAGGAATCCTGTCTGAAATTTTGGAGAGTCACTTCTGCCATTTGGTGGCAACACTGAAGTAAATGAACTAACAGTCAGGCTCAATGAAAGACAGCTTCTAGTATTACTATTGTGTTACCCAAGGGCCAATGGTTCTTTATGAATGTGAAGCACAATGAACACTCAGATGGGATGAAAATTCTATTAGCCCAAAGAAAGCTACAAAGCACTGCTCTTATCTTATGTCCCTTTACATTGTCAGAGGACCCCTTATTCAACCATGAATAAGGAGATGGAAATTTGGATGTTAGCCTGTGCTGAGGTTCCAGCTAACAGAGATGTTCTAGGGTTTTTTTTATCCCTTTACATAAATCACAGACGACCCATTCCCAAAAAAGTGAAAGACCACTTCATACAGTTTGGTTACATAAGCCACACCTGGTGTTTGGATGACACATCAGTTTCTCATCAGAGTAAAATGTTAATACTTGGCAGGAAGTCAACATAGATAACTTCCAGGCCTGTCTGATACTCCCTATAGCAGGTGTCAGCATGAGATCCCTGAGGAAACTTATCTAGAAGGTCACAATTCTTACACAGTGCTGTCTTAGCATAACTAAGTATGAGATGCTACCACTTTATGGAATAAGTAGAATTAACCACTCAAAGGCCCAGATCCGCAGGATTTCCAGGTATTATCCAGGCATGAGGGGGGCAGTTGCTGGGCACCACCCTAATTTCCTCAAGATAATGATTGTCTTACATGATATGGCAATACAGTTATCCGTATTAAAATATTGAGTGCTGAAAGCCAGCCAGATACATGCAACCAGGTTGGTTAGATAGTTCTGTGTGATGGCTTGTAGGGTAGGATTAAGACTGCCCCTCTATAGTACTCCAAACAGATAATGAAATACAAATGAACAACATTGTGTGTCTGTTGAAATCAGTCAATTGTGCCATCTTCAAAAATTCCATGTAGCCTTCCAAACTAATTGGCACCTTTTGTAGGCACCATCTGTAAAATCAACATATGCACAATTTATACTGCCTTATTTGAAATATCATACTATGTTCTGACTGATGCAATCTTCTTTTCAAGTTCTGTTATAAAAAGTCTTAAAATATTTTTCTTCAGATCTTGGAAACAAAAGAAGAAATTTAGAAGGAAATTACATTTATATCTATCAGCACGTGGGAGTGTGCAGCTTTCGGAAAAACGGATATCAAAGAAAAATATTAAAACAGTTTGGTAGAGACTACAAAGACATTGTTTTATGATTGTTTTGATCTGGACTGAATGTCTGTATGTAGTTCATATACTGAGGAAATTTAATGAAGGAACACTCTGCCCAGGTTGAAAGAGATGCTCAACAGCTACAAAGTAAAATAAAAAAGAGTAACAAAATGATTTAGTGGTCAGAGTTTCATTGGAAATCACATGCATGATCAGTCGCCTACTGTGGATCACAAATCACAAGAATGGGCATTTGGTATATATTCTTAAATCACTAAGCAGCCCCTTTGACCCCACTGGATTTTCTCTGAATGTGAGGAGAATCTGGCCACATATGGCAAAGTTCAAGCCTAAAGACTATTTTCACATTGCCAAAATTGAGTCAAGGCTGACTTAATGCTCTGTGCTTCCCATAAACAAGATGATAGTTAGGTGATGGATTGATGGTTCTCTCTGGAATTTTCCGGTAGGTTGTTTTACTTCCTGACATGTAGTGATGGATAACTGTTGCTAAAGTATGCACAGGAAAAAAGCATCACATGTCGTCTTCTTATTGAGGTCAAGTATTTTGATGACTTTATGGTTCATAAGACCATAAAAAGGCCCATCTAGTCCTGCATTCTGTTCTCACGGTGGCCATCCAGACACCCATGGAAATTCTGCAAGCAGAATCTGAGCATAATAGCACTCTCCTCAGCTGTGATTCGTAACAACTGATATTCAGAACCATACTGCCTCCAATGGTAGAAGTAGATCATGGTTTCAGGGAACCGTGAAGCCACTGGAGGGCATGAGTTATCACTGGTTCTTTTGAAGCTGCGCTCATATGAGACGTGGCTTCCAGATTTGGTTTTGTACCTAGTATTCTGTTATTGCATTTTAGTGTGGCTTTATATATTTTCCTTCAAAGCTACATTTACTTACCTGGTAGTAAGCCTCACTGAAGTCAAAGACAATGATTTTTAAATAGAAATATCTATCTATCTATCTATCTATCTATCTATCTATCTATCTGAGAATGTGCCACTAAGAGTATTTTTCTTGTTTTATTCTTTTAGACTGCAATTTCGAAAGCATTCATTCAAACTAACTAACTAACTAACTAACTATTTTTATACTGCTTTTCTTTAAATTCCCAAAGTGGTCTACAACATACAACAAAATAGCACTGATATCACATGTAGGAACAACTATGTTGTCCTCCAAATTGGTGAGGCTCATCTAATGTTAACACGAAACTGATCCTTCATTGTTATTGGCCTGGTCTTGTGGAATACCCTGCCAATAGATATTCAGCAGGTGACTTCAGTATTAATTTTTAAATGTTTGCTGATAACTTTTCTATGCTGTTTGGCTTATGCAGATTGCACAGTAAGGTATATTTCTGTCACAGTTAGCTGGTGAACTGTGGTTTTGTTTTTTTAAATGTGGCTTTATACTACAGATATTTGTTATACTCTTCTATTTTTATGAGATTGCAGAACATAAACATTTTGTTAAATAAATGAAGAAATATATCACAATTAAAACCAGCACATATACAATTATGATTTTTTAAAAAAACAGCAGTAACACACCACAACAAATTTAGAATCAACTGATACTAACTTTCAGAAAAAGTTTGCTAAAAAATGAGTTTTCAGAAGGTGCTGAAATATTATCAGTATCAATACCTTTCATAACTCAGAGGTAGTTAGTCCCATAGAGAGGGTGCCACAAAAGACAGGCCCTCTCTTGCTGACCTCATTGTCTAATCCAGGTGATATGGAAGAGGGTACTCCCTTAGAGAATCTGGTCCCAAAATAGGACTTTATAAATCAGTTCAAGAGACTTGCACCTACCTAGGTAGTATATCCCTAGGCAATGCAGCTCCTCACACACATTGTCATCACATGTAAGGTGCTTTAATTACATTCTAGCTACAGCTTTTTGCATTCAATGTATATTCCGAAGCAGCCTCAAATGTCACCCCAGATAGAGTGCACAGGCTTTTACTTTGAACTGGTTAAGTATTTGTGGCTCTGTTTATCTCTTCTGTGGATTTGAAATGCTACAGAATAGTAATAAAGAAATCTATGTGTAAAAGGCAGCTCCCTGCATTCTGTTATGTGCAAGAAACAGACCTAAGGGACTGATCTATGTCTGGATTTGTTTATCTTAAAAAAAAAAAAGGAATCCAGAGAAGGCAGTAAACAGAAAACTCGATGGTATCCCAGTACACAGCTTTTTCCAATTCCTCATAGTATGGTTCATCATTGCTTTGTGTTTACAGTCATGCTAGTGTTTAAACCACACAACAGTCTTCCAGGCCAAACCAATTTGGAACGCATAAAAACTTTGATTATGTTTTCTGAGGCATGGAATTAAATATTAATTGGTAAGAGTCAAACTACAAAACTTCTTCCCACCATGACCATTGTCAACACTGCTTGTTAGATTTACTTCTGCTTCCTATTTTAATGTAGTCTATCATGCAAATAATCTGGCCTCACAATTTGTAGCTATTGTGTCTCGTCTCGTCTTGTCAACTGATGCAAGAGTGTGGTGTCAACATGACTAACTATGGTAGATTGCAACAATTATGAAGTCAAACCTTATCAATCCTTTAGGCTGAAGATTCCCAGCTTGCATCTCAACTAATACAACTTTTTTTGTTTGTGGTGGGCCATGATTTCAAATTCTTGCCCAGCAGGCTGTCATTAGCCCACGTTGATGTCCAAAGTACCCTGAGATGAATGATACTACTCTCAGGTAGTTTAACCATCTTGAATCATGCTGACAGGAGTTGGAGTTGAACAACATATTGAATGCCATGGAGTCCCCATTGCTCTAGGATGCTTTTACACACACACAAACACACATAAAAGGAGCCTGCTGGATCAAGCCAACAGCCCATCTAGTTCAGCATCCTATTCTCACAATGGCCAACCAGATGCCTGGACCTGAGCCCAGCACTCTCCCATCCTGTGGCTTTGAGAAACTGGTGTTCAGAAGCATGCTGCCTTTGACAGTGGAGGGAGAATACAGCTACATGGTTAGCAGCCATTCATAGTCTTATCCTACATGAATTTGTCTAATCCTCTTGTGGGAGCAAATTCCATGCACTGTGGTAAGAAGTACTTTCTTTTGACTGTCTTGAATCTTCCAACATTCAGCATCATTGGATGCCCAGGAACCCTAGTGTTATAAAAGAGGGAATGAAACTTTTGTCTATACAGTGGTACCTCGGGTTACATAAGCTTCAGGTTACAGACGCTTCAGGTTACAGACGCTTCAGGTTACAGACTCCGCTAACTCAGAAATAGTACCTCGGGTTAAGAACTTTGCTTTAGGATGAGAAGAGAAATCGTGCTCCAGCGGCGCGGCAGCAGCAGGAGACCCCATTAGCTAAAGTAGTGCTTCAGGTTAAGAACAGTTTCAGGTTAAGAACGGACCTCCGGAACGAATTAAGTACTTAACCTGAGGTACCACTGTACATTTTCTCCATGCCAGACATAATTTGATAAACTTCTATCATGTCACCTCTCACGTGCCTTTTCCCTAAACTAAAAATGCTGCAAACATTGATCCATCTTCTCTAACATTTTGTTTGCCTTTCCCCAACTCTACAATATGCTTTTTGAGGTGAGGTGACCAGAATAGTCTACAGTATTCCAAGTGTGGTCACACCATCAAAACAGTTAACAATAGTTCAGTCATTTGGTACCAATGAGTACCAAATGTGTAATAGGGTTTCTGGATGGTGTAGCTTGCTGCTTCCTAGACACCAATATGCCACTCCCTGATGTGCAATGGTGTCGATTTGAAGGGAGCCTAGGTACAAAGGGAACTGCCTTCTATTGAGTGAGACACTTGGGTCCACCTAGCTCAGCAGCAACTCTCCAGTGTTTCAGACACAGCCTACCTGGAGATGGCAGGGATTAAACCTGGGATCTTATGCATGCAATGCAGTTATTCTATCTCGGAGCTACAACCCTTCCCAAACAAATGTTGTAAGTACATATGGATGTACATGCATTGGGTTCCCTGCACAGGGACACAAACTTGAATCGAAGAGGCCTGATGGCATGTTATATGGACATTTTCCCCATTTATGTGTCGGATAAGTGAGGTTTCTGCTCTTTGAATGGACAGTCTATCCCTGTGTGGCATTTCAGCCTGTCGACAGACAATTTGTTATACTTAAAATCTCATCCCAATAGAACTCTGCCCTTTGATAGCCTAACAGCCATTGCCTAGGGTGAACTTCATTCTGGTGAAAGGCAGGTTTCTTGTCATGCTGTTACTTGTAGCAATAAGCACTCTTTAGATTTTAACTTCTTTGTTTTGCCCCTAACATTAATGTAACCAGGGGCACCCGGGGAAATCGTAAAGAAGGTATAATTAACATTTCAAAATAATGCCTTGGTAATATTATATATTTATGTTTAATAAACTTTGGAAGTTTAAACAATTTTGTAATAAATACATATTACTCTGTTTCACATTACAGGGCAGAGACGCTAGGCTATAACTATGCAAAGAGGCTTTGTTTTTGTTCCTCTTTAAGCAATCTTGCCAGCTAGGTTGTTGCTAATCCCACTGGAGACTGAGAGCGGCTTCTGACATTCTGAACATGAGACATTGACGTTCTGTGATGTCTCTTCTGCAAACGACTGGTGATCTCGCTTGTTATGTCTGGAAATGATCTCTACAAGAAAATTGCAGAGGCCGAACTCATGTCTACAGCTCACATACCTCAATGCTCAAAACCTTCAGACATCACATACAAGCCTTGGCCCTAGAATGGAGAAATGACTTTGGAAGTGGTTAGCAGAATTTGCATTGTAACATCCAAAGTAGTACTGAGAACTAAGAAACAGAGATCTGTACTCACTAAATACATAATCTGGTACCACGCTGGTATGTAATCTACTGCAGTGGGTCATGTTTGAGGCTGCTTTGAAGGCTCAAACTTTGATTTTTTAAAAAATAAAAAATATAGCTGCTAGATTGCTGATAGTTACAGTTGCCTGAAATATACTTCATCACTTTTGAAACAGCCTACCTGGGTTAACGTAAGTTTCTAAGCATGACTCAGTGTTGATTTTAATTAGTCCTCTGCCAAAACCTATCCTCTAATTTCTCAGAAGTGTTGCTTCCCTGTGAAAGAGGCTTTATTTTTTTAACTCATGCTCAGAATGCTTTAGAATTTCCTGAGAATGCCTTTAGGATTTGGGGGATGAAAGGTTGAACTGACTTTACTGGTGCAAGGTGGCTATGGATGGTGTGTGTTTTTTCCTCTGCAGCCTCCCTGGTTGCTTGCACTTCCTAATCTGAAAAAGTTGCATGGGAGGAGTTACTCCATAAATTTCAAGCATGGGAAAGCTGGGCAGGCCAGCTACCTTATGCTTGAGATCAGTGCACTTGCTGATGCTGTTTTTATGGGAAGTCCATTCTCTTTAACCTTCAAAGAAAAACTTTCTATACTCATTTCTTTAAAAGTAAGAAAGTTTCACTTAAAAGAAAAATAACAACAATCAGCAGCTGAAAATGACATGGATTTTTTTTAAAAAAAGTAAAGGCATGCAGCCAGGAAGGCTGCAGAGTGCACATCACTAGAGAGATTATTTGCAGAAAGAAAGAAGGCTTATCTTGGCCACTTTGAAAGCAAGGCAGGCACAAGCAAGCTCTGCACCACCCATGAGAATTTTACCAAAAAAATTCCTCTCCCATTGATAATTTCCAGTGGTAAAGAAACAAAGAAAAGTGGGAGAATTTTTCAGCACAGTACTAATTTTAACCTATAAAGCTCATGTTTTTCAGGGACCATTTGTGTATTCACAGGTCTGAACATGCACTGACATCATCTGAATAAATCCCATTTAAGATGTTCTTATCTGCAAAGGTTAAGCAGGTGGTGATGAGAGATCAGGCCTTCTTGATAGTTGGGCCATGACTCTAGACTGCTATTCTTTAGTAGTAGTAGTAGTAGTAGTAGTAGTAGTAGTATTTATTAAATTTGTATTCACAAAATGTTTAGGGGTATGTGTCCCCCCAGAAAAAAGCACTGACTGATTGGATGAATTAATGAAATAAAAAAGGAGAACTTTGACCCATCTTTTCCCATTCAAAGCTGCCCACATTATTCTTCTCTGTCTTATTTATAGTAATTGGTGGATGTATCACATTTGAACAATGTTATATTATGGTCAGTTTTCCAAATCAAAACAGTGTTACTTTAACTAGAAAACCAGTAACATTTGAGAGGACTGCTGCATTCTAGCCGTTCATCCACAAATCTGAAGATGGAATCCCAGTCAGATTTCTTCCTTCATTACCCTGAAACCAGATGGGACTGAGGGCAACTGTTTCACCTCTCCAGGAGTTCATTAAATTAAACCAAATCATTCTAGGGTTTCTATGTCCTGTCTAGAGAGTAAGAGAATTAGAGCCAGAGCTATTCAAAGGATAGGCAGACTAATGAATGCTTGAAAACTCTCCAGATTTCTTGAGAAGAAATATGACTAATTTGTTTCCCTGGGCAAAGAGCCACCATTTTGACAGGAACTTGCCACTTGAGGCAGGTACACTTATCCAGTAGGTGGACAAATTTTGGTCTGCTTGAAAACTAATTGCATATCATGAAAAATGCATATAGGGACAAATAGGGATAAACCATAAAGAAATAGTCAGGCTTTTCCTTATAGATAATAAGCATTCACAATTGCTATATTTGAAAACAGAAAATTTTCAAAACACTCTGAGAGTGGAACAAGGGGAGTCCAAATCTCTTCCTGCTTTTCTATCACTTCTGGGTTTTTGTTGTTGTTGTTGTTGTTGGTTGCTTTTAATGCTTATTTTACAAAGCTGTAAACCACTTAGAGGGGGTTTTCTTTTTACAACCAAGTGGTGTATAATTGTTGTTAAATAAATGAATGAATTTTATTTGGCTGTAACAAAAGCTCACAAGGATTCAAAGCCCTCTTATCTTGAAATTTGACAGCCTGGTGTTGTCTTGCAGTTTCATATACCACGTAGACCCAAATGAAGATGTTAAAAGAGGGGTGTGAAAATGTTTTTCAGCCTTAGGGCCACATTGCCTCATGGGGCCAAATGCCAATGGAGCAACTCTGGCAAAGCTTAGAGGTTTCTAAGCAAACATCACTCCAGGCAAACAAGGGGCATTATCAGTTGAAGAATAAATTTCAGCCAGGCAGAAGTATTCCAAATGGGCATGGAGCAGTGCCTGCCATGGCTGGATGGAAAGGTCCAAAGGGTTACGTTTGGCCCTCACCCTGGATACAAAGCAACTTGAAAACCCAAAACCTACATATTATGAAATAGCTTAAACTGGCTACCTTTATTTTGAGAGGAAAACAGCAATATCCCCCCCAAAAAAAAAATTTCTGGATCAAGAATGTTTTTCAGATCAGCTTGTTGTACATTGAAAGAGAACTATATGAAAATGATGTATCATTGGGACTTGACTCCTTTAAGCAGTGCTATTTCTGGGGGTATGCAGGAGTACACACACCCCTGAACATTTTGTGAATCTAAGTTTGGCCTCATTGAGGGGCAGTATTTCAATATGAGTAGGAAAATGAGAGTACCCCCAAACATTTTTTAAGAAAAAAAGCACTGCCTATAAGATTAGCAAAAGTGTATAGAAACACTACCAATTTATGCTGGAAGTGTAAGGAAAAAGAAAGTACGTTCTACCACATGTGGTGGACATGCAAAATAACAAAAGAATTCTGGGAAATGATATATAATGAATTGAAAAAAAATGTTTACTATAACTTTTGTCAAAAAACCAGAAGCTTTCTTATTAGGAATAATTGGAGATGAAATACCAAAGAACTTGAAAAGACTGCTTATGTATGTGTCAACAGCTGCAAGAATGCTTTTTTGCCCAGAGATGGAAAGAAGAGAAAGTCCCAACCAAAGAAGAATGGATAACCAAGTTGATGGACTATGCCAAAATGGCAAAAATGACTGTGAAGATCAGATACCAGTATGATAAGAAATTCAGTAAAGAGTGGGAAAATTTTACAGAGTACCTTAAAGATCACTGTAGATATTAAAAACGTTAGCAGGATTGTTATAACACTTATAATGTAATAAGGCTAAAGTTAAAAATAGATATAAAATGAATTTGAAAAATGTAATTAGATGCAGCAGAAAGAACAGATAAATATTGGAAACCAGGGGTGGGGGTGGGGGGAAGTCCAGGGATTCAAGTAATCTCAGATGTGTAAAAAATTAAAAATGATATTTTTAAAGAATGCTTTTCAGATCAGATCCCATGTGGCTGCTTTTCCTTCAAAGTATAAGCATCCAATTTAAGCACAGGGTTGTTGTTTTTTTTAAAAAAGAATAAACAATATCCCAACTGAACAAAATCCTGACTGAATTTTAGAGAAAATCTCACTCACAGTCTTGAGAAACACCTCAGTAGCTTACAGCCAGCACTCATAATATTTTGGAAGTGGTTATGACACCTTTATAACATTTCTTTACAATAAAAAATGCATACAGTTTTGCAATCAAAGCATGCCAAAAGGGAATCACCTGGCTTGGCTGCCTTAAAGCATAAGCCACAACTTCAATTTGCTTTTATTAAACCACCTCTTTTGCAGTCTATTATGGTAACATTTATAGTTCCAAGTCTTGCACATGACTTTGTAGAGTATGTAAGATCCAGAAAACAGGTTTCACAATCCACATTACATCACATCCACAAGCACCAGTGGGCATCTTGTTTCTACAATGCAAAAAGGGAAATCAGCATCCATTGTCTTTCAGTAACTGTGATAGCATGACATTTTATTAATTTATTTAGAACACATGTATCCTGCTTTATAACCCAAAGAGGTTTTCAAAGCAAGTGACAGAAGATTTGTATGGTTCAGTCACATTAAAGTGTACTATCAGGAAATGAAATAACAGATTTCCTACCTTTCTTCTTGTCTTCCATGGTTTCACTCTTCAGCTACTGTCTGTGAGGCAGCTTTCCTATGAAAGACAAGTATTACAACATTATGATTCACCTTTCCTTCTTTCTTTCTTTCTTTCTTTCTTTCTTTCTTTCTTTCTTTCTTTCTTTCTAAAACATGCTTTCCAGTCACTGCCTTGAACCATGTTGCTAAAATGATGGTTACCAGAATCATGTTTAATCATTTGTGTGTGGATTTTTAAATTAAATAATTTATTTAAATAATAATATAACCAAAGTCATAAAATGATGTGTACCATAAGTGTTACAGTGGACATGTGCTGAACTGTGATAACTTTATGCCTCTGTCCACTTCATCCCCAATCTTTTTAAAAAAGATTACAGTAGAGTCCTACAGGAAGCTCCACCTCTGGCAATTGAGGTTACATTTCTGTTCTGAAAAAAGACAGACTTTCTGCAGTTTGAAAAAGGAAAGACAGAAGATGTCACATGGATCTCAATTTGTTTTATGAGCGTGGCATGGCCCAATTGCAATGTGAGGTCTCTTGAATCATGAGGGTGCCCGGCCCCAGCTCTGTTTTAAACAGTTTCATTCATCTTTTTGCAAAACCATCAAACAAGCTCCTTAAGAACACCCTTCTCTCTGGCTGAGTAATAGTCCCGAGAGAAGCAGTGTTATTTCATTCCGGAAAGAAGCCCTAACGTCCCTACAAATACAATAGAAAAGGGCTAATTGTATCCTCCCTGAAACATCTGCAAAAATGCCTTTCTTGAGGCAAAAAGAGAGAGACTGATAAGATTTTAGTAGCAGGAGGGGAAGAAGTTGAAGCAAAGGTTTGTTCTGCAGCTTCCATGCCAGCTGGCACCACATCAAGGCCAAAACATTATTCGGTGTAGTACTCTTTAATCACCTTTCACCATAGTTGCTGTAACCGTTTGTCCTGAAAGGCAATCACCTCCTTAGTCAGGACTCTATTAGGGGAAACCAACAAAATCACCTCTTTGCACATGGCGTTGGAAACTGTGCGGAATATCCTGCTGTATAAGAAGCACAAGGCATTACCATTCACTCAACCCAGATTCCTCTGGAGGTCTATTTGCACCGCATTTTCAATTGCACCTCAGCAAGGAGGTTCAGCTTTACTGCTTTGAATGAGTAAAAGTGAAGAAAAGTGCTTTTGTAGGGAGCTGACATATAGTAGACAGAAATCCCCTGTTTAGGGGATTAGGTTAAACACTCTAGCAAGCCCACATGGCTCACAGAGACGCCATCATGCATCTAGAACAAAAGCCTGGCTTTCTGAGGTGAGCATAGAAGTGACCCCACAGTATTCTCCCTTCTCTTCAGAGACACTACATGTTTCCAAGCCATCTTCTGTGGTATTGATCCGGGAACAGTGGGAAACGGCCATTCAGGCATGCTTTGGGGTAAAGAAACAAGTCTTATGCAGTAAATCTAATGGCATGTCTACATATCAACTCTAACCCCCTTCAGATTAATCTCATACTGTCCCAAACCTGTGACAGAACTTAGTGCAGAAGCCAAAGTGAGTTGACAGCTTGCGAGAGCTGTCCTCTGGGCCACAGGTGATAGAGGTGGATCAAAATCTAGACATTGCTAACATTTCAGGATAGGTTAATGTTCCAGGTCTTATGGGATGATTATAACTCAGCAGCAACTATATCTCTGGATAGCTCACTGGTTCCATACTGAGAGCCTGTTAGCTAGGGACAGAAACCAGAGGGATAAACCTGTTAACTTTAAAAAGGAGTGCTTGTTTGCCCTGTACTCATAATTATAGTACTGCTTGGACAGTAGACCTAAGGAAAGGGGGTGGGAGAAAAGTTGAGTAATGTAGAATATGGTTTCCAATTGGAAGGACTCCCCAGATATTTGTCTCACACCAGCAGGAAGTCAATGGGTCTATGAGTGACCTGGGAAAAAAGGAGGCACAGGAAAATTTTCTCAGGAAAACATCCAGCCTGAATGAACACAGACAAAGGACAGTAATACATTTCAGAAACAATATGTTTCAAGGCTCGGTTTGGTATTTGTCCTTACTGTGTCCAGCACCATTCATACAGACTGGCCTGAAGGAAAATAATTCCTGATTAAATTAGCAGTCAGACAGTTTTTTGTACAGGCGTGGGTAGCCAATACTTGGTACAGCTCTGCTTCCAACAATATGTTTAGGAAATTAATTGAATGGAAATGGCACAGTGTTACTGTTTTTAAGTTGGCAGGACATTTAATTCATCCATTCATTTGACTAAACCCGTTTTTTATAAAGAAATCGAGGACAGATATCTGAAGATGCACAAGGAAAGTGAATTGTAGCTGTGGACCTCAAAACATAATGTTTATCTTTTATCTTTAACCATGGTGAATTATGAACATGTGAGCATGCTTGTACTCAATAGCAAAAGTTGTGACAGTTTTTCCTTCTCCCTCAGTTCTGTTGTGCTTCCAGGAACTAAGCCATGGTTTGGTTTAATATTGCATTGAACCCAGGCTCATGGTTTGTAGCCCTTAGAGCAGTAAACTAAGGACAAAACTAAGCTATAGCTCATAATATGTCTTGAGTGAGAGAACCCATGAGCCTGGTTTCAGGCATAACACAAAGCCAAATCATCTTAGCTCTGAGTAGGAAAACAGCCACAAGACTGGGGAGGAGTGAAATGGCCACAATTTTTGCTGTAAGAACCTGCACATTCCCACATTCACACTTAGCCATGATTTGGTTTAGCATTGTATGTGAACCAGGCCATGGCTTCATAGAAGAATTGTGTTCCGTATCAGAGCAAATGTAATCATATGCAGTTCCACAAAGCTTTTTTTTTTTTAATAGGGGAAAAAAATCTGGTAGAAATGTCCTGTCTTTTTATAAATAACCCATGCTAAATTATATGTTAGAAAATCTTGCCATACTCTAAAGATTACAGTAGTCCACACTGTTTTATTCTTGATGAATCTGTTGTTTTAGACTTCAGATGTGTTGATAAATTAATTTTAAATGTGTTTTATGTTTGTTTCATTCTTTTAATTATCATGGATGCAGCTCTGAGGGCTTTTATGGTGGAAATTTGGCTTCTAAATAACCTTAAGTATAAATAAATAAACTACTATACAATACATTACTAAGAAGCAAAAGTGGGGGTGGGGTGGGGGGAATGGACAAATGACTTCCAAGTGAAATCCAGAAATCTCACTTCAGACATTAAAGTGGAAACAGGAGTCAAGGAAACATGAATCAGTGTTCCTTTCCCTTCTTCGCTTAAGGAGAATGGGTCTTGACTTCACCTATTATTGGAAATGGGATCAGGCTGGACAGGTGATGTTTCCAGATTGCGCATTTAATGAGCAGAATGATTCAGTTGCCTAGACATCTTGCCTCAGAAATTGGTCCTAGAGAGCTTAAACACACCCTTAAAGCATAGCTAAGGCCTCTCAACCATGCGCTCAGTGTTATCCTTCCAAGAAATGGAAGAGAGCAAAAAAAGCCACTTACCTCATCCAAGTGATACTCTATGAGTGCCAATTTGTATCAGCCTCTCAGCAACAGTGTAAAGTTCAAAAACTGGAAAGAGCTTTCTCCTCCTCCTCCTCCTCCTCCTCCTTTTAAACAGCTATCCAATATAATAGGGGAATCTCAAAAAAGGTAGGATCTTCAAGGCTTGCTATTGCAATACGCCCTTGTATGTATCTTGCCCTGAGCTTCCTATGTTACCATTGCAGTTGTGGTAAATGGTTTCAGGGATGGTGAAGGATAGCGGGATGGTGTGGTTAGTTCAGATACTAGAATCCCACAAACACACAGAGAGATCATGGTTGGTGCCAAAGGAAAGCCTTTTCTAGGCCTAAGGACCACATTCCATTCAGATCAACCTTCTGAGGGCCACATGCTAGTGAAGGATGGGGCCAAAAGCAAAAGTGGGAAGATCAACAAATGTAAATTTTACCTTTGTACAGTACAATAGTTTCTACTCACTTATGCAAGAAGCATAAAGGGCTCATTCCAGTCAGGCAAAAATGCTCGACGTGGGCTCGGGAGGGGTGTGGGCCTAAGATGACTTCTAGAGACTGAATAGTGAAACCTGGCGGGCATTTGGCCCCTGGGCTTGAAATTTCCCTTTCCTGTCATACAACATGAAACAGTTAATGATTTGGACTGAAACGAATGGAAGAATTGGATTTCCTTTGAATTTTTCATTCTGAAACTGGGACACACACCAGTTTTGCATATATTGCTAAAACATTTCCATTACAGCCTGGGAAAAAAAATTAGCTGTCTGGATTTTCCTTCTAAAAGTATGGTGTAGATTTAAGCTTAGACATTTGTGAGCTGCTATGACCATGCGGGAACCTAGAAAGGGTTCTTAATACATTTCTTATTAGACAGCTACAGTTTTATAAGTATCATTACCCTACGGCTGGAATCAATACTGGGCAAAAATCTGTACACATTGTATTTCACGTATATGTGGCTTGGCTCTGCCACAAAAAAAAGTGAGCTCAGACCTATTGAACCCAGACATATGTGGCTTTTCCTTTTGCACATTATGCATATGGAGGGATGTGCATTGCCAGCATTTAAAAGGAAAGTGTTGTTGTTTTTCCTCAACCAGCAGCAAATGGAAAGTACAGAACACTTGCATTTGCCGTTCAAATAGTTTACACGTGTCTAGTGTTTTTGCTCTGCTTGAGGTCTTGATTTAATTAAAAGCTACATTTGGTGGTGTGAAGAGAAAATTGTATTGCCTCAGGAAACATAAAGAATAATAATAATAAACTTTTCATGGATTCAGACTCTGAGAGGTAGAAATGCAAGGTGGTCTGAAAATAAATTATGTAGACTAGATATGCAATGTATGTTTTGCACCAACAGAAATATTTTGGGTTTGGTGATTCTTGACTGATAACACAGTTTTTCTTGTTATAAGTTTGCATTTTTATTGCAATTCTCATGCAGAGTTATGCTAGAACTGCAGCACACAATGTCTTCAGAAATATCAGTCTATATAACTGCAGTTATGAGCATTTGGGAACTTCCACAAGGCCATTTATCACTGCATCAGCACAGTCACATCCTTACCAAAGTGTTGCCACTTATTATTTGCTCAAATAATCCAGATTTCCCATTTCCACGGAAAAGCCAATAAAGAAAGAAAGAAACCTGTGGAAATGGTGAATCTAGATTAAATTTAGGGCAGGAAGCGAAATATGGAATGCATTTTGATGAGGGTGATACCATGCAGATTCTGACCTGAGAAAAACTGGCATACAGCATATGAGTTGCACTGAGTCCAGAGTAAACTGCTCTGTAAAAGCACCTTATAACAAGACAGAGAATATTAGAAATCCTATTTTCATATTTTGCTGCTCCTCTGCACCCCCTTCCCATCCAGGTAAGCTACAGTGCCACCAGTTTTGGGAAGGCAGCTCAGTAGCTCTGCCCCACCATCCCAGCTGCTACAGAATCTATGCATGCTAGTGAACTTGGTCACACACCACCATTTTATTTGCTCATTTGTGAACATGGATGTGTCAATAATGAGCAAAATTTTGACTTGTGTATGTGGTGAGTGACTGGAGGGGGGGGGACTTTTGTTGCAAGTACAGTCCACCGTACTTTTTGATGGTGCAGGGGGCCAGAACCCTGCTTGAGATAAGCAGATCTGGATCTGGTCTGTTCTTACATGGAAAGCCATCTGAGAATGACATGTTTACCACTTTGGGTTCCACGTTGGAAGAAAGATTGTGTGGGTGGGTGGGTGGGTGGGTTATTGCAAAGGAAGAAAGAAAGTGGTCAGCAAGGAAGAGAGTAAACCACTAGTGGCTGACCTGCTCACCTGACCTCTGGTTGGTCACATCACTGCTGCTTACTGGGAGGGTGAAGGGAGATGTTTTGATGAGGTCAGCACAATGCAAACACACCAGCAAGAGCACTGGATTTTCTCAGCCAGTGTGTTTGCACCATGCCAACCTCACTGCCTCTCCCTTCACTGTATATCTTCTTGTGAGCAGTGACACAACCATCCATAGGTTAGGTAAGCAGAATCACCTGACCATGTCCTCTACTACTAGAGTAAGCATATGGACCAACCCATTCATTCATTCATAGGAGTTTTGTTGGGACAGTAAGGAAACTACTATTTGTCTGACCTGTGCTCAAATGGTAACATGATTAATTACTTCTGTTGGACCATCTGGCCCCACTGGCTCTTTCTCTGATGTAAATGATCTATGAAATTGTTTTAGAAAAAAATATTAATACTCTGCATCTGACAATAGCAGAATATCCTTCTGATGAATAGCAGAATGTACCATATAGCTGTTTGAAGTGAGACTCCATGGTTCCATGTGAATAAAACCACTTTTCCCCAACTGTTTCCCCACATAATTTCTGTAATTCAGTTAGATACAATCTTATCATTTCCTCAAAGTGTCTAAACAATACCTGCATCATGCAGACTCCAGCATTTTAACACACATTGCATATATATTGCATTACCTAAAACCCATTGCTGAGCATTTTGGCAATATTACTCCAGTGTGTTTTCTGGGCTTGACATCACTGCATCTGGTTAGTGTCTAAGCCAAGCAATCTTCATACCCTTGAGACCAGTTGTTATTACCGCAATAGTAAAGCAGAGTATGATTTCCTATGTCAGGAAAAAAATCTTAATACCTTTTGTTACCATATGTGTTTAATCGTGAGTAGAACAAAGTGCGCTTGTGGAATCATGGCTGTACTTTGAAGACTCAGAGGTAATGTAAAAATTTTTTCAAGACCATCTGTGTTCCTTGTGTAAGCTCCACTTTGCTGTTGAATCCGTTTCTTTTCACCAATACTCTTCCATGAAATAGATTGACAACACAATTTACTACTCAGCTAAAATACTTGGAGTTAAGAATGTAGAGTTTCACCAGTGTCAATGGGACCGAAAGGTAATTCACATGGGATCAGATCCCAAATTTTTGAAAGACAGTTTATGACATAGCCCAGCAAACTTTCCACAGTGGCACACTAGTTGAGTTACAGTGCTTTCAGTTTGTACCATAGGTCTGTGAGATAAATATCTCACTCATCCATAACAAGGGCTGGCAGGGAACAATATCATTAACTGACAACAACAGCGAGCCCAGCAATAACTATTGGGGAAAGGGAGGAGCAACGACGAACCCAACTGAGAACCAGAATTTCATGTGAGAGGATCGTGTCCTCAGTTCATTCCGTCTGCTGCACTTATCCATCCTCATCTGGTAATGTCAGAAATATGAAATTACATGCCCCAAATCTCTCTCCCTCCCTCCCCCTATATTTTACCAGCTCTTAGAATGCTCTGGAGACAGTCCACAAATAAATGGCTTACAAGAAATGGGTTAGGAAGGGGAAAGGAAAAGAAGCAAATTCAGGTACTGTAGAGAAGAGGAGACATATGGTCCAAACTGATGGAAGGAGTCTGGCTGACTCACTTTTCCTTCTGATGCAGTCAGGTGGAATGGCTGTGGGTGGGGAACAGTCAAATGACATTTTGTTTATTAGATGAATTTATATTTCCACCCCATAATATAATTTCTCTGGGCATCTCACAAAACAAAAAGAATTAAAACATAATATAAAGCAATAAAATGATTAAGAACCAAAAACACAGGTGATATATTAATCATGCAAAATATGGCAATGTTAATGAGAGTACATGAAGCTACAATCCAAACCCCCTTTGCACCAAAGTGGCCCTGTGCCAAGCCCTGCCAGCCTCCACTGGCCTCTGCTTGCAGGAAGCTTCAAAACAGGAAGTACTGGGGTAGGGAGAGATTAAGCTGGCTTTGGGAGCCATCAGTATCTTAGCTGCCTCCACTGCTGTCACTTGATGGCGTCAGGTCTGAGCTAGGCGCAATCGCTGCACCAGCTCCATGCTGGCACAGCAGTTTGCTTCCACCCACTTCCCACCCTGGCCAGGATGGGCAATGGGTTGGCAGGTGCAGCAGTGGTTCAACCTTGCCCTGCCACCATTCAGCTGTCTTTGGATTGTCTCATTAATATACCGTATTTTTCGCTCCATAAGGTGCACCTGACCATAAGGCTCATCTACTTTTTTTGGGGGGGGGGAATTCAAGAAAAAAATATATGTGGCTCTTGGGGGCTTTTGCGGGAGGTGGGGGAAGTGAGAGAGCCTTGCTCTGTCCCTTCCCCCACCTCCCGCAAAAGCCAGGGATAGCCGCACGAAGCCTCCCCAGGGCAGCGGGATGAAGGCTCCCCGCTGCCCTGCGGAGGCTTCACAGGCTACCCCAGAGCTGCTTGACCCAAAGAGCAGGTCGGGGAGCAGCGGAAAGGCTGGCGGTGGGGGAAGCGCAGCCCCAGGGACCACACATTCACTCCATAAGACGCACAGACATTTCCCCTTAGAGGAAAAAAGTGTGTTTTATGGAGCAAAAAATACGGTATTACTTATAAGTCTAATCATGATTGTTATGGTAATCTGCATGGTATAGTAGTCCAGATGTCGTAGGCTGGCAAAAAGACAGATGATGATGATGATGATGATACTTTATTTATACCCCACACATCTGGCTGCATTTCCCCAGCCACTCTGGGCGGCTTCCAGCAAAATATTATACAATAATTCATCAAATATTAAAAACTTCCCCAAACAGGGCAGCCTTCAGATCACTTCCAAATGTGTAATTTGACCTTGAAAGTAGCAAATGTACCCTGCAAATTAGTCACTGGGGGAGTGGGGGGATACAAGTAAAAGCTTGAAGATTTCATAGCCTCTTCTTTCTTCTGCTTCTGCTTGTCAGCCCTGAGATTGCTTGGCGATTTAATTTAATACTAACTTGTAGCAGAAAACAAGCTGAGATCTTGAAAAGAAGTGCCAAGTACCTAATGTTTCCTTAAGCTGAAGGATTAGGCTTTCCCGATTGTCTAAAGATAACATGACACCTTTCAGAACACCACAGTGATTAAAATAACTTTATACACTTCACTGGGCATTTCCCCTGCTTCTTAACAATGGGAGCAATCTCAAAATCACTATACTGTAAAAAATAAAAACAAAAAACTTTGGAACCCCAAAAGTGTTATGTACACACATAAGAATGGTCAGAGGTCTACTACTATTGTTTACATCACCATAGTTCAGTTTACTTTACAGATATGCAAGAGTTCATGAAGAGAGCCATTGAGAGGTGTGGCCTAGAGATAGGAAATATGGCTCCAATTCAAGGGTCATGGATAGAAAGTCCTAAGCTTTATCTGTACCCCATTCTGTACTCTCTGGAGGAACAGGAGAACCCACAGAGCAATGCCTGGAGGGGGAAGGAGAGGGATGATCATTCCATCTGGCAAGCAGAATGGGAACAATTGTATTATCACAAAGCTGAATTCCACCCATGTCTGCCAATTACTCAGCACTGAGTGAAATTGATTTTAAAGAATTAAAATGACTAGCTCAATAAGAGAGGAAGTCCAGCCACATTGAACTCAAAATGGTCAAATGAAACTGAGAGCTGTTTCTTGGACGGATGATAAATTCTTGGAAGAAGGGCTTAGTAAGGCTTACACAATAACCTAACGCAATAAGTGTCAACTATGGTGAAGACAGAGATAGCTCCAGTTACAGGTCCAGTTCTTAAATAACACCGGGCAGCATTTGTCCTTGGCTATTTAAAGTTTCTCAACAATGAATATATATATATATATATATATACATAGCCTTCCATGAACAGTATTCTTGTCATCAGCTGCTTGCTTGTCTTACCTCCCAGTCTGTTTTTTGATCCCCTTTAAATATACTGCTGGTAACTCCTGTCTGGGTTTGTCGGCTAATGTTTTTATAATCAAGCATCCTGAATAGATTGAATTCCAGACATCCTGTAAGTGTGGGGGAATCCAAAAGCACTTCACCAAAATAGAGCTACTGTGAAGCCTCCAGTTTGATTTGTCGTTCACGTATAATAAAGAGATGGAGATGCCAGAAGAACATATTTCTTCTTTCTTTTTATTTTGTTTGATAAAGAATTAAATAAGGCCGATAGAGTAATTCATCCCAGATGGAAGATTTTCCAAATTTAAGTTAATTACTGTGTGGCAGTCCTAAATATGGGCACTTAAACACAGGCATGATGAGATTTTGTTATCTCATTCAATTTCATGTTAATTTCCTATCCTAAATTACCTTGTACTGAACGAAGGCCCATCCAGGTTATTAGTCTTTTCTGTAACATGACACAATCATAGTGTGTTGGTGGCTGATATTTACTGCGTACTCATAATTCCACTTTATTAATTGTTGTGCAATGCTTCCCCAGTGCTCTTGCATTATTGAGATCTGGAAGGATACTCTTGCACTATAGCATGACGAAAGTGGAACAAAAATAATAATAAACCAGGACTTTTGTAGTATAAAATGTTGGAGGATTTCAGCCTGGGTATCAAACATGCATGGACTAGAAGCCAATTAGTATGTCTGTCACCTTTGGCAGGATCATGTAGAAGGACCCCAAGACATCATGATCATGAATAATCTTGAATGCACAATGAAAAAGAGAGTTTGAACATGGGGCCTTTTGCAAGGCATAATGTTCTACCTCCTGAGCTAGGGTTCTTCCAAAACTTGTGTGCTAGCTGAGACCAATTTAGGTTAGGCTATAAACAAGTTATTTTCAGAAAAGGCAAGAAACTTTCTGCGATTGTAAAACATAAAATATGCTAGTTAACCATCTGGCTAGGTATCCCACTTCTCCTGCCTCAAATACTGGCAGATCATTCAGCATCTCTGCAACTTTTCACATTTACAAGGTATAATATTCACTGAGTCTCACATGCAAGAAACGGAGACACGATGAGTTTGGCCAAATTGTCAGTCCCTTGCATTGTAAGGGAAGAAGCACTGAATCTTTATGTTAATTGTCAGCTGCTTCATTCCTGAAACCAGACGCTGTAAATCTATCATCTAATTGACTGCTCTGATTAAAAGTTTTCTAGACAAAGCCAGTAGGTATTCATTTTGAGCCGGTTAGTCTCCTCTTTTAATCTTAACATCTGAGAAAGTAGCACATTAAAAAACAACACTTATTACAATGCCTAAACTTCTTAGAAGTCAGGTTGACCAGTGTGAAAGTTCTTCTTCTTCTTACAGCATTAACCTTAGCATTGTAAGCATGTTTCTGACATTATACTAAAAATATGCATTCGTATCATATGAACTGTTTTATAATTCTGAAGCAGCACAGAACTTTAGAGAGGTGTATCATTTAGGAAGGGCAAGGGTTAAATGGCTGGGGTGGAGATGCTGTACCAGCTTCTTGGCAGGTGAGCTGTTGCTTACTGGCAATGGGAGAGGTTAGGAGGTGGGGAGGTCAGTAGAGTACAAACATGCCGGCAAAGTCAATCCTGTGTCCCACTTCAGGGAAAGGAGCACTCCTGCTTTCCATGTTTCATGGAATTGGTTTTGGAAGCCACAGTCTTCTATATATACAACAATTTATATACCAATTTTCCAAACATACTGGACTAATATTCAATAAATAACATGATACCCCATGAGCGCCTTCTTATATGCATATAATGTACTGGCATTATATCATGGCCTACATGTTCTTCTAATGCAAAGTGGTTTGGTCTGATGGGGGAAAACTGAGCCACTGTCTATCCAAAGGAGTAATAACCAACCTGTCCAGTAAAAGTGTGGAGCCAGTTTGATTTTTTTTGGGGGGGGGGTGGCGGAAGTGGAGGAAGACAATGTATGCTAAGAAACCTAAAAGGAGTTTCGGTGTGGCGGGAGGAATGGATTGAGCCTGCACCTTCTGCAGTTAAAGCTATGGCTCTTTCATAGTTCCCCCTATAAAGATATGCATGAGATCCCAATATGGAAATAGCTTGGGCACCTCGCTGGTTTGAAGTGAGCATCTCTTAAAAGTGAGCTCTTAATTGTGAAGAGGTATGAAGGAGGGTTGCCATATTTCAAAAACTGAAAATCCGGACACAAAACCTTTTTTGGGCAGAGTTGTTTGTTGAGTTTCTTTTGCAAACTCTCAAAAGAACTATTTTTAAGGAAATTCCGTACGTCTGGAGAAAATGACATATGAGTCCATTCTTAAGAAGCATGAACAAAATGACATTTGAGTCCATTCTGCTTCTTGCTGTCCTACTATGTTTTGTTTCACCCTCAACTTCTCCGAGTTTGGATTTCGGATGTTCTAAATAATTTCAATAAAATTAATTTAAAATTTTCTTTTAAAAATTACTAAGATTTACGGGGGCTGGCAGAAGCTGCCCTGAGTATTGCTGGTGCAACTTTGGGCTTAATACGCTGCTTCCATACCCCGCTAATATCCACCCTCAACTCTATAAGAAATACAAAGAGCACAAAGAGACAAAGAAACTCTTCTTGAATGATCCTGATCCTCTGAGGCAATTCCATCCCATCCTTGGGTAAGGAGAAGCCTGAGTCATGAAACATGGCATTTATGCACATCAGTTTATATTAAGAATGTTGATGCTATCAGGGTTCCGACTTATCTCCTGCCTTTATTTGTTTTGGAGTGTCTTATGCAATTCTTTCCAGCTGAAACCTCACAAGAAGGAGAACTGTATCCACACCTTGTTTTCGCAAGCAAACTTAACAGGACTGTTTCATTCTCCCCATACTCACCCAAAGTTTCTAATTCACGAAACTAAAAACGATAGAAATTTGAGAAGTGACATGGCGATGTTTTCCTAGATTACCACTGTATGAACAGATTTTCATTATAATATAGAGCTCCCAAACGAACTAAAGTATACATAAAATAAGCAAAATGGAGGCAGGTCATCTAAAATAACATAACATAACGTTACATAGGGTTCAGATGAAGAGAATGATGTCGGGATCAAATTAATAAAAGTCGGATTTCTTTTATTTTCTCATGAACAGCTATTTCACTGAATATTCCCCTTTGCACTATAGACTCAGTGCATTTATTAAAGATAATCCCCTTGAACTGCAAACACAGGCATTGTGGCACCAAATGGGTAAAAGAGGGGCAGAAATATATCCTGTACATTTTATTAAATTACAAAACCAGGTGAAGAATGAGTAGTTTAATAATAATAATAATAATAATAATAATAATAATAATAATAATAATAATATATTTTTGCTATCACCGGCGGGGGACTGAATTCACTTCCAAATAGATCACAAGCAAATGGAGTTTTTATCCCTTTAACCTTTCCAAGTAAACATCTGTCTACCCTCCGTTATATAAAACCACCACATAATTTGGCATGGTATCCTCATAAGCTTCTTAACAAAGATCCAGGTCTGGGATAATAGGGCAATTATTTCTGCTAGGTCAGAAGTGTTTTTGAAGCTTGCTGTGTGTCTGCCTGCACTTGGGTAGATCTAACTACTGTTATCATGCTCTCACTTTCATTAATTAGAACAAAACCCCTTGCAATTATTTTAAACCGGTGAGGTGCCCATCATTTTGATGGGCTGTATATGTAAACCTCTGTGTGTTAAGTGAGTGAGAGGTAGGATGGGAACAGAGGGTCTTTGTACAGAAACATTGCACCCCATCATTGCTAGGGGAGGACAGGCCACATGTTTCAGGGATGGTAAGCAGATTTGCCACCATTATCGTGTTGTCGCTAAGCAAGGCCCTTCCTTCTTCCATATTAGCGATTAATAGTCATTCACTTATACTGGAGAAAGGAAGGGATAGATAACTGGATATGTGATAAATCTGTCCTTACCATACCTGTCAACTGCCCTGGAAAAACTGGGACATCCTGTTTTTCAAGCTACAGCATGGCAGCCATTTGGGGTGCCTTGCTTTCTCATGGCTTTGGGCCAAGATTTCACCCCGAAAAAAGCATTTTTAGGGGGTCTGCAAACTTGTGCAACTCCCAAAATGTGCGTTTTGGGGCACTGTGCCTTAAAAAGTGCTTTTTCTGGGTCTGTGATTGCACAATTAAGTGACTCGCACAGAATTCCTGATCTAGAAGATGGTGTCCCAGATTTGGGCCACATCCTCTTGGAAGGTATGTCCTGCTTACTCCTGTTGGGGAAAAAACCCTTTGCAGCATGTTGTGACCTCAATGGGCATAGTCATGCCTAACTGTAACTGTGTATGGATTTTCTCTGGGGCCAAATAATTAGCAACAATAGTTTGAGTTATTACTGTCCTGTACTGACTTTTGGACGAAGATTCCTCCATTAAATACAAGGAACCTTTGGGTGCAGCCTACTGTCTCTTCGTATTAGAGTAGCTAGATCTGAAATAGTTTTTGATATTTCAGTATTCACATCCATTGGAAATAAGCATTTGCTGGGTTACATCCAACTAAGGTTTACTCAGAAGCCATTGAAATTAATAGGTTGAAGTTCATCATGTCCATTAATTTCAATGGATCTACTCTAAGTAAGACCAGAATTAGCAGACCCATTCAGACTGTCAACTGAAACAACCTAAATTGATTCTGATCACACTGTAGATGTGATCCACTGGTTCATGATGGCCAAGATCTGTAACATTTGCAATATTCATAACAAAATAAACAGAAGAACAGAAGCCTGAACAGTTACAGGATTTCAGCAGAAAGTTACAGGACATGCACTGATCACAAACAAAGCAGTATGTCAGCTACAAAACCTTTGCAGGGACAAAGTGTTAAAAATAGGAATTTGCATACCAATTTGCAAAAAAGAGGATTTTTGCATATTCCCTGATACCATCATAACTCTAAATCTTCATTAATGCACAATAAAAAGGACATGGGCGGGGGGATCACTACTCCAGAACCATGGGCTCTGATATTGTAGTAGAAGACCACAAAGCAAAGGTAAAGGGGCAATCTGTCTTAATGGCTATTTACAGCTTCTTCTAAGTGAAACATTTCAATATGCTGACATGGTTGCAAATCTGAGAAGTGACAGGGTGTTAGTCAGATAGAGTATAATTTTAGTAAATGGTAATAATAACAGGCACCAAACTAGTGTCTGGGTGGGGAAAGGATAATTATGTGATATATACCATACAGTGAGCTTTCCTAATTGCTACTTTGGGGTCAAAGAGGCTAGCAAAGGTTCTTGTCATTTGCAGAGCTAAACAACTCTGAACTATAATCATACTTAGCACTCTAGACTTGACGCTCTCAATATCAAAGTGTCTCGCAAGCTGCGGCTTCCGACATAAAGTGAGCTTAATGAGAGGAAGTACGGGATATTTATTTACATAACCGTTCACCCAAATGCCATAACAAAAGTCAGACCTTGGAAAAGAAGCTCTGGTGGTTCTTAGACTGTTGTCATGCCATTTCCTCCTGTCTTTATGATTCTTCATCAAAGGAAACAGTGAGGGTGTTCCTGCGGTTATAATCACTGGCCCTCCGCTGAGAGATGGTTGGAGGGTAACGTCAGCGGACTTTGAAAGCGGTCACGAGGAATGCGAAAAATCAGCAGCTATTTGTGTTTGTCACGCTGGGGATTATTTGAAGAAGAATTCTCACCTCTGCTTTTCCTGGGACTTCATGCTCAGAGAAGGTGCAGTCCATTGTTTTCAAATCAAGAATAGACATGGTCACACATGCATTATATTGGCTGGAGGGTTTGATTATATCTTTTGGCATTACAACTTCAGATGGGAATGTCTCATGATACATAAATGTCAGTGGCATCAGTGCGCCCCTCCAGATGTCCTTTTTATTGTAATCCATGGTGATTTGGACTCATATTCAATCCCATTTTCCATGGCTGCAAGGTTTTGGGGTGGACATACTGCTTCCTTTCCAATCAATGCATGTCCTGTATCTTCCTGCTGAAATCCTGTTTTCATACCACAAATCTTCCAAAGAATGATGCGTGTGTGTGTTGTCCCACTTTTCCTGCACTATAGCACAAGACAGCCACTCTAGAGGACAATAATATGATGACACTGGGGACGCATTGCATAACAATTAAGAAAGACAAATTCATAGATGGATACTTGAATAGAAATCTATTTTCATGAGTCCCATGAAGATGTTGTGGAGTGGATGGTCAGATCCAGAAGAAGAATGGGAGGTGCTTGGGTAGTTAGAACTAGGACAACCCTGGGGAAGGTCCTTATTGGGATGGCATAGGTCTAATCAGGACTCCAAGAGGTGTCTAAGCTTGGGGAGGGGGCTGGTCATTTAGGGACTGGATCCAGGGAGGGACCAAGTAGGCTGGCAGACGAATGTTCTGCCCTCTAGCACCAGACATCTCCTGTTGTGGAACCTCCCACAGAACCCCCTCCTGTCAGGGAGAAGCCTCCTCCTTCTGGAGAGGCAATTGAGAGTAAATCAGATCCTAGGCCTGTGCTGACACTGCCTCTGTCTCCAAGGCCATGAAGAAGCCAGCATCAAAGACATGTTGCAAAATACACACACACATTCTGAGTAGACTTTTTGAAATCAATGGGCAAAACTAACAAGTCCATTGGTTTCAAAAAGTCTACTCTGCGACGTAGCTGGATACAACCCTTATTTTGAATGCTTTCATTGGAAAGTGACAGATCTTTTACTACAAGCGATGCACCAAGCATTCTCTTATGCAAGGCTCAGCTCTTCCACCTCCTTGCCAAAAGATTCTGATCTTTAATAAATTCATTTGTCAGCAGAAATAAACTATAATGTGGGTTTCCATTCATTCCAGTGAAATTTGTAGTCATTAGCTTCATATTCACTTCTGGCACTAAACACACACACCCCACATTAAATTTACTATCTCCATGAGGAATTGTGTAAAATACGTATTGCCCCTTCAGCTTCAAAGCAGTGCATGCTTTTTTATTGGAGAAAACCTCTCTCATTAAATGCAAACAGGCAGTGGTCATGTACTTAAATCTAGGCAATGATAGCCATTGGAGGTGCACTCTGGTCAAATCCACACCACATATTTAAAGTAGTACCATACCACTTTAAACAGTCATGACTCCCCTCACAGAATCCTGAGAAGAGTTGTTTGTTAAGGGTGCTGGGAATAGAAGAGCCATACTCCTCCCCACAAAGCTATGATTTCCAGAGTTCACTGAGAAGAAGGATTGTTAAACCGCACTGTTAATTGTAACTCTAAGTGGAGTGGGGCTTGAAGTGGTGTAACAGCATCTTAAATTCATGGTACAGGTGTGGCCTTAGACTTTGAAGAATGGCTTCTGCTTGGCTGAGAGGCAGAACTGTCTGCACTGCCACAATATTATATCAGATAACGGGGACACAGATTATATTTAACAAGATTGATTCTAGCGCTCACAGCCAAAAAAATCTGTATGATATTTTTTAGTTCAAAATCTGATGTCTGGGTGGGGGAGAGAAGCTGGACAAAACTTCATGGTAAAGTGGGAGCTGGAGTTGCGAAATTGGAGCTTCATCCCTGTCAGGACAATGCTAGGTCATCATTTATCATTTAGTCCTGGAGCTATGGGGGAAAGTATATGCTGACTATTAGCTGGTGGCACCAGGAGGAGCTTCAAAAACCACCAGCAGTGAGTTCTTGTCCTCCCGAAAGAATTTTGTCATTTCCTGAAAAATCAGCTAAAATGGCATCTTCATTTTTGTCACATGGATGTGGTGGTGGCGAATTTGGGATTGAGCACTTTTGCATAGCCCTGATTTCTTTACAAAACTCTCTCTCTCTCTCTCTCTCTCTCTCTCTCTCTCTCTCTCTCTCTCGGTTTAGTACTAAAATCACAGTGCGTGCATTTGTGCTTACACATACATATATAAATTTAATCAGCTTGCATTGACTTCTATATGACCAGCTCCTTAAATGAATTTAGAACTGCAGCCTTCATTTTGATGTCCTTGTGCTCCTACAGAGTCACTGAAGCACAGCTCAGGAGTTTGTACTTTATTAAGATCAAGTCAATGTTATGACCATGTAACAACAAGAGCATAATAGGGGGCAGACCAGATATAAGAATGCAGCCAATCTAAAGGCTGTTCCACAAAAGCTCATATGACTTGAAAGAACCATAAGCCTACTCACTGTGATGTCTAAAGCATGTTGCCGTGTTGCATATTGCACCTGTTCTAATAGCATTCACTGTAAGACTTAGCCCTGGATTGTTGCTTATCTCCACCCTCCTGTGGGATTTCAGAGAAGGCAGAGGAACCACCGCGTTCTTGCTCTTGTCCCAACGGTTCACTCTATGGAAAAGAATACTTTGGTGGCTAATTAGGGCAGCATCCAGTCTGTTTTATGCAGCAACACAAAACAGACGAAACATTGGAAAATCTCGCCTAAAAATATTGAGGTTCAAAGCAAAAATGTATCATGAGTCCTTGCCTACAATTACAATGATTAAATTAACAAGAACACATGGAAGGAAAAACAGAATGTGATCCAAAAAGATGGATTAAATAACCATGTGTCCTTCACAGCAATTTGTTTTGGGGATTTTTCCGCAATTCTCATCCAGTTTTCTCCCCAGATTTTGGTTTTTTATTATTACTATTATAAATATATACAAGCCATATAAAACTTATGGACACTAATAATAAGTGATCCATCTAATAGTCTATGAATAGACTAAGATTACTAATTCTACTACACAGTTCACATAATGAAATGTTTTGCATAGCAATTTTTTATACATTCATGTCTATGTTAAATTTCAGGCCACGCCCATTGGCCCTTGCCCATGGGTGTGGCATGGGTGGGTGTGCCATGCATGCTCTTCCAGTACATCCATCACCTAGCAACAAAAGAGGGGAGAAAAATGTATCCATGTTGTTAGGCAGTCCATGAGGATGGGTAAGGGAGGACATGTGTATGTTGAGAACATTGTGGTGAATCCTCTTAATTACGACTCATTTCACTCTGTTTTTTATCAACGACAAGGATGAAAAGAGAAAAACTGTTTGCAAATGTGTCAGTGACATTTGGTGAGGTGCTGTTACAGCATCCCATTGCCCTCTCTGCACTTTCCCACGAATGTGGACTCGAATAGACATGCCGCTGTCCATAAGAGGGGAAAGTATTATTCATGGCAGAAGCACATCTGGGGTGAAAAGGCAATGATGGCTGGTAGTTATTTCCAAGCTTCATCCTATAACATAAACCTGGCTCAGATTGTAAGCCAGAAAACATGATCTGTCAGAGAAACGAGGTTGATTTTGGACTCTCCCATTTCCTCCACATATTGTTCTTTCAAACAGAATGAAACAATTAACAAATCTGTGGATCATCTGACTGACCTACTTGCCTAGGCAGCTTAAAACGTGAGTTGGCAGTTCCTGGAATACAGCAGCAACAGCCACAGGCCTCTGTTCCATTGGCTGCATCACAGAGCTCCTTTTCATCATGAAGTTTCTGCCACTGTCTTTAATGAGTTGCTGATTTGCATGTTGCACTGCTCATATGAATAGACCACATGTGTGCACCGAAAAAGATAAAAAGAAAAGCACAACATATTACAAATTGGAGCTAAGATATTGCTTACCACTGCGGGTGAACCTGGATGACAGATTCAATATAACAGCTGCATGGAGTTTGTGTGAAAGCACTTAAAAGTGTAGGATTTCAACATGGTTCATGTCACTTTGAAAGGCTTTTAGCCTATGTAATGGTCCACAAGCAGACAGTGTCTGCACTCCAGCATGATGTGAGTTGACAGAGATTGTTGTCCCAACATTGCGTGCCTATGTGTCAGTCACTGGACCACAACTAAGAACTTTTTTATTAAAAAAAAATCAGCCACATTGCGGCCTTCACACAGCTAAGTATTTTTTGGGAAGCATCTACCACTGATATTAATTTTTTGTAATCTTTATTCTTAGATCTTATTATGATATGTGTGCCAATTGTTCAATTTTGTTGTGTACTTCTTAATCTATTGTTTATGGCCACTTTTGTAATTATGTAAATCTTCTCCTGTCGTAAGCCACCTGGAGCATGGTTTTAACTATCAAAATAATGGTGATGATATAGCCCCTGTCACTTGTAGGTCCTTTTGCATTTTCTTCATTGGGATAAATCTGGCCAATCACATAAGTTGATAGTTGAAGCAGTTCACAGCAGACTTGCGCTTCAATGATTCTACACAAGAGGAGGCTACCAATTACAACCGCTCCTTCCACATCAAAGCAGGATCTAGCATACTCCAGCACCACAAGGGCTTGCTGCTTGGACAAAGTGTCTGTGAACTATAAGAGCTGGATGTCCAGCTGATTATTAACTATTTATTTTCAGAGCTCCAGTTGGGTATACTCAATGTAACTGTGCATGGAGGAAAAGAATCCTTTAAATAAAACACCTTATTTGCATCCCTAGTCAAATCTTTCTCCTCAGATGTTTCTTTTTCCTGGTATAAAATGTAAAGAGCATCAAGATGTCCATCTGTCATAGAAACTTCAGCTGCTGAGATCCTTGCATTGCAGGGGGTTCGGCTAGTTGACCCTTGGGGTCCCTTCCAACTCTACAATTCTGTGGTTCTGTCTAAACCAAACAGGTCTTTAACAGAGATGGTTTTCCCTTGAAAGGATTCTTGTAAATTTAAGGAGTCTTCTTCTTCTTCTTCTTCTTCTTCTTCTTCTTCTTCTTCTTCTTCTTCTTCTTCCCCACCCATCTGGCTAGGTTTCCCCAGCCACTCTGGGCAGCTTCTAGCAAAATATAAAAAATAATAAAATGTCAGACATTAAAAACTTCCCTGAACCAGGGCTGCCTTCAGATGTTTTCTAAAAGTTATGTAATTCTATATCTCACTGATATCTGATGGGAAGGTGTTCCAAAGGGAGGATGCCACTGCCGAGAAGGCCTTCTGCTGGATCCCTGTAACTTTACTGCTTAAAGTGAGGCAACTGCCAGAAGACCCTCAGAAGTGGACCTCAATGCCTGGGCTGAATGATGGAGGTGGAGATGCTCCTTCAGGTATACTGGGCCAAGGCCATTTAGGGCTTTAAAGGTCAGTACCAACACTTTGAATTGTGCTTGGAAACATGCTGGGAGACAGTGAAGATCCTTTAGACTGCTGTTATATGGTCTTGGTGGCTAGTCTAGCTGCCGCATCTTGGATTAGTTGTAGTTTCCGAGTCACCTTCAAAGGTAGCCCCATGTAGAGTGCATTGCAGTAATCCAAGTAGGAGATAACCAGAGTATGTACCACTCTGGTGAGACAGTCTGCGGGCAGGTAGGGTCTCAGCCTGTGTACCAAATGGAGTTGGTAGACAGCTGCCCTGGACACATAATTGACCTGAGCCTCCATGGACAGCTGTGAGTCCAAAATGACTCCCAGGCTGCGCACCTACCCCATTCAGGACCAGGGAGTCCCTCCACACCCACCCGCCCTCTGTCCCCCAAGAAGAGTATTTAGTCTTGTCAGGTTTCAACCTGATTAATAAAACAATAAACCAATAAATTAATAAAACAAACAACTGTTGTTCTTGTTTTGTCTTTGAGATGTCTCAGAGCTCCACTGCACAGTTCCAACATAAAAACAATTCTATGTCAGAACAAGCACACAAGCCACAATTGTCAGTTCACTTGTACTGAAGTGGGTCCTCATACCATGGCTAACTTAGTGAAGCTTGATTCCAAGTTGTCAATTCCAGCACATGGGGTGGGGGATAATCTCCTTTTGGGTAGATTCCATGAAACCCATGCAAAGTATGCTTGAGTGTATAATCTTTAAAATGTGTAAAGATGTCAGACTATCACACAGAGAGCATAAGTGTGCACTGAGTAGATTGATGAGAACCCAAATGACAGCTTTAAAAGTCATTCCCCAACTATTTCTGTAGCCTTTGAAAGAGGGTGGTTTTCTTTTGAAATCTTCACTTGTGTACTCACATTCAGTTGAGAGAGAGAAATTTCCCACACAGTTATATCCTTCTCTTTCAAGCTCAGGCTCTTTATTCTATAGAAATCAATGCAAATTAAAACCAGCTGATTACATGTATAGGGACATGTAAATGTGGCGCAGAGAAATATATAAAGGAACAATATTCAAAACAAAAAAGAGGCTCATTTCATCTCATTGGAAATCTACTCACACAGAATGATCTGCCTATCTCTGGGGATGCAGGCTATGAATAAAGCTATTTTCCGACCCACTGCATGCCTCAATATAGCTGCCACATTTCCAGGGTCAATGCGCATGGAACTGGCAGCACATTTTAAAGCCGTGGAGGCAAGCAAATTTCTGCTAACATACACTCCTGTGTAACTGTGGGCAGACTAGGCCAGGGTCCTCCAAGTGGCTGTGCCCCCAGGAATGCTTGGGATCTACATAGGGATCTTTAATCAAGCTGAATCTATGGTCAGCTCAAGATCCATAATCAGTCATTACCATAACAATCATATCACGTACCCGCCAACATTTCTTCATTGTAAATAGGAACATCCCAAGGGAAAGCAGGACAAATAAGAAACTGGGATGGCTTCTGTAAATCCAGGACTGTTCCTGGAAAATAGGGACACTTGGAGGGGCTGATATCACATATTTTAAGATAATGTTTATAGAGACACCATGAATGGGAGTCCTCTGCACTTGTGTTTGGGGCATAAGAAAGCTAGTTCTATGACACACTAGACTGAATAGCTTGTTAAGGAACGGACAGGCTGCTGATCGTGGTAGCTCTGAGGGGTTTCCAAACAATTCTCAGCACTCTTAACAAACTACAGGTCCCAGGGTTCTTTGAGGAAAGCCTTGACTGTTGACGTGGTACAAAAGTGCTGTAAATGTATGGTCTAGATGAGGCCACAGTTTTATGGTATCTGGTAACAGGCATAACTGTAGTTTCTCCCTGGAGAAGGAGAAAGCTAAGCTTGTTTGTCAAACAATGGCGGGGGTCAGGGAGAGAACAGAGGCCAGTAGGTGCCCTCTGGGCCGTAATGTAGAGTTTTGTTTTTGACTTGCTAGCTCTTATTACTGCCTAGTTTATTTAAAAACAACAACGAGAAGCATCTAGTTTTCACTGAGGAAGCGCAATAAATCAGATTTCCGTCTTTAATATAGTGAAATTGGTTAGCCTGCTTTCATGGGCGTGTATGTGATTATGAGTTTATGCGCTGTTGGTTTTATGTGACTGGTTTTATTGTGTATTGAATTTTTATTTTTTATACTGTCCACCACTCTGGGATTATTTTTAATGAAAACAAACAAACAGAATCTGGCTGACTTCAGCCTGACAGTTTAGCAATACCACATGACATATGCCTAGCTTCACTAAAAAAGAAGGGAACCTTGGAAGGTACTCTGAATACCTTGGGGTTTCTCAGTTTCTCCTCTCTGCTTGCTGCCTGCCCTCAGAAACCCTTTCATGGTCAATATGCAAAGCACAATTGCCCTTTTGCCATCAGTGTTCCAATGGTGGAGAGGAAAACAAACAAACCCACAAAACTCTGAACCCCGGAACTAGACTACTCCTTTTCCCTCCTGCTGTCCTCTCACAAACACCTTCTGACCTGGTTGGGGCATGATGGCCAGAGTTCAGGGTTTGGTGGTCCTGCTGCCATAGACTTGTTAACTTCTAGAAACACTGAGAAGGAAGTGAACCCCCCTAAAATGACATCATTACTGACTGACACAGATAGGATCCTCTGCAGGATGTCTTGGCTCCAACTCTCCAAGCTCCTCCCATTATTTCTCAGGATCTGACCATCCACTCTAGGATACCTCCCCAGGGCGTGTGGCAGCAACTTATGCAGAATAAGATAGCAAAAGGTGAAAGCTTTATATGATCTGAACAGAAACCACACCAGAGCTTCCAAAAGAATTTTTTAATTTGTTTATGTATGCTTTTTGAATTATGGACATGAGAGTCCCATGGACTGCAAGAAGATCAAACCTATCCATTCTTAAGGAAATCAGTCCTGAGTGCTCACTGGAAGGACAGATCCTAGAATCATAGAATCATAGAATCATAGAGTTGGAAGAGACCACAAGGGCCATCGAGTCCAACCCCCTGCCAAGCAGGAAACACCATCAGAGCACTCCTGACATATGGTTGTCAAGCCTCTGCTTAAAGACCTCCAAAGAAGGACACTCCACCACACTCCTTGGCAGCAAATTCCACTGTCGAACAGCTCTTACTGTCAGGAAGTTCTTCCTAATGTTTAGGTGGAATCTTCTTTCTTGTAGTTTGGATCCATTGCTCCGTGTCCGCTTCTCTGGAGCAGCAGAAAACAACCTTTCTCCCTCCTCTATGTGACATCCTTTTATATATTTGAACATGGCTATCATATCACCCCTTAACCTCCTCTTCTCCAGGCTAAACATGCCCAGCTCTCTTAGCCGTTCCTCATAAGGCATCGTTTCCAGGCCTTTGACCATTTTGGTTGCCCTCCTCTGGACACGTTCCAGTTTGTCAATGTCCTTCTTGAACTGTGGTGCCCAGAAATGGACACAGTACTCCAGGTGAGGTCTGACCAGAGCAGAATACAGTGGCACTATTACTTCCCTTGATCTAGATGCTATACTCCTATTGATGCAGCCCAGAATTGCATTGGCTTTTTTAGCTGCCGCGTCACACTGTTGGCTCATGTCAAGTTTGTGGTCAAGTTTCCTGAAGCTGAGGTTCCAATACTTTGGCCACCTCATGAGAAGAAGAAGAGAAGAGTTTGGATTTGATATCCCACTTTATCACTACCCGAAGGAGTCTCAGAGCGGCTAACATTTTCCTTTCCCTTTCTCCCCCACAGCAAACACTCTGTGAGGTGAGTGGGGCTGAGAGCAGCTGCATGTGGAGGAGCGGAGACGCGAACCCGGTTCCCCAGATTACAAGTCTACTGCTCTTAACCACTACACCACACTGGCTTATGAAGATTGGCTTATGAAGATGACAGAATATTATAATAATAAAAATAATTGTGTGTGTGTGTGTGTGTGTGTGTGTGTGTGTGTCCTGCCCATCTGGCTGGATTTCCCCAGCCACTCTGAGAGGCTTACAGCATATATAAAAATACAAGAAACATCAAACATCAAAAAGCAGAATATCCTATACAAGCAATGAACAAGCCAATAAACCAATAGAAACCAGTAATAATAACAACAAAAACAATAACAACAATAAACAGTTTAAAGTTATACCCAAATTAAAATAACTGCCAACCCCAACTAAACATTTAACCAATGCCAACCCAACAAAAACAAAACAGATGAGATGGCTAGACTGTGAAAATTAAAGAACAGAATGAAGAAAAATTTCTTGAAGAATGGAAATATTTCATGGAATATTTGCAAAACAAAACAAAACAAAACAAAAAACCACATATGGCTATGCTATTAAAATATTATGGTTATGTTAAAACGTATGCAGGATTTGAAGTATAGCAGCAGGTGAGAATTGCAGTTTAATCACTGATAATTAACACATATAATTGGTAAAATATAAGTAGCATAGGAGCTTTATAAGGTAAGAAAAGAACATCATGGAAGAATGGATGGGAAGTCAACAGATATGAGAGATTTATTCTGAGGGTTGTTTAAAAGAATTTGTAAAATTTTAAAAGTTAATAAAAAGGTTATATTTAAAAAGTAAAATACGATAGCAAGACAAATAATATAGAATTGGCAGAAACCAAACTGCGGCAGAAGAGGAAAAGTGATTACAGTGGTACCTCGGGTTAAGTACTTAATTCGTTCCAGAGGTCCTTACTTAACCTGAAACTGTTCTTAACCTGAAGCACCACTTTAGATAATGGGGCCTCCTGCTGCCGCTGTGCCACCGGAACACAATTTCTGTTCTCATCCTGAAGCAAAGTTCTTAACCTGAAGCACTTTTTCTGGGTTAGCGGAGTCTGTAACCTGAAGCGTATGTAACCCGAGGTACCACTGTATAGTGATGGTTATGATGATGATGATAATAATAATAATAATAATAATAATAATAATAATTTATTATTTATATCCTGCCCATCTGGCTGGGCTTTCCCAGCCACTCTGGGCGGCTTCCAACAAAATATTAAAATACCGTAATACAAATGATTAATACAAGTCAGAACAGAAACAGCATTCTTACATCCCTATGTGTCAGGCCTTTAATACAGTATCTGCCACTGGGTGAGGTGCTTAAAATCTATGGCATTATCAGTGAAATGCTCTTGCTTTTTTATATAGACCCCTGTTGTAAAAACAGTGCGGGGGGGGGGAATCATTACCAGCTGACTTTGTAGATGCAATCAAGCTAGCTCAATGTATGACTAATAACTTACTCAAGAAAAATGCCTGTAAACTAGACATAAAGGATTATTTGCTAAAGTTGCTTTACTAAGTTACTATGAATACATCAGAGACTCACGTGGTCTTTTTTTTAGATGTGTCCCCAATGGAATATGTTATGAATTATTTGCTGATTTGTAATCACAAGCACATATGTAGGATAAGTCATTTGGATGGCACACAAAAGGAGAAAAACCTATAAGCTATTAACTTATTTTTTTGTTTAGGAATATTTATTCAAGTTTTAAGATTACAAAAAAAGAAAAAACAAAACAAGAAAAACCAATCACATACATCTTACAAAAGATACACACCATACAAGAAAAAAAAGAAAAAAGAAAGAATACACAAGACCAAAAATCACAATAAAAAATAACAAAAAAAGAATTCAAATTTAACAAACCGTTTTCCCATTTACTTATTTCCGTGACTTCCTCTCACTTCTCTGCTTTGTATTCTAATTCAAATTGTATCTCCAGCAAATCCTTCTAACCTTCTTTTCATTCACTTATTTTAACATTTTAACATTCAAAAATATTTAATTCTCCTCTATCCTTTAGTTTACACTTCATATTTACTTAATTCCATTATACTCTGTCTGCCAATACGGTCTAATATTTCTTCTCCAACCTTTCCTAACATTCTTTTATGTTACAGTGATTCTGTAGATATATTTTAAACTTTTTCCAATCTTCTTCCATCAACCCTTCTTCTTGATCTCGAATTCTTCCAGTCATCTCAGCCAGTTCCATATAATCTATCACTTTTCTCTGCCATTCTTCTCGGGTAGGCAATTCTTGTGTCTTCCAATATTTCCCAATGAGTATTCTTGCTGCTGCTGTCGCATACATAAAAAAAGTTCTATCTTCCCTTCGCACCAATTGGCCGACCATGCCCAAGAGGAAGGCCTCTGGTTTCTTTAAGAAAGTATATTTCAATACCTTTTTTAATTCATTGTATATCATTTCCCAGAATGCCTTGATCTTTGGGCACGTCCACCAAAGGTGAAAGAAAGTACCTTCGTTTTCTTTACATTTCCAACATTTATTATCAGGCAAGTGATAAATTTTTGCTAGCTTGACTGGGGTTAAGTACCACCTGTAAATCATTTTCATTATGTTTTCTCTTAAAGCATTACAAGCCGTAAATTTCATACCTGTGGTCCATAACCGTTCCCAGTCAGCAAACATAATGTTATGCCCAACATCCTGCGCCCATTTAATCATAACAGATTTAACCATTTCATCCTGTGTATTCCATTTCAGCAGCAAATTATACATTCTTGACAAATTTTTAGTTTTAGGTTCTAACAATTCCGTTTCCAGTTTAGATTTTTCCTCCTGAAACCAATCTTTTATCTAAGTTAAAAACCTCCCTTATTTGATAATAATGTAACCAATCTCTGACTTTGGTTTTTAATTTGTCAAAACTCTGCAATTTTAATTTATCTCCAACTTGTTCTAAAATTTCACAATATTTTGGCCAGTTTGTCTCCATATTGGTTTTTTTCAATGCCTTTGCCTCCATTGGTGATAGCCACCTTGGTGTTTTACTTTCCAACAAATCCTTATATCTCACCCAAACATTAAACAATGCTTTCCTGACAATATGGTTCTTAAAGGCCTTATGCGCTTTAACTTTATCATACCATAAATATGCATGCCATCCAAAAACGTTATCAAAGCCTTCTAAATCCAAAATGTCCACATTTTCAAGAAGTAGCCAATCTTTCAGCCAGCAAAAAGCGGCTGATTCATAGTAAAGTTTAAGATCTGGCAGGGCAAATCCCCCTCTTTCCTTTGCATCTGTTAATATCTTAAATTTTATTCTAGGTTTTTGCCCTGCCAGATAAATTTGGAAATGTCTCTTTGCCACCTCTTGAAACAGTCCATTTTGTCCACAATTTGTAATGTTTGAAACAAGAACAACATTCTAGGCAGTACATTCATCTTTATCGCAGCAATTCGGCCAAGCAATGATAACTTCAATTTTGACCATATTTCTAGATCTTTCTTCACCTCTGACCAACATTTTTCATAATTATCTTTAAACAAATTCACATTTTTAGCAGTCATGTTCACCCCTAAATATTTCACTTTGTTAACAATTGTTAATCCTGTCTCTTTCTGGAATCTCTCCTTCTCTATCTCTGTAAGATTTTTCTCTAATACCTTGGTTTTCATCTTGTTTAATTTAAAACCAGCTACTTGACCAAATTCTTGTATTAATTGTAACACCCTTTTTGTGCTAGCTTCTGGCTCCTGTACTGTCAAAACTAAATCATCAGCAAAAGCTTTCAATTTATACTGTTTGGCTCCGAGTTGTATACCTTTAACCAATTGGTCTTTTCTAATCATATTGAGCAGAACCTCAAGGACCGATATAAAAAGCAATGGGGAGATTGGGCAACCCTGTCTTGTTCCTTTCTCTATCTTAAATTCTTCTGTAACTACATTGTTCACAATAAGCTTAGCTTTTTGTTCCGAGTAAATTGCACCTATACCATTTTCGAAACTTTGGCCTACCCCCATCCCCTGCAAATTTTTCTTCATAAAACTCCAAGAAATATTATCAAACGCTTTCTCTGCATCCACAAATATTAAAACAGCTTTAGTATTAATATTAACTTGCAGTTTTTCCAAAATGTTGATAATGTTCCTAGTGTTGTCTGACAAATGTCTTCCAGGCAGAAAACCCGCCTGGTCTTTATGAATCTCTTTTACCAATACATTTTTTAATCTCTTAGCCATAATTTCAGCAAAAATTTTGTAATCCACGTTTAGCAGGGATATGGGACGGTAGTTCTTCAACTGTGTCTTCTCCCCCTCGGTTTTTGGTATAAGTGTAATGTACGCTTCTTTCCACGACTCGGGTGCTCTTCCTCCCCGTAGTATTTCATTACAAAGTTCTTTCAACGGTTGCAATAGCCATTCTTTCAAAGTTTTGTAATACTTTGCAGTTAGTCCATCTGGCCCTGGGGATTTGCCCAATTTCATATTCAGAATGGCTCCTTCCACTTCTTGATCAGATATAGTCGAATTTAATATTGATTTACTGTCCTGAGATATTTTTGTAATCCATTATTTTCCAAAAATCGGTCAATATCTAAATCTTTCTGAGCCTCCTGCGTATATAGCTGTTTGAAATAATTCTGAAAGCACTTCCGAATCTCTCCAGGATTCTGTATGTTCTTTCCTTCTACAACCAAGTTTGTAATTGTATTCAGCTTTTGTCTTTTCTTCATTTGCCAGGCCAGTAACTTCCCACATTTATTTGCCGATTCGAAGGTCTTTTGTTTCATCTGTTGAATCTTCCATTCTATCTCCTGATTCATCAATTTCATATACTGTACTTGGTATAGCTTTATTTCTTTTAAAATCTCCTGTGAGTTCGGTTTCGCTCTCAGTCTTTTTTCTCCATCCTTTATTTTCTCCAGAATTTTTCTCTCTTCTCATTTTGGTATCTTTTCCTGATTGCATTTTGTTGTATCAAAAATCCTCTCATCACCGCTTTACTAGCATCCCAAATCACTCTTTTTTCTGTCGTCGTGTTCAAATTTATTTCGAAATAATCTCTCAGGTTTTTTTTGAGCCTTTTTAACAATTTCTTCATTCCTAAATAAGGAGTCATTCATCCTCCATCTAAAGGCCCCAATTGGCGTTAATGTCATTTCAATCTTTACTGGATTGTGATCGGAGCAGATTTTCGGACAAATCACTGCTTTTTTGATTTTAGGAGCCAGTCCTCTAGTTATCCAGATTTGGTCTATTCTTGTCCATGTCATATTTGCTTCAGAGAAGAAGGTTCCTTCTCTTTCCAAGGGGTTCTTTGTTCGCCAAATATCCACCAGATCCATGTTGTCAGTCATTTCAAAGAATGTCTTTGGTAATCTTCCATCTTTTGTCACTGTTTGTCTTTGGGCCTTGTCCATATTTGTAGACACTACTCCATTCATATCTCCCATCAAAATAATATTGTAATCCAAATAGTCCAGAAGAGTTTCATGCAATTTCTTAAAGAATTCTGATTTTCCCTCGTTTGGTGCATATACTCCTAATATCAAAAATTTCTGTCCTTGGAATTGAATTTCAATTGCTATGTATCTTCCTTGATCATCTTTAAATATGAATTTTGGTGACAGGCTTTCCTTCGCATAAAGTACTACCCCTCTTTTTTTAACATTGTCCGATGAAATAAATTCCTCTCCCAATCTTTTATTTATCAGAATTTTCCGATGCAGCCTTGTCACATGAGTCTCTTGTAAACAAATCAAGTCCAAATGTTCTTTTTTCAATGTATGAAATACTCTTCCCCTTTTAGCCGACGAATTTAGACCATTAATGTTCCAACTTAAAATTTGTAGTGTCATTTTGTAGCTACTCTCCTTCTCCTCCAGCAGCCCCAAGCAGATTTTCTATGTCTGTCGGTGGCGTTGGTTTCCCTTTTTTTTCCTTAACAAGTTACTGTCTTTAAAACGGCAAGGGAGAGATACTCAGTAAGAGGGAAAAAAAGAGTCCAAAGTAAAAGCTACAATATAACTTTTCAGTCCTTTCCAATCTTTCTCAGTGAAGCTGGCCACTCTGTATCTCCTTTACAGCCAGCAGACTGCTTTAGCGATTTTGACAGCTTTGACAGCTGGGTGACAGATCACTCCTTTAATCTTTCAATCTAAAAAGTCCTATAAAATCAAGAGTCTTTCCCTTAATTCTCTTAAGGGTAGATCCCTCCAAAGTCCTCAGGTTAGAAGATTACACTTATTTCAATTCAATTCTTCACGTTTAGCTTCAAATCTCTTTGCTTTGTTCTTTACACAACGCAGTGAAGCCGACTTCCTGTTTAAGCTTCCACCGCGGTAGCCAATTCAGTCATTTTTAAAGGCTTTAAACTTTTCTGCTTTTTACCCAAGTTCCAAATTAGTCCAAATTCTAGTCTTTTTATCCAATTCCTCTACTCACGGTTAGTTTTTAAGTCCGAATTTCTCAGGAATAAGTCAGCGCTCTCCAGCAACGGCAACGCGGCTTCACTCAGCGGGAGCAGCGATCCGCTCGCAGCACCGCGCTTCTCTCCCCGCTCCCTTACGAAGCCCCAAAAGGCTTCTTTCCAGGTGGGGGCGCTTCAAGGTGCCCGCCGAGCCTCCACGTTCGCAGGCGTCCGCGCCTGCGATTTCTGAGGGTCCCCGCTTCGCCGGAGCGCACAGGACCCGATCTCCCGCCGAGCTACCCCCTCCGAATCTTCAAAGGAGGTCAGCCATTGCTGCTGGCACCAACCGGAAGTATAATATAATATATGGATGGGAAGTCAACAGATATGAGAGATTTATTCTGAGGGTTGTTTAAAAGAATTTGTAAAATTTTAAAAGTTAATAAAAAGGTTATATTTAAAAAGTAAAATACGATAGCAAGACAAATAATATAGAATTGGCAGAAACCAAACTGCGGCAGAAGAGGAAAAGTGATTACAGTGGTGCCTCGGGTTAAGTACTTAATTCGTTCCAGAGGTCCTTACTTAACCTGAAACTGTTCTTAACCTGAAGCACCACTTTAGATAATGGGGCCTCCTGCTGCCGCTGTGCCACCGGAACACAATTTCTGTTCTCATCCTGAAGCAAAGTTCTTAACCTGAAGCACTTTTTCTGGGTTAGCGGAGTCTGTAACCTGAAGCGTATGTAACCCGAGGTACCACTGTATAGTGATGGTTATGATGATGATGATAATAATAATAATAATAATAATAATAATAATAATAATAATTATTTATTATTTATATCCTGCCCATCTGGCTGGGCTTTCCCAGCCACTCTGGGCGGCTTCCAACAAAATATTAAAATACCGTAATACAAATGATTAATACAAGTCAGAACAGAAACAGCATTCTTACATCCCTATGTGTCAGGCCTTTAATACAGTATCTGCCACTGGGTGAGGTGCTTAAAATCTATGGCATTATCAGTGAAATGCTCTTGCTTTTTTATATAGACCCCTGTTGTAAAAACAGTGCGGGGGGGGGAATCATTACCAGCTGACTTTGTAGATGCAATCAAGCTAGCTCAATGTATGACTAATAACTTACTCAAGAAAAATGCCTGTAAACTAGACATAAAGGATTATTTGCTAAAGTTGCTTTACTAAGTTACTATGAATACATCAGAGACTCACGTGGTCTTTTTTTTAGATGTGTCCCCAATGGAATATGTTATGAATTATTTGCTGATTTGTAATCACAAGCACATATGTAGGATAAGTCATTTGGATGGCACACAAAAGGAGAAAAACCTATAAGCTATTAACTTAAGTGTCATCTATTCAAAGTCAAAAATGAAAAACAGGCTTAGATGGCATTAGTGTTAAATAAGAACCTTATTAAATGCAAGAAGCTCCAAGCAAATTTCATAGAAGGGTACATAACATGGCCAACCACCATTGCTTATAAATCCAATAATTTTTTCTAAATCTCAAGGTATTTCACATAACCCCCACCCCACCCCGCAAGTATGAATGCTCAGATTGTGTACATGATAAGAAACATTTAGGCATCTGTTATGTGTTCTTCGACTGAGATGATGATAAATGGATAATTTGCATATGAATGTGGGGAATGAAAACAATTCATGGCCATAATGTGCACCATGCCTTCAGTGCTCTAATCAGGCCAGAGAAGAATGCTTGGGTTTTCTTTGTTTACCAAACGTGATTTAGAAACAGTCATTTGAATTTAAGCAAACTGTAGATTCTTGGAACTGGTATAAGATTAAGCCAAATTTTGTTAACCATAAATGCAGATTCCATATTTTGGAAATGCAATCCTTTGCCTGTAGGTATCTCCCATCTCTTCAGAGTGATTCTCAGTTTTCCCCCAAACAACATTCCTGCTTGGGTTTTCTTTCTTTGAGAGAATCAAAGGACAGTAGATGACTGTGTCCCCTCCCACAGTTTCCACTAACTGATATTCAGAAACATACTGCCTCCAACAGCAAATGCAGAACATAACCACCATGGTGAGTAGCCACTGACAGCTTTATCCTCAGGAATTTCTCTAATCTTCTTTTAAAGCCGTCCATGTTGGTGGTCAACACTATAACTTTTGGAAACGAATTCCATAGTTTAGCATGTTGGGGAGGAACTTCTGTACAGTGGAACCTTTTCTATGGGCCTACGCTTCTCCCATGATGTGTGATTTACATCCCAAGGGGGAGCAGCTTATGAACATAGAACAGGCTCACCTCAATAGAGGCTCCTCCATAATGCATGGACAGCAGGGAGGCAGTGTTGATGGAGATGAAATGGTGGGGTCAGGGCCAGATAATGTGGCCCTAGTCTCCTGCTCGCACCATTGATAATTGAGTAGGGAATGATTGAACAAGGGGAGAGAGAGAGAGAAATAAGAGAGGAGAATTTCTAGCTGGAATAAGCTGAAATTTAGAATCTGCTTCTGTTGAATTCTGGCAAACTGGGATGGAGCCAAGGGACATGGAGGATGAGAAACAAGTTGCTCCCTGGAAAATTGATGTAGGCTGTGCTGTCTGCATATATATGAATGCCTGTTGACCTCCACATATGCTGGGTTTGTAAATAAAGTAAATATCGCAAAGATGTTGTAAGTCTTTACTGCTCTAATCCCAAGGAAGCTAAAAGCTGTCATGCTGCTTCTGGAACTTCTCACCATTTGGGGAAGTGGGGAGTGCATGATAGTATATCAGCAATATTTTGGGGTAAGCAGCATGAAGACTGTGATCTTTGTGGTTCTGTTTTCAGATTTATGTGTTTATATGATGCAGCCATCTTGCTGAAGCTGATCAGGTCTGGAACTGCTCAGTTGCTGGACAGGAGACCGAGTGGGAACTGCATATATTTTAAGGTTACCAGATTTTTTTCAAATAATCCAGGGACACTTTTTTTAAAAAAAAAGAGAAAAAAGTTATTAAAAAAAGTTATTTAAAATAAATAATTAAGAAGTAATATCTTCTCTTCTGTGGTCTCCTCTGTCGCGTGGCCTTCCTCTGGGCCCCGGCCTGCTCTCTTGGAGTGCTAGCTGCCGTGGAGTAGGCTTGGGTCGGGCCTGGGCTTGGCCACATATCCTTGCCCTCCTGGTGCTCTCCTACCTCTCCTCTTCAGCGGCAGCGTGGCAAGGTCAGGGCTCCCCTCTTTTTTCTCCTTCCTCTTTCTCTCTCCCTTCTCCTTCTCCTCTCCTCCTTCTCCCTGCGTCAGCTCCAGAGTTTTCCTGGCCCTGGAGTGCCGCTGGGCAGTTGGCCCGGCACTCTTGCTCCTGGCTTGATTTGTGTTGGGGGGGTCAGCAGTTCCCTCAGTTGATGGACCGGGTGTCCCCGGTTCCTCCTCAGCAGTGGCAGTGGCAGCGGCAGTCTCAGCAGCCTGGAGCCAGCCTGGCAGCGCAGTTGGCTCTGGCTGGCTTCAGGAGCTGATCGCTGCCATGGCGCCCGCCAAGTTGCCTCGCTGGAAGTCCCCATATGATGTGTCGTTAATCAATCACACAACATTCATTCCCTACTAATAAATCTACAACACTTAAAATATAAATCTGGGGACATTAAATGAATTCAGGGGACATTCCGGGGACAGATTTGTAAATCCGGGGACTGTTCCCGGGAAACGAGGATGTCTGGTAGCCATAATATATCTTGCTTTGAGTTCTGCAATGGAAGAAAGATGAGACACAGAGAGATAGTGCTGGAGTGGATATGGATTAGGCAGAGCTGTCCCTCTGCTCAGCACTGCCTGGCTGTGCCACTGAGTATGCTAGGCTCCACTGGGAGAGAGGCTCCCTTGCCATAGGAGCTCCCCTGGCCCAAAGCACAGGCAAGCAGAAGCTACCATCAGTGTTTTCTCTGCTGGGGTGGTTGGCTGAAACCACCAAATGGGGTGTTTTGGCAGCAGAGCTGAGCCAGCCAAGGATCTTCTGGTTCCCAAGCCAATTCAGCTACTGGCAGGTTGTGGTGAAGACTTGATCCAAGCTTGTTTGCTGCACCAGCGTGAAGCTGGAACAAGAAACATGAGCAATTTTCTTGCCTTCTCCCCACTTCCGATGTGGTGCTCACATAAGTCCCACTGCTGCCGAAGGATAGTGCCCTAGGATTTTAAAATCATTTGAGATTTTAAAATAATATTAAACTTTAAATGCTAAGATAAAATAAAAAAGTGTGCAAGCAATACCTCAGCACACATGGTTAAAAAAAGAGAGTATGATATAAAAGAGCACTTCAACTGAGCTGCAAAATGAAAATGCACCCAGATCGCTGTCTTGCCCTGCCTATTCAGAAGTAAAGACCTGTAACAGATGACCAAAAAAATGGCCAAACTTTATTTGCAAGGATTTCGGGAATATATGTATATTCAGTTTCTCATCCTTAACCTACTAGGTCATACTTAGCTGTCAGTAGATTGTAGCTCTTTCTTTTTTAAGAGGAGACATGGTTTAGCATGAACACATTGCAGAGAAGCGAAATATTCCAGGGAAGAAGTTGACAAAGATTAACCTTTAGTATTCTCTGAAGCTTCCTTTTCAAAAACTGATTCATGTATGATTTCTCCTCCCCATGATGTTTCAGGCTGTTTGATTTAGTAACTGCATTGCCACTTGTTGGTTGAAAAAGAAAAGAAATGAATGGGATGGGCTCTGACGTCTTCAAGGACTACATATGGTGGTGCTTTCACCATAAATGAAGTCATCCCAATGGGGAAAAGTGTTCCTGCTCAACCTGCTCTCTCAAGCACACTCTGAGATGCTTATGTCAATGCAACATGTGCAGAGAAATAGTTCCTCAAGAATAGTTTTTAAGGGTCTAAAGCAACCTTCCTCTACCTGGTGCCTTCCAAATATTTTGGACTACAACTCCAGAAACATAGGAAGCTGTCTTATGCTGAATCAGACCTTTGGTCTACCTAGCTCAATATTGTCCACATTGACTGCTAGCAGCTCTCCAGAGTTTCAGGCAGGAAATCTTTTCCAGTTCTGGATTCCATCTTCACATAAAGCAGATGCTGTACCACTGAGCTACAGTACTTCCCTTAGTCCCACCATTCCTGACCATTGGTCATGCTGGCTGGGGCTGATGTGGATTGTAGTCCAAACATCTGGAGGACACCAGGTTCAGGACAGCTGATTTAAATATTATTGAGGGAAACATAATCCTAGAAAGCTCTGTAGACTTTTTCACTATCAAGGCTCTATGAAGAAAGGAGCATTTGGGATAGTGTACAATCTCAGGATGGAAAAATCCTGGCTAATGTACCACACACACATCTGGAAGTTGCTGCCTTTGACAAATATGGACCTTGTTCCAGCATCAATATGTGTTCAAGGATTTGCTTGACTTGCATTACTCATAATTATTACAAACACTACTAATTTAACAGTAAAAACAAAACACCTGAGGATTCATATTCTGACAACTATGAATAACTTCCTCAAGTGAGTTGTTTTACAGGGTCTTTTTTTGGGGGGGGGTGTTCTCTCTCTATTGTCTTTACATAGATTTGCCTTCATCCGCCAGCTGCAATCCCCTGCTTTCCTCCAATAAAAGCCTAATGTCTCCAACATTGTAAAGGGCACACACCATTGGTCAAAGTTGCACTTGTTCTACGGATGTTGAGAGAACGAGGGGACTTGAGATTCAGGTATGTTTGCAACTTGTTGAAACCCAGACAGTGAAAGAAAATGAGGGAGATTTGCCTTACAGAATGCAAATGTGAACATTATTGTTATTAATAGTGGTATTTTAGTAGGATAGAAGTGTTACTATATCTCCATATATTTTAAAAAAGAAATGGCTTCACAGGTTCTGTTCCAGTTGTGATGCAATGAATACATTAGGAAGAGGGTCAAATTCTAGAAGGGAGAGATGAGAGAACCTCCCTTGGTTTGATTATGAGCGTTCAGGAAAGTGCTTTCCATTTCTGTTTGGTTCTGCTGGCTCATCTATGCTCCTCATCATACTGGCCTCCAGAAATTTTAATGCCCAGGCCTAGTTATAGTGGAAAGCCACTTGGGAATTCAATCTCCCACTCCCACAGTAATGTACATGTGAGTGAGGGATGACTTCGGTTTTGGTCTATGTGGGGGATATGATAACATGTTTGCAAGTAATCATAGAGAGAATTGACCCAAATGGAGACGTTTCTCATGAAACAAAATGCTCATTGTTGATTATCTGTTTGTATAATTAATAGAAATCCGTGTGCATTTCAGTGAAAGGGCTAATGTTACAGAGCTTCTGTGTAGGTGTCTTCAAAGCTTTGTAGTTCATGTAAGCCCTTTTTCTCAGTCAGTGTACAAGTTGTGGAGGTAGCAGGTTGTGAAGGTAGATTGTAGAGCAGGGGTGGTGAACCAAATGCAGCTCACCAAGCATTTCTATCTGGCCCTCAGGACTCCCCCACATCACACCCACTTCCCAGCAATGCTCTGCCTCCCCAGGTCATGCTCTCAGCAGTCCTGCTTCACATCCTCAAGTGTTTTTGCTTGCCTGTGACATGCCCCTGAAGTCTGACCATGCCCTTTGCTTGCCTAGATGGAGAACAAGAGAGTTGTGGGTAGAAACTAGCCTACTGCACAAAGGTAAAATTTACCTTTGTTGCTGTGCTCACATCTGCCTCTGGCCCCTCCTACCACTTGGATTTGGCCCCCCAGAAGGGAAACAGGACAGAACCATTTCCAGGTCAGGAGAACAGCCACCTCCACATTACTTTAGCAGTGGATGCTGTCTAAACAAGTAACTGGGGAAGGTTTGGATTGAGCTGCAGTGCTAGTTCTATACTGAACATTTCTCCTGCATTTTTTCGATCCTCCTCCTTCACTTGATGAAAAAAGAATTTGCATCAAAGGGGAGTACATAGTCAATCCTTTTCAGAGACACACCCTACAGTTTCACATAGGAGCCTTTCTGAGCCCTGTCTGGAAATGAACCTGGGACCTTTGTCATGTGCTCTAACTAGTGATGTGCCAAAATTTGCCCTCAAATTTCTCAAAAGCTTCCTCCCCCTGTGAAAGAGGCTTCCATTTAAAAAAAAAAAAATGCTCAGAGCATTGTAGAATTTCTTTAGAATACCAGTGGTGCAGAGTTTCCTATCACAAGGTAGCCAAGGGCGGCATAAGCATATTTCTTTCCAGTGAACACATTTGCAGCACTCTGCAGCCTCCTTGGCTTCCTGATCTGAAAACATCCCATAGACAGACTTAAGTCATGAAGTCTTCCCCTGGTTTTAATGGGAGTGCATGCACCTGGGGAGGCTGCAGAGTGTACACCATGGGAAAGATGATTTATAGAAAGAAAAAACTCCACTAGAACTCCGCTAAATCACATCAAAAGTAAGATCAGTGCATGAAGAAACCTGCACCTCACCTATGAGAATTTCATACATTTTCCCTCTCCCCTTTGATAGTTTTCAAATGTAATTTCTTTTCTCATTAATTGATAGGGAATGCTTTTTCAAAATGCTGGATATATGCTTTAGCACCACATTAGTATAGAACACACCTTAAACAAGTCATTACTGCTGTTTATTAATCAAGGAAACACTCGAATGAACAAACCACTGCAGGGAATATTCTTGCTTAACTGAAAGCAACTGTGATGTCATTCCTTGACAATGTAAATCCATGATGTCATTGATCCCCCCACATTTTTTGTGCTTGCCCTATTCCCTTAGCATTTGCTGAACGAAGCAGTTGGTGTAGCCTCCAACATGAATCCCAGTGCTGAAGACTGATTTATACCAGAACCCCATGCGCAGGCAGTGTTGTGCTTTCTCTCCAGAATTTTGTCACATCCTGTTTTGCATACCTTATATAAATGTATTTTCCACACAGAGAGGATATGGTTTGTTTTGATCATCATCTGAACAGCAGATCCAAGCCAACTGAAGAAAAACAGATTGAATGTCTTTGTCCACTGCATTTGATTGATTAGGCATATCTGTACGTAAGTAAATTCAAACATGAAGTACTCTGAGAAGTAGATTTTTAGATTCAAGGTCCTTTGCTGTCTGAGAAATTTGAAAATAAATTTTAAACAAAATTTCACAGTCCAGGTCTGAGTCTATTGAAGTCTGAGAACGGGACTTATTTTAACTATCTGAACAGTTTCTACCCCTAGTTAGGAAATAGGAATGCAGTTTCAAATATGTCAGTGAAACATGTTCCAACACCTTTTTAGCAGTCTGAAATTCATTTTCTTGCTTTGTTGACATTGTATGTCATTTAGCAAAATTGCATCCAGAAAAAGAGGATTTTTCATAACAGCATTTTCCATTAGGAAAAATATTTATTGAAGATTTCCTTTCCCAGCTCTTGCCATGATTTTGTCATAGACTTGCAAGAAACAGTGCAGTGAAAACAGTAGTTGTCTGGAAAATGAACTGTCACAGTTCCATTTTCTTTCCAGGGTCCCTTTCTTAGGAAAAGTAATTACTGGAGGTTTTCTCCAGTGTACCATTTATTTTATGCTAAGCCCCGCCTGCAAAATCTGAATCTATCATGTTAGGGCTGCACTCAGACAGCACTTTATTCCATTTTCCAGACGTTTCCTTGCCTGATAATTTCCACATTTTATATAATCTCTAAGAGAATGTAAACACTACTTATGGGAAAATAGCAGAATCTAGCAGAAGTTTAGCACCCTTTCCTGTGTTATTTGCTTCCAGAAAGAAATCTCTTTGCAACCCAGTTAACCCAGACAATCACAGAGGTTTTGCATTGTAATTTCATGTGATAAAATTGGGAGCAGTATTCTGGCATGCAGATCTTTCCTGCCATTTAAAAGTTAGTGTGACATGACATTATATCAGTCCAAAAGCCACAGTTCCATAAAATACCAGGTAAAGCAGGTAAGTGCAATGTAAAAGGAAGTTAAAAGCCAGGATAAAAATTCCAGCATTATGACTGGGAAAACTAACACAATAATCCCCACATCTGAAAAAACTCTAGGTCTTCTCCTAATTTGAGGACCCATTCTTATGATTCACATTCTGACATTCAAACTTATTCTACTAGTTGGTATCTAATACAAACAAAGTAGTAAGGAGGAGGTCAAATTGTTTATCTCTTTGTCTCTGAACAGGTAACATAAAAATAGAGTATTGTTATGGCTGCTGGTTGACTGTTCCTTTGTTTAGGAGTTCATAACCTAGAATGGATGGCCAATATTTTCTTAGTGGGAGTTGATAGAAGATACTTGGTTATCTCGCTATCTTGCTCAAGCATTTATTGATTAGATCAATGAAGGTACCGTTGGACTGTGCACACCACTACAACCTTTGCATGTTGAGTGGGAAGGTCCGAGGTGGATTGTAAGACCATCCAGATGAATGTGCTTGCAGTTTTCTGTGACTTTGAAGCCTGATTGCAGAGAGTTTGGGGGCTCTCTGTTTCAGATATTTCCATATCCTTTATGCTCCACTACATTTTTATCTGGAAGGGTGTAATAACATAACCTCGTTTCTGGGTTTGTTTGTTTTCCCTCAATCAAGTCAAAAGGCAATATTTGGCGTGGAATGAAGAAAATTACTTCTTGCTCATTTCTATTAATTGATAGAGTATTTTAAATGTAACACGAGCCAAACCAAATAAGTCAGAAACGTAAAACTGCCTAGCCAAAGTCCTATGATATTCAGTATATAAAGTATTACTAAATGGAAATTTGAGGCCTATTAGTGCAACCAAAATCTGAACACCTGTCAAATTAGCTTTCATAGTTATATTTAATGTAGCATTCTGGATGACTGTTCCGTAATCCTGTTAAAATTTAGTTGAAGTTATTCCAGTCCTTCTGTCTAATAAAAGTTACTTGTTTAGCCCAGAAAACTGACATGTGTTCAGATTTCAGTTGTACATGCATACGTGTGTGTGTGTGTGTGTGTGTGTGTGTATGAGGCAGAATGACCTCAGAACAGGGACAGATGAATCTGATAATTGGTGTCTTTCACTTTCTCCTTTTTTTATTTTACATACAACCTGACTCTTTTCTGTGTCCGTCACTATGTTATACTTGTGATTACCAAGAAGACGAGAGAGAAAAACTCATAATGGTGGTGGCAGCATATGTCTTTCATTACCTCATTGTAAGATGCTGCAACTAAACTTGTGCAAATCAAGTTCCATTGAACCCAGTAACTAGTCTCATGTGTGTGCAAAATGTATGGGAGTTGGGTATGTATATCACTTGTGTGCATGCCATTTAATATTAAAACAAATGTGCACCAATCAGGCAAGGAAGGAGATGACTAGTCTGGAGTGTAGGGCAGGTATGGATGATCTCATTTCCATGCCATGCTTCAATGATACTCAAGTGTTATATTTGGGCAAGCTATATACCTGGCTGAAGGAGGTTGTGGATTGCAGCCATGTTGCATAATTGACAAAAGTAATTGTGATCCTATGACTTGCATTCTCTCCTGCATGATGTCAGTTAAGGCTTTACAGATGGTAAATCATGAGAGGCCTCAAGCAATAGGGAGAAAATGAATGGCGTAATCAGAAATTGATGCCTCCTTGTGGAACTTGATGAGATGCAGGTTTTAAGCTTCATTCAATATTGTTGTCATGCTGTTTGGAGGCAGCTGTAATTGATTAATCTGTATCAAAATGTCACATGATCAGCAAGTGGCTCTGATCTAATTGAAACAAAATATCCCCCCCCCCCAATTAGGAACTTAAAAGAGAATCATTTAATGAAAATAGCCAAGAGCACTGATCTACTCAACTTTCCATATGTTCCACCTGCGGCTTAGCATTCCGAAAATAAATTAATTGAACACAGTGAAACATTTTTCTAAAATGGTGGAAATCAAACTAGAATCCAATAGAATGGTGGAAATCAAACTAGAATCAAATAGAATCACAAGGGTAATTTGATAGAGGTATCAGATATTGCTTCATGTACTGCCTAGCACCATGTCCGTATGATTTGTTTTCTGCACTGGTGTATCAACCTTTGTACTTTTTGGCTGCATGTATGAGTTTCGGTCATCCAAACAAAAGCATAAAACAATGATACAGAACTTCTATTATTGCCACATCCATAATAGACAAACATCACTGTGCCTATGATAGACAGGTAATTATGATATGAACCAACAGACACAGGGATGAAGGGCAGCCAGAATGGGAAGAAAGAGACAATGAATCATAGAATCATAGAATCATAGAGTTGGAAGAGACCAAAAGGGCCATCGAGTCCAACCCCCTGCCAAGCAGGAAACACCATCAGAGCACTCCTGACATATGGTTGTCAAGCCTCTGCTTAAAGACCTCCAAAGAAGGAGACTCCACCACACTCCTTGACAGCAAATTCCACTGTTGAACAGCTCTTACTGTCAGGAAGTTCTTCCTAATGTTTAGGTGGAATCTTCTTTCTTGTAGTTTGGATCCATTGCTCCGTGTCCGCTTCTCTGGAGCAGCAGAAAACAACCTTTCTCCCTCCTCTATGTGACATCCTTTTATATATTTGAACATGGCTATCATATCACCCCTTAACCTCCTCTTCTCCAGGCTAAACATGCCCAGCTCCCTTAGCCGTTCCTCATAAGGCATCGTTTCCAGGCCTTTGACCATTTTGGTTGCCCTCCTCTGGACACGTTCCAGTTTGTCAGTGTCCTTCTTGAACTGTGGTGCCCAGAACTGGATACAGTACTCCAGGTGAGATCTGACCAGAGCAGAATACAGTGGCACTATTACTTCCCTTGATCTAGATGCTATACTCCTATTGATGCAGCCCAGAATTGCATTGGCTTTTTAGCTGCCGCGTCACACTGTTGGCTCATGTCAAGTTTGTGGTCAACCAAGACTCCTAGATCCTTTTCACATGTACTGCTCTCAAGCCAGGTGTCACCCATCTTGTATTTGTGCCTCTCAATTTTTTTGCCCAAGTGCAATACTTTACATTTCTCCCTGTTAAAATTCATCTTGTTTGTTTTGGTCCAGTTCTCTAATCTGTAAATGTCGTTTTGTAGTGTGATCCTGTCCTCTGGGGTTTTAGCCACCCTCCCAGTTTGGTGTCATCTGCAAATTTGATCAGGATGCCCTTGAGTCCATCATCCAAGTCGTTGATAAAGATGTTGAATAAGACCGGGCCCAAGACAGAACCCAGTGGCACCCCACTAGTCACTCTTCTCCAGGATGAAGAGGAACCATTGATGAGCACCCTTTGGGTTCGGTCAATGGGTAGGGATGGAGTGGGTTTAAACTTTAAATTTACTTTGTGAGTTGCTTTCTATTATTAGATATGAAGGCGGCTGCTTATGAATCACTACACACATACGACCCAAGTTGCATGCTTGGCTTTAATAAGCATGTCCTTTAGGACTTTTATGAGTATTAGCAAATGTCCACCATTGTGATAGGTAGTGGGGTTCTCTCACCAAAGAGTGTTTGCCCCAAACTCAGATCTTGGCATCTCACTCTCTCTTTCTCTCTCTCTCACACACACAGACACTGCACCAGAAGAACATCTACGGATCAAAAGGACATACATTGCAGAAATCCTTGGGTAGAGCAACTCTCCCAGAGTGTCCCTGTAATCTTAGACTAGGGGCTCAGTCAGCTTGTCCCACCACTTTCCCCTGGGAAAATCCCATCTTTAAAGCTGAATTGGAGCAGATATCAATTGGGTTTTCCATAGGAAGACTTAGTTTTCCTGGAGAAAGCAGTGTGGCAAACGGAAAATTGCACAGACCCATGCCTAAGAAGTGTGGGGCAAACTGAAAGCAGCTGGCACCTGTGCTTTCTAGTGCATCTGAATGGGACACATCTGTGGACAACCTAAGGAAGTACCATCCACCTTGGGCCTGCCCATAAAAAGCAAGTCTAGAGTGAGAGACCAAGGTGATATCTGCTGCTTCTAGGAGCTCTTCTCATGAAACTTTTGTGGGTGAGATGAAAGATTGTTGGACCCTGGGTGAGAAGCCAGAGGCTGAGAGGGAGGGTGTATCAGTCAGAAGTAAAATGAATCAATATTGATTTACAAATATATTAGTAACTTTGTATTAATGTAACACTTTTATATGTAACACTGTATTTTGTAAAAAAAACTTAAGTTGTCTGTTGTTGCTTCAGTTTTCTGCACACTGCTTAGAGATATTTCAAATTTATTTAGCGGTGTGGAAATCAAACAATCACTCAATCAATTCAATGTTTTGCTTTTTCACATTGAACTGAATGGAACATGCTTTTGTTTGCAGATGTGCCAATCGGCTTGATACGATTGGTGGTGACTGCCTTACACCATGCCTGAGCAAAACATCTCCCTCCAGAGCCACAAGGTTACATACATGTTTCTGAAAGACAGAACACACACCTGCAGATGTGGGATGCCTTGGCTTGGAAGTTTTTCAGTAAAAAGGTAAAGGACCCCTGGACGATTAAGTCCAGTCAAAGGCAACTATGGGATTGCTTCAGGATGAGGGAGATGGCATTTGTGTACAGACAGCTTTCTGGGTCATGTGGCCAGCATGACTAAACTGCTTCTGGTGCCATGGAACACCGTGACAATTGTCAGAGGGCGTGGAAATTCTGTTTACCTTCCCACCGCAGTGGTACTTATTAATCTACTTGCGCTGGTATGATTTAGAACTGTTAGGTTTGCAGAAGCTGGACATAACAATGGGAGCTCACCTCATTGCGTGGATTCGAACCACCAACCTTCTGATCGGCAAGCCCAAGAGGCTCAGTGGTTTAGACAACAGCTACACCTACATCCCTAGGTTTTTAAGGAGTAAAGCAATGGGTGGGGAAATGGGAAACCATCTCTCCTCTGCTGCTTTTCCTCTTCCAATCACCCCTCCCAACACTGCTTTTCAGAAAAGGCGAGCACTGTTCGGCTGTCCCTTGCACATATTCATATGTAACGTGCAAGTTGAGCCCTTAATACTTATACTCCTTTCGGCAAATGGGATGAACTTGATTGTTTGCATCAGGAAATAAAGCTTTCTGAAATCTCCCTGGCAACCTTTCATCCTGGACTTTGCAATATAGTTCTTTGGAAGAGAGTGATGGGCTATCATGTTTGCCAAAAGCTCAACTATATCCAGCATGCCAGAGAATGGAGATTTTCCATTCTTGGACAATATCTCACTTTCTAGGGTGTGGTATAAATGGGGGGGGGGGGGATGAAAAGCCATAAATGACGCCGTAGTTTCCACAAGTGAAGTTAAATCTAAGAATAAATGTGCCTAGTCTAGCAGAGCAGACTTCCCAGAAGATGTTACATCAGTAGGACACAAAGGACTCCAGAGCAGTCTCACTAAAATCAATATGACTGCAAAGCAAGTAATTTGAGGGGAATGACAACATTCTTGATGCTTTTCTTTTGTAGATATTAGTTGTGCACCTAATAGAATTTTGATCACATTACAGAGAACATTAGAGGGAAATGAAAGAATAGCTTAATGCATTCTATTTGGGTAGCCACTGCTATGGCAACAATCCCATTATGGATGAACAAAAATTGGTGCATTAGCCATAGAAGCAAAAAGGAAATTGGTGCCTGTTTGAGAAAAGTTCTTGTGGTACAAAAACAGCCACCAAAAAGAGCTATCACTTCATGTGTTGAATTTTCACATAAAAGCTAGTAAATTCAGCATTCATTTAACAAAAATGAAGTATGCTTAAAGCCCCAAATTTTGACACACAATACCCAATTTTTAGACATTTCCAGTAGATGTGATGTCTTATGCCACATGTGTACTGATTCTTAGCTTTCTAGATCATTTAAAAGTGTTTTCAATTAAATTATATACTATATACCAAAACAGAAAAGAGGAATCTAACATACAAATTCTCATGGTTGGTTCATAGTCAGATGAGACTAACACGAGGGAATCAGTAACAAAAAGTATTATTGTGATGCCTAGATTTCACGCATTGGTAGAGTTAAAGAGTTATGCACAGCTTTTGTAGTGGTGTAAGTAATAAAGTCCCATCATATGGCATAAAGATGTTCCAGGTTTGCCAATCCATCTGAGACTTCCCAAGTATGCATTATTATTTTCTGAAAATGCCAAACATTTTTGTACCACAGTGATAGTTGTAAACTTTGCAATGTCTTCCACTTTTGCACAAGAGAAATGCTAGCTGCTGCCAACAGCCAGCTAAAAGTTCTTTTGCATGTATAGTCATTTGCTTCCTTGCCCCATAGATTTACAAACGATAGCCGTGGATTCATCTAAATTGTAATCTTGAGAATCTTTAAAAAATTGTGGTGTGCTTTGGACCAAAATATGTACACAGTCCCATCATAAATGAAAGTACAGTATGTTCCCCGTGCCTCATAAGCTTTTTAGTTCATGTTATAAAAGACCTTAATTATTATGGAATACTGTTCTTGACTCCTGGCTTTGAGCATGAGGTGTACATATGTCTTGTTTCAGACTTCTCTAGCAACCATCTTGGTCAATCCAAAGATCTTTATCAAGAGTATTGATGTTAAAAGTCCCTGTTCCTGATTGAGCTTGAAGAGAGCTGTGGGTGTCCTGACCACGGATGGATCAACACAGATCACCAGACTAGAAGTCTCAAGAGAAGACTAAGGGGAGGACAAAGTAGTTTAAAAGGCTCTCAGAAAGATTGCTTTTGCAGATAGACTCTGAATGGGTCCAAAAATGTTTGAGCTGTATATTAAGGGCACTTCATTGTAAACCATTGTAATGGTCCTCCTTGCTAGCACCCAGGGAAAAGAAGCCCATTATGCCCAAGGTGGGTTTCATGATTTGTTTCATTCCAAACAAATGATGATCTGTAGCCAATGTTTGTTCTTGGCGAACAGGCTGTGGTCTGTTTTACTCAAACAAATCTACTTTCTGGTTATATCACTAAGCCAGGGATTGTGGATTGTTTCTCCTGTACACTAGCAGGGAGGGGGAAAGTGGCAGAGATCAGCAAAGTTCCTGGCAAGCCATTTGCTATAGTGACTGCAAAGTCAATGCTTCCTTGCTTAAGAATCTCCTTGCAAAGAGCTCTTTTCAAGCTTGAAGTCCCAGCATCCAGTCTTATGATTCCCATCCATCCATCCATCTGCCCATTTGTCTATTAATTTCTAAACTACATCTTTTAAGTTTTGAACCTGAAGTCAGTTCCTTCCTGATTTCTCAGAATCTCCTTTAGTGGCTCTGGGTTGAAACATGACTGAACTATGCAAAGTTCTGCTCATACTCAGCAGAGGGTCTACAGAGCAAAACAAAACCCAGTTAGAGCCATTTCTGCACTTAGGGAGTCTATTTTGACCACACTGGCATATACCTTAATAGATTCATAGGTTTCACTGGAACGAAATACCATTTCAGCACACATAGGAAAGATGACTAGACATATGCCGGATATCACTCAGTTGTGACATGAACTTCATGTAACTAAAAAGTGATGAGACAAAAGGCCTTTTGTCTCATCTCAAAGCAACACCAACAAATATAGCAGATGTGAATGCCTACCTCAAACTTAAACATCAGACAAGAACTAAACCCTACCTAAGACTTCAGGCATCAGGCTTTTCCTTCATCAGCTGTATTGTTCATTCCACATTATTTTAAGCTTGTCGTATTTAGGGCTGGCTCTTTCTGATATGATCTTATTCCTTGGGGCAGTCTATGTCAACATGCAAATAGGAAGGCAAAGCCCAAGGTTTCTGAGATATGATGTGGGTGATCTTTCTCTTCATGTTTTGACATATCCATGTGGAAATCCTGAAAGGGGCCAGGTGTGCACTGCTTTTACTTTTATCTGCTACAAATGTGTGTGTGCGTGTGCATGTGCCATGGTCTGCAGAAGCCTGGATTCTGCATTGCCACACCCACTTACCTGTCTCCACAGCAGATGGGGAGTTAGAGCATCACCGTGGCATCAACTCATGTGATGTACTCTTTATTATCAAACTGTTAACACTGGAAAGAAATGTAGATGCACTGGAGGTGAGGATTCTGAACGTGTTTTAAGATAGCGGCCTCATATTCCCTTTCACTGCAAAGGTTGAAAGAATAGTAATCAAACCCATTTATTGCTAAAGGAAATTGCCCATTGTAGCTTCATCCTAGAGATAATGGTATAATTTGAGCTCTGAAAATTCTGAACTTACCTGATCCTTCCTTCTTGGATTAATGGGCAGTCTGGATCTTAGTTATCCACTGGAGTTTGCTCTGATGCAGACCTAATACTGAAAAACAGCATATCCAAGTACAATTTAAAACAATACTTACTGATTTACATAAAATAAAAATGCATCTTTAAAAAAGAACTTAAATTTGAATTTCTATGCAGATTTTTAAAAACAAAAACCCAATGCATAAACAGGATGGAATGGGCTGATTTGTGGACCCATACAAAATGGCCTAGCCTTGTTATAGATTGATTCAGCCGTTCCTGTGGCACTCTGTATAGAGTTTATCAGCAACCGAAGAATGATCTCAGCCATGCAAAGCTTATTGTCGAAACAGAAATGGAGAAAGATACGGTATAGTATGAGAATTGTGAGCAATACACATCTAAAGCATCTTGATATTATTATAACATTCCATCACTCTTATTCTTTTCATATTTCTGTTTGTCTGTCAACTCAACAGTCTCCCTCTGGAAAAAAAAAACAGCTGGGGGTCTGACATATATTTGGAATGTATTTTGTTTTAAAGAAAAGTGAACCAACTTTAACACTCATGCGTTCAGTAGCCCCGTTAGAAGCCCCTCTCCTGGGAGAACTTGGGTTACATGCATGTTCAGCCCACAGTGCTATCTGATTATTCCCAGCTGCTAGATTTGTGTCAGACGATTTCTAAACACTGGATAGTCCATTTGGCCTTACAGTAGGCTTTAAGTATTCAGATTCCTATATGACAGAAATTAAACAGATCTGGTCTCAAGACTATTGTTAATAACACTTAGCCAATAAATCTGATATCGAGCTATGTAATTCTTTTCAAAGACAACGCCACTGAACTCTTTACCTTTCTGATGCAGATGACAAAATGATACCAGATTAAAAGCAATTTTACATTAAAAATACATGTCCCAAGCAACCAAAACATTTGAAAAAGGCATTTCATACATAAGACTAAGTGTATCTACTACTATGGGAGGTATATCTTCATATATATGCCACTCATTCTTTAGATGCTAAATCTAGAACATATCTAGCACAGGGTAGTTCCAGATGACCTGTTTACTGAGCATTCATCTTGATTTGTTTCCAGGCAGATATGACAATGCTGGCTATTTAAGGAGAATTTATTTGTATTTGTTTATGGGGAGGTTAGATGATGGTCATATATGCACTATACATACATATGAATTCACATTAAACAATTATGGTTGTCCCCCCCAAGAATCCTCGGAACTGTAGTTTATTAAGGGTTCTGAAAGTTGGTAGGATACCCTTGTTCCCCTCACAGAGCTACAGTTCCAAGAGTTCCCTGGGTTGATCGGTAAACCACTCTGGGAATTTTAGGTCTGAGAGGGGAACAATGGTTTCCTCACAACACAGGAAGCTGCCTTATACTGAGACCATAGGACCATCTATCTCAGTATTGTTGACATGGATTGGTAGCAGCTCTCCATATGTATATCAACCAATTACATCTTCATGGATAGATTACGTGAACATTCTCCATGAGAATGCTGCATGACCATGGGGAATGCGCACAAGGGCCGGGAGTTATGCATATTAACCACTCCACTTACATTATGCTTAGCTTATACATATGGAGAAAAGTGATGGAAGAGGTAGGTAAGAATGGATCTATCTGAGACGGATACCAAGTATTAAACATGGCAAGTTGGAAGCAATCACAGTTGGCTTCACCATACTCCTAAAATGAACAGAAAGAAACATTTTTATTTATACATAAAATAATCTAGTTTGGTAAAACCATTCTCTTTCATTTATTTTCCCCATACTAGTTTTAGTCTTAAATCTAAAGAAAAAGCACTAGTCCCACAATTATTTCATCCTTGTTAATGCAAACTGTGGCAAATTTTGAAGCAAAGTATGTGTGTGTGTGTGTGGTGTAGATTTGAGCAATGACACTTGCAAGACTATTTAAAAAATGGCACCTTTGGGAGTTGAAATGGTAGTCATATATTGGAGATACTGACATATAGTTTTCGAAAGGCCATTCCTTCTGAAGTAAGTACGAAAGAAATGGAAAACTTATGGTTCAAAGCAACATCCCCCAAAGAACAATGAAACCCTGCAAGGCCCAAAATTGGGGAACAATGTGGAAATTATGACTGTTTTATGAACTTTTATAGTAACTGGAATCTTTCAGGTATGTCTGAAAGATTTTACTGGGTGTTTTTTATTGGGGAACAAATGAGAGAAATATAACTACAATGTATAGGTGTCTATATGAATCCTTTTTGTTTCCACCATTTTGCTTTGCAAAATTCCCAATAACCACGTCAGAAATCATATGCATAAACTACAGTGAGCTCAAGCCAGAGAAAGTGAGCTAGCACTGACATTTTATTGACATTATTAAGTCTGAACTATTTTAAATGAATAAAAGAATAAAGTAAGTTGCACTTGTTTAAATGGGTCTAAATATCTCTGGATTAGAAGCTACCCTAGTAATCTGTCAGAGCCCATAGATTTGTGATGTGGATTACAGCAACTAGGTGCACATGGAATAATCTGACTTCAGAAATGTGTGGATATGTTTTTAATCCCCACAACCAGGAACCACACATGGTATGTACTCATAACAGCACTACACACTATATTTTTAGTAAAGATACACACTAAAGATGTAAAAGGATGAGTCAGTCCTCCATTTTAAAATAAGGAATATGGGAATCCCAGAGCTCTTACAGAGCATGAATATGTGAATGGCCAAACTAGAAAATGAAACTTCAATTGTGTATTTATATATAATGTCAACAGTTGTCTTTATTTCTTTTAAAAATGCAAGTAGAATCTGCTGGGGGATCGTTATCATGAGTGCTAGAAGTAGGGAAGGAGTTTTAACCCTTCCCTTCCCTTATGCTGCCTGATAAAAATTGCCCCTTTAAAGGGAATTCCCTTTTGTTGCTAAACTAGAATATCCTTGCAATGAAAAGACCAGTTTAAGAAGGAGTGAGCTTTGAAAGGACCACAGCAGGATAGGAAAGTGTTAAATTCCCCCCACACAAACACTTATTGTGATCTCTACAATTACCACCCGCACCCACAGCTGAAATCATTTGCATCTTGCACACATTAAGTGCAAATTTGCATTTAACTTCCTACTTCATTTGGCCCTCTGATACTTTTAAGTAGAATTATCAGTGATTGAACCGGGATATTTATGCAATCAAACCATATGGCCATTGTTTGACTGATGGGATCCTCCTCAACAAAAGACAATGGACCAAGTAAAAATGCTTTGGGATTTATACATGCCTCATACACTCTTTGTTGCCCATGTCCAAATTACAGATTATGATGGCCTAGAAATCCAAAACCAAAGGATATACATGTTTTTCTTGCAATGAGCTTTGTTTTAATAAATACTTTTCGACCTGAGTCAGTTCATGGTTTGCACCATTCTTCAGTAAGAATGTCAAATTGGTTGTTTTTATTTTTATTTTGGTCTTGGTCTGCTTGAATATAAATGTTACTTAAAGAGGCATTTTGGATGCTTGTCTGCAGCTAATGTACATGCCATGCACTAGGTATGTCATAGCAAGAGTATGATATAAAACCGTGTGAGACCTCCTCTTGTCTATGCAAGCTGGCTGAAGTTGGTAGCTACTAAACTTTGCAAAGCAAAGTGGCAGCACAGCTGAGCAAACACAGCAGAGAAGTGATGAAATAATCAGAAGTTGGACAAAACTATTTGTGTTGATAGGCAAAGGGGAGGGAACCCATAAGGGGGTAAGACTCCTATTGCAGGAAAGTCTGATTCTTAACATATCTGTTAGCCAAATGTTTCCTACAATCTGGAACAACTTTTGCTCCCCAACGTGTTCCCTTTGGCTTCTCCGAATGGTGACTCAGAGTTTGTGAGAGAATAAAATGTAGCATCTGCTGAGGTTGCAGCCTTGCAAACTGTGGCACCTATTAAAGCACGGTCATGAAAGCGAAGTGCATCAAAACAGGGGATAAAATAGAATTGGAAGCTGATAGGTTTAGACAAAGGGCCAGAAGCAGATCTTGAAGGAGAGTAGAGAAAGCTTGGAGCACTTCAAACAAGGACATAGAAAAGGTGGGGAACCTCAGGGTTGCGGCCTCCAGCCCTCTCTGTTTGGCCCTCGGGAGTTTCCACAAGCCATGCCCAACACAGGCCTTGCTTTATGCCACAAGTGTTCTTGTCTGGCTGCAATATGCCCTAGACCCTGATAATGCCTTTAGGTTGACTGGAGGGAGAATAGAGAAGGATAAAGGGTAAAGGGACCCCTGACCATTAGGTCCAGTCACAGATGACTCTGGGGTTGCGGCCCTCATCTCGTTTTATTGGCCGAGGGAGCCAGCGTATAGCTTCCGGGTCATGTGGCCAGCATGACTAAACCGCTTCTGGCGAACCAGAGCAGCGCACGGAAACACCATTTACCTTCCCACCGGAGTGGTACCTATTTATCTACTTGCACTTTGACGTGCTTTCGAACTGCTAGGTTGGCAGGAGCAGGGACCGAGCAACGGGAGCTCACCCTGTCGTGGGGATTCGAACTGCCAACCTTCTGATCGGCAAGTCCTAGGCTCTGTGGTTTAACCCACAGAGCCACCCGCGTCCCTGAGAAGGATATTAGTAGTAGTAGTAGTAGTAGTAGTAGTAGTAGTATTTTATATGTCACTTTGCAGGAAAACTCTCACCTGCTATATTCCTGGGGAAATTATTTCCCTGGCCACAACTAGGCTGTGCACAAAGAGGACACAAAAAGTGTTCAACTAAATTTGGATCCCGAAACTTAAGCACAGCCATTTGTACTTGGGGTACTTCATGGCAAAACTGTTGGTGCAGCCCAAACGCTACACCCTTGCTATGTCACTTAGAGGGAGGGAGGGAAGGAAGGAGGGAGAGACTTGCTGCACCATTCAGACCCCAAATCTTGCCATCACAGGACCGCAGGAAGCTGCCTTATACTGAATCTGACCTCTGGCCCATCTAGCTCAGTACTGTCTGCACGGACTGGCAGCAGCTCTCAAGGGTTTCAGTTGGGAACCCTAACTAGAAATGGCAGAATTGACCCTCGAACATTCTGCTGAACCAGCCCTCTCACCCACTTTCACGTTGGTATTTGAAGCTGGTCACTCCAGCCTGCTGAAGAGGGTTGCTGGTGCCAGTTGAGTTGCTTTCTTTGGCAGGGAGCAAAGTCTAGCATCTCTGTTCCAGTAGCCAGATAAAGGGATGCTGGCACAATATAGAATGTTTACACAGCAATCGCTAGGGTAGAATCGCAGCTTTAGACTGGCTTGCACACAGTTCCATGAGATGGCAAGGCTTTATCATTGGTCATTATCTTCTTACATTTGTATGTGGGACCGTGCCATGGGGTTTAGATTATATGAAGAGCAAAACAGCTTCTGCTATGTATAGAAACCGAAGGCCCCCCCCTTTAAAGAGTTTAGTTCACTCCATATGCTTGAGCACAAAGAGCACAATTCAGCCAAAGGTAAGCACTGATTTCCATGAGAGACATAAACACACCTGGAAACGTTCACTTGGACAATCTAAAAATATAACGTGCCGTGATAAATATTTAGCTTTCAAGCTGAATCCAGTTCACAGTTTGGACACTTCTCCAATGAGCACATCAGATGTAGTTAATAAAACAATAGCCAGTACTTTTTCTTTCCTTCTTTTCTTTTTGGTCTATTTCTATATAATCTAATAGGCAAGTTTGGAAGGTTGTCCCTATGTAATTAATTCCTTCGGCTTTCTTTTTTAAGTGTGTGTGGGGATTTACAATCAATATATACATAATGCATGTGCAGCCACATTTGCATAAGTAAGCAATTTAGTTTAAACTTTATTGTTTTTAATATGTTGGCGGGAGGGCTTTCCACTCAACATGTGCTCCCAGAAGTCGTTCCGAAATCCATTGTCTTCACAGTTCATGGCTATGGCTGAAGCTTTAAATTGAACCATTATGAGATGAATGGAGAAGAAAAGAAAACTGAATGGTGATCCTTTCCACACTTTTTTTTTTGGGGGGGGGACTACATGAAAGACAGATTACGGCAATGTATTCCCCAGGGGAGGAATTTTGCTTGATTAGGTGTGTGGTGGCCTCTAGTGGTTCATCTTTGTAGAGAAACTCAATACAGCTACTGTCAGCTGGCCTGAGAATTTAAAAATATAATGAACAAGATCAACAGTAAAATCCTATGTATCCTGAAGTAGGCTTTGTGGAACTCAGGGGGACTTATTCCAAGTAAACATGCATAGCATATGGCTTCAAGGGTAACAGAAGAGTTGGGAGGTAAAAAGGCATCATTTCCCATTCTGCCTTGTATTTGTCGCAAGCTGCAGCGTTTCTGTTCCACTGCCATTCATCTTCTGCCGAAATTTGCATTATTCGTCTCACTGCTGTGGCAAGGCTAAACAACTTACGTAACTGAAATATCCTCGGAGTTGAGTGTTGATTTCATGCTCTTTATTCAGCTCCTAGTAGCGAGGAATGAAAGTTCCCCCACAATATCTGCTTTATATACATTATTTACACAATGGACTGCACGTGATTGGCTAATTCCGGGATTCTCCTGTAGGCCAGTCAGGTTGCAGATTCACTTCCACCTGGAGCTGGATTGGGTGGCTCCTGAAGACCAATCAGACTGCTGCATTCTGGATCCTATTGTTCTAGGACCAATCCAACTGCTGCATTTTGGATTCTATTCAACTCAGTACATAACAGTAACTTACTCCCAAGCAGGTGGGAAGTACTCAGTGACGTATTATTTGTGGACTGAAAGCAACTGCAATAGTGAATACGGATCGCATTCGCTGGCTTAAGAACAAAATAATATAAGAAGAGCCTTCGGGATCAGGCCAATGACCTATCTAGCCAACCAGATGCCTATGGGAAACCAGCAAGCAGGACATGAGCACAAGAGCTCTCTCCCTTCCTGTGGTTTCCAGAAACTGGTATTCAGAAGCATTACTGCCTCCAGCTGTGAAGGCAGAGCACAGCAGCCTTCAACAGCTCTTCCCTCTATGGAGTTTCATCCTGGACATGGGATGAATAAGCAAACAATAGGAATTCCCACTCCTATTTCTGTTTTCATAGGAATTCGCCAACATCCCTACAGGCTAGACAACTGCCACTATGCTTTTCTGAAACCAGAACCAAGAATTATCAGAAAGACTGCCCAAAAGTTTCATTGCTAGGATGTACAAGTTTGGCGAAATATTTATAGCATTCCTTTGAAAACCACCAGTAGCACTTTCATAACATGATGGCGATCTTAGAAGTGACACTGAGATATTGAAGTTCAGAAACTGGAGGTTCCTCTTTAAGGTGAAACCTTGGTTGGAATGTAGAGGTACTCTGAGGATCAATCTTTGTTTTCAGAAGAATAAAATCACTTCACTTTCAGAGTATGTAAGAAACACTATCCGAATGGAGGAAACAAAAGCATCCAGAGGCACAATACTTCAGAGATAGCCTACAGACTCTATTCCCCATATTCCTCCTGCTTATGAAAAAAACAAGTGTAAGGGAAATTGAACACTGTTTGTTTTTTTAAAACAACAACAACAGCTACTTGTCCCTGGCTCTTGCCTTTCATGCCTGCTTGTCAGTAGAATTTGGTCCATTAGATTGGTCCATTAGAATGGGTCACTTTCCCCAACCCCGCATCCCATGACAGCACAAATTACTGGGTATCTAAGGAAAGTGGGACTTAGGACATCCCTTGAGTGAAGTCAGTAAGATGGCAGGACTCTTATGCTCAGAAGTGATCCACAACAATGAGAAATCCCAGAGACAAAAGTGCTCAGATGTAAATGAAACATCATAAGAAGCACACTCTAAATTAAATACATTATTTTAGTTCTATATAAAACCATTCAGCTTACAGTATTTTCAACATGCTTATAAATTCAAGTTTGAAATTAATGATGCAAAAATAAAGTGTCCAGACAAGTGAGTGGGAAAAATGTTTCTGCTCCAAGGTCCAACGTATAATTAAAAATTACTCCATTAAGTTATATTTAGAAGCATATTAAAAACTGTTTCTGGCATCTTCAAATGGAAATTTCATTACTTTCAATGTAATGATCTTAGACAAAAAAGCAATGCTTACACAAATGAGTTGAGGGGTGTACGTAGTTACACTGAAAAACTGCATTGCATATGTACATATAACTGTTAACAGTTCCTGCTACAACAGTATACTTTCCAACTTTTTTCTAAACAACTTTTCATGTCAGAAAAACGCATTAATAATTTAAGGTAACCTATGCTTCGAAGTGTCGTGACAGTGTGTTAAAAATGTATGCTTTATTTAGATAAAATGAAATCCTTAATGTTATCTAAATTGGAAGTTATTGGGTGATATCCAACTAACTCATATTTAGAGTAGACTCATTGAGATCCAATGCACTTAAGGCACTTAAGTCTATTGATGTCAGTGGGTCTATGTGGAAAATGATGGGACGTGGGTGGTGCTGTGGTCTAAACCACAGAGCTTAAGGCTTGCCAATCAGAAGGCTGGCGGTTTGAATCCCCATGACGGGGTGAGCTCCCGTTGCTCGATCCCTGCTCCTGCCAACCTAGCAGTTCCAAAGCACGTCAAAGTGCAAGTAGATATATAGGTACCACTCTGGCGGGAAGGTAAACGGCGTTTCCGTGCATTGCTCTGGTTCGCCAGAAGCGGCTTAGTCATGCTGGCCACATGACCCGGAAGCTGTATGCCAGCTCCCTTGGCCAGTAAAGCGAGATGAGCGCTGCAACCTCAGAGTCGTCCACGACTGGACCTAAAGGTCAGGGGTCCCTTTACCTTTTATGTGGAAAATGACAAACCGAAGGATTTCACCCAGCATTTTCTTTCTATAGTTGTTTGACCAAATCATCAAATGTGTTATCCTACATATTAGCTCCCCAAATGGTGCTACCTTAGAGAAAACAAAACAGCTGCTACACACACCTTTCCCACCTCTAATATTCCTTTTGACTCAGAGCCATTTTTTTTGCACCATGGCAATATTAGAGCCAGTGGAGACAGCAGTGATTTGCGGTCCAATGGTTGAGCTGAAAACAATTTTGCAATTTCAGAAGATCTATTTACTGGATCCAACATGTGCATTTGTAGCTTTTCCCACCCTCCCTCTCCCTCCTGTCTCTCTTTTCCTCCCCCCCCCCCCGACTTCTAAGGAACACCACTTTCTCCTCAATGACTGCTTCATTTCCTTCCCTCCAAGTATCCTAGATTGGTTCCCTTTGCTTCAGACCCTTTCATCTACTCTGCTTTTTGTTTCTCCCTTAGTACTGAAAGAGGCTGCTCGTCCTGTTTGTGTGCTTTTCAAGGCTCAGATCAGCAGCTCAGGTGCTGGATGGGCTGAGACTTCAAAAGCCCATAGAGCTGAACAGGAAGTGGGAAAGAGTGTCACTCTTCCAAATTCCTCCTTCAGCTCTATGCACTTTCCAAGAGCAGGGAAGGGTATTCCCCCTTACATCCTCATGATGAAAGTATCAGTAGTGGAGGGAGCTGCTAGCTGGCTGTATGGGTGTCAGAGGGCATCCCATTGCAGCCATGAGCACCATCATGGAAATATCATGAATAGGAAGCTGGAACATATATAATCACCTCTCACAAAAGAGCCCTCATCTTGAAAGTGTAATTTCATGGACCCTTAATTAGCCAATTGTGGTACACACTGCACTGCACGTAACTATGAAAAAGTGTTTCCATTATAACTAGCGAAATATCAGCACTCTTTAACAACAGAACCAAAGTTATTTTAGGCAAAAAGGCAACCAGATTGGAATTAACATTAGATGCATCATAAACCACAAATAAGTTTGGTTCAATGGAGGTTTTCCGCAGAGGATTAAGTCAATGTGATTCTTAGGCTGCATATTGGAACTGCTTTATCCTTCCTTTGAACCAAATAACTACTCAAAGGAAGAACTTATTTTCAAAGCGAAGCCAAGGGAATTCTATTTCAAAGAAAGGAACGAGCAAAGCAGAGGGCCACGCACGCATATATAACTTCAATACGATACTATGTTCACATCCAAATCTGCCAGTATGGAAAATATACCAGGAAGCTGGTAAATCACTTAAAGCAAGGGAAACTGTGAATTAATTTCAAGATGCTTTGTGGGAAAGTTACTTGAACAAGTTTGAATTCAGATGAGATAACAGGCAAACCTCTGCAACAGGGTGGGTTTCTGGTGACCCT